GTACTTGCAACAGCTGGCCAGCCAAGCCAGTGGAAATTGCCCGGCCGGGTGGCCGGCCACAGCTGGTTGGCTGGTTTGTTGGACTATTGTGGACTGCTGGATAGACCACTAGATATGGAGTGAAGCTGGCCGGTTGGCCACGGCTGCCTAGCTGAATAGACCGCTGGCCTCGCAAGCAAAACGCAAACATCACACGAGTAGGAAGTTCTCGAAAGAAAGCAAACCGATGTAATATGTTAAGCTGGCTGGCGGTCACTCGGATAGAATTTCCGGGAAACAAGTTGTCTAACAAGCCGAAATCAAACATCTCAACCTGGCTGGTGATCACTGGGGGGGTACAAAAACTTGAGCGAATAATGAATGCCAGCGTGCGAGTGGCCCGGCCGGCAGGCCGGCTACCAGAGGGCTGCTGCCCTCTTGGCCGGCTGGCTGGCTTCAAATTCAATACTGGTCCGGGATACGTGGGAAGTTCGACTGTCGGCTTGTTTCTTTCGAGGCGCCAAGTGCTTGAAGACCTCGTCGAATCCAAGGCCGAAGACGTTCTTGGTCGCCGTCCTCACCTGGCAGTTTTTGCGTTGACCAGGGCACGATGTGTCAGCCCGGGCACCCAATAGCTCCATCTGCGTTCTCCCAGGTGTCACAATGAACATGCGGGACAAACCGCCCATCCAAGGAATGGCAGTGCCAAAATCTCCATTTTTGAAACCCCCTCCCCCCCAGCCACCCCTTTCATATCCATATGGCTATGGGTCAAAACCCCGTTAAATGGGTGGCGCTTGGTACCCCGAAATGGGATCCCAGTCGGGTTGACCCACAGCCGCCTGGTCCAGCATCCAAAGGCGATCCTCATTGAGCACCAAGCGGTCCCCGATGACGCGCCAAATCTCGTGGACCCAGAGCCGCACGTGCCGGGCCACCCCGTCGCACTCGCCCCTGGATGGATTGGGGGGTACAATTGTGTTTTTTTTTTGGTGTGTGTGTGTGTTTTGTTTTTGTTTTTTGGGGGGGGGGTGGTAAAAGGCCCCTCCGGCTCTTTTCGCCTCAATCTGTACGATATTGGCCAAGGACCTTGCGGAAAGTGCGTCTGGGTCTGCATTTCAGGGTTCCCCAAAGCTATTGTATGAAGTGTCCACATCTGCAGCGGGTTGGATGACACGGTGTGGTCTCAGGGGTTGTTTACCCAAGAGGCTCACACAAACCCACCCCAACCGCCCGGTGAGACCAAGGCCAAGCTGCTTCTTGAGGAGCAGGACGCCAAAGATGATCTTCGCAAAGTCTCGGAGGTTGAAGGTGTAGTGCACCTTTGGGATCAAAGAAACGCATCCCCGGACAGAGCTCCATTTCTTGACTTAAATTCAGGGGTGGTTGATGTCCCCCCCTCGTAGTCAAAAAGTGGAACCCTGCCCCCAGAGGACTTGGCGCATTGGGCTCCGTGGGTAGCCTTGGGTCCAGAAAACCTCCGAACGCCTCTGCGAGGGCCCCGAGCCTTCAGTGGAGTGGGCAGCAAGGAGGCGACCGCCGCCTTGTAGATCTCCAAGGTGCCTGACAGGTCGGCCGGGTTCGGCCCACGTTTGCCATGCGCAAGTGGTGTGGCCAGGGGTCTTGCGGAAAGTGTGTGCGCGCTCTGGGCTCTGTGCGCCTGGGCCTGTGGCTCGGAAGGACATGTTACAAAAGTTTGCGGTCCGGACTGATCTGTGACCCGAAACAGCTCCAGCCACCTCCTGGACAAATTGAAGCAGGCGGGTTTGTGTGGCAATGTTCTTGGATCTCCTTTTCAAATTCATGAAGGCTCTTTCACTTTAACGCCTCCCCCCACCCACCGCACCCGCACCCCAAACCCCAGGTGCAAGACGCCCCTCGTCACGTCGGAACCTCGCCTGAGACGATCTTCTTGGACAGCGCGGTCACCTCCCCGGGGTAACCATCCGCCTGGCTCGGCGGATTCACCAAGCTGCAAAGCCCTGGGGAATTTTGGTTCTCACAGGTGGCCCTGGCAAACTATTGCAACCTGCTTCCCTCTTGGAACCTGACATCTCAAGAATGGAGTTGGTGGAACCTTCACCGGTGATGCAGCAAAGCCCGCGTCGGTGGGATCGCAAGAGTTTCCTGCTGGAGCTCATGTAAGAGCGTGAGTTGGAGCTTGCTTGAAGTGACCCCACCCGCAACAAACCGGGAACTCAAATTCGGGGTTTCCCTGCACGAAGAAAGTTGCTCAACCAAGCCTTTCCCCAAGTTAAAGAGTGCCAGGACCAATTGCCCATGAGTTCCATTCACAAACCCTGGTGCCTGCATCTTCCAGTCCAGAATCGTGGAGAAGATCATCTTCATGTTGTCCTTTGCTTACGTCTCTGAAAACCGCACCCACGCTGGTTTGCTCTTGGTTTTCCTTTTTGATTCCCCCAAACCAAGGCGAACCGGATCAACAAATTTAAGAGAGATGGGGCATGCTACCTGCCAGGTAAAACGGTAAATCGGTAAAACGGCTTTTACGGTTTTACGGTTTTGCCGTTTTACCTAAAAAATGAGAAGCGGACCGGTTAGCACCTACCCCGCGGCCAAACCCGCTTAGCAAGATGTCCTGCTGGCCCCCTGGCCCCCTGGCGACTTACAACAACACCACGCCAGGCGTCGTCATCCAGCAGTGGGAAGCCCACAAGGTACATGTGCCCCAGCATCCTGCGGGTTCTCTGTTCGGCTGGCGTTCCTTCTTTTGGCGTGCCCCTGAACCAGCAGCAAGGGGCTAGTTGCTGCAAATATATCATAAGTTCTCACTTGCTGAGTGGATGGCCCAAAAACAGTCCAAACTTGAGATTAACTGTATTCATACCACTAAAGTGGTCTTCCAAAAAAGTTTAAAGCTCATGAACTCAGGCAGTGAGAGTTGGAACTGTGGACATGGCTTTCTCTGTGGCTTTCCTCCCAACACCAAAATGCGTCACAAAAAAGTGGAGTCTCTAGTTGACTTGGCTTGTGCACCATCTTCTTTCAAACACCCTTGTCAACCAACTGATCGGGTTTTCATATGGAGTTCCTCCTCATTGGCTTGCTTGTCCAAACAAATTGCAGCGCTTTCAATGCGCTTATTTCTCAAACACGATCCAAAAGCGGGGTCTAACACTCACTTCGTCCAAGGACCACATGAAAGGTCAGCTAACATGTGGGCACCATGACAAATCATCCAACAAGGGAAAGCCGGAAGGTTTAAAAGCACGCCCTTGGCAACGGAGAACCTGTTCCAAGTCCCTGAGACATCCAACTGGCGCTTGGCAACCTCCCGTTGACGCCTTCGCCCGTTGCGGCAAAAGAAAAAAGGCCAAGAGCAGCAAAGCGGCCTGCAAACCTGCAAAACGGCAATTCTCCGCCTGTCCTGCTCCCTACACTCTGAATTCTCTCTCTCTCTCTCTCTACCGTTGCATCCAGTCATGGTCCAGCAGCGCCAGGCAACGAAACAAAACAGCCAAAGGCCCTACCTCAAGCTAAAACACGAGCCTGAGTTTGCCACCAGGAATTGGACCGCATATTTTTTAGTCCATGTGTCCATTCACCAGTGGCAACCCATTTTGGCTACATATCTTTGGCTCCACGAACCCATTTCGAGCCACAAAATCGCACTCCTGCCGGTGATGAAGGTCCGGCCGCCCCCGGGGGGACCCATCGCTGCGAAGAGCAGCACGTCGATGATGCTGCGGAAGGGGTGCGTCACGTCCTGGACAAATGGAGCACTGCAGGCCCACGTGGTGGTTTTGGAGTGGTGGTCTCGGGGCTACCCTACCCCGCAACCGCCAAACCAAAAAAAACAGCAATTTTCGACAAGCTGATAAAAAGCGTGAGCCCCCACTTGTAAAAACGAGACGGTGTACACAAGGCCGTGTTGGCCTTTCGGAGAGCGCAAAAAGGAGACGTGAGGAAGCCACAAGGGCCGGGCTTCAATTTCCCTCAGAGCTCAAAGACTAAATTCAGCTGACCTCCCAAAGCCACCGACTTTGACCTCCAGTTGCTTCGTCGTCCCTGGAAAAGAATAGAAACAGATTCCCTTTAAAACCAACAGGGGGAAATAATAAAAGAAAAAAAGACACATTCTTAACCAAATGAAAGGAATATTTGCCCCAGTGCGTGGACGTCACCTCCATGTCTCCCCCCCCCTGGGTCCTTGCGCTCGAACCAGCCGCCCGTCTCTGGGTAAGCCTTGGCGTCGATCATCTGCCGCAAGATCTCGATGGGGGGCTGCGCGCCGTAGGTCTCCTGAAGGATACACTTGGTTGCCGTTGAGTCCTCTGCAACAAGTCTAGCTTTTTGTGGGTTTAGTGGAAAACCCGTTGCTTTCCCAAAAAGTCAAAGTCTAAAGATCGAAGCCAATAGCAGTCAAGTACAGGGAAGGATAATTAATGTTAACCCTGGATTAAGCAGAAGCCCTGGTTGATTGTGATCGGGGGGTGTCCAATTCCTTTTCGTGGGGAGTTCCAAATGGAATTGGCCTTTTGGGCTTTCTAAAGGATAATGTTGACCCAGGCCCGTCCCATTTTTAGGGGGCCCCTCCAAAAGTGGTCTAATTCCCCACTAAAAGGAAAAGAGGACACCCCCCAATCAAAATCAAGCAGGGGTTCTGCTTAATCCGGAGTTAACATTCAGGGCAAAGCAGGCATCTTCACAAACTTTCGCAAGCTCGTCCGGTTTTTCGGTGTTCGCTCAAAACCCACCAAAACAGGTGACACTGAACACTTCCGAGCAAAACGCGGTGTATGTTTTCTTTTTTTTAAATTTTGCATGCAAAGTCATATTAATAGTTATCGTGTTCATCAATTTGCCCCCCGTGTGCGCCTTGTTCGGCATATTCAGGTCGTCCACCATGAGCAAGCAGAGCTTGCCGAAGGGCGGGCCGTAGACGCCCTTCCGGCGCCGGTCCAACTTGGCGTCGATGAGGTCCTGGGTCTGCGCGCACTTTGTCTGCGCTGAGAAGCCCATCATGATCTGCGTGAAGGTCTCCTCACGGAAATGGATTTTCCGGGGCGAGCGAAGGGAAAGCGGGAGGTTGTTTATTTGGTGAATAATATGTGTTTTCTTTGCTCCCCTGTTGGGTTTAAAGGGAATGTATCACTACTGGAAATATGTTTCTCAAATTCCTTAACTTCCATTTGGTTAAGAATATGTTGATTTTCCCCTGTTGGTTTGAACGGGAATCTATCATTACTGACATATTTCTTGTTTTTTTTCCAGGGGACGAAGAAGCCAATGGAGGGGGAGGCGCCGTCTGTGGACCGGCGCCCAGCTGGCGCGCAGCTGACCATCCAGCCCTGTGGGTGTTTCGAAACCTTGGTTGAGGTTGGAAGGGGAGCAACAAATCGAATTTTAGCAGTTGCGTGGGTGGATTCAACCACTAAACCACAGTACGCAAACATGCAAAACGTTTCCCAACAACAACCGTGAAACCCGAGTTGTGGATCCCGCTGCAAGGCAGGGAGCCCTGCTCGATAGAACACATGCAAGGGATCTCCGCAGCTTAAAGGACAAAATGAAAACACCCAATGCAACCACGATCCTTTAATCCTAGGGCCCGAGCTGGTCTCACCCCGGAGTTTGCGCCAAAACGCATTCCCACCAGCCACCAGTCTCAACCAAAGCGAGCTTTCTTCCCGTTGAAACAAAGTCGAAGCTTCAAGTGGAGAACTCCAAAGTTCAGAGCCCGTGGGACACGACCAGCCGCACCTTTTGTCCCGCAGACCGCTCTGAACGACCGACGAACACGCCTTGGGCAGGCTCATCAAGTTCTGCTGCATGTAGGCCGTCTTGCCTGTGCCTGTGGGCCCGCAAAAGAGCAGCTTCACGCGGTGCTTGATGCAGTGCTGCAGCACGTAGCCTCAATGCGGGACGAAACAAACGTCAGGAATCCTCGAAAATCATGACATTCCCCAACTAGCGAGCCTTGGCAGCTACAAAGAAACTGCCTCAACCCAAACCGCCCAAAACTTCACCGAAAAGGTGGAATGTCCCGGGGAGCTTGCGGCAACTATAAATCTGATTGGACACTTCAAGCGCAATCTGCCCTAACTCAGTTTACGAGACGAGCCCCAAACCAACACACATGAGAACTCACCGCTTGAAGGAAATAGAAGGGAATGACTGAATAACAACGTTCCCCAAGCGGCACTCTTGTCAAGGCATCCAAAAAGAAGACTTAAATTGAACTTGTAGGACATGCATTTGTAGGATAATGTGGCGTTGGCTGAATTGACTGTAGGTTCACTGGATTCCAGCAATGGGTTCCTTTCGCATACTAAACGGTGCTTGTTCTTGCTCTGGGCCCCATTTCAACCTGCAACCCAACAAGGGTATCAACCTCCAAACAAAGTTCACCCGTTTTGAGCTCTGCCTGGCATCCCCCCCTACCCCCCCCAAAAAAAAAAAGAAAAGGAGAAACAAAAGTGCCAACTAGAACCCCCGCCAAAGAAGAAAAGAAGAAGAAAAAAAGAAAGAGCCCCAGCCATGGACTCAAGGAGCCATAGCGCACCGAGTCCAAGGTCTGCACAATGATGGACTCCACCGCGGAGCCTGGCTTGATGACCTGCAGCTCAGGGCAGTCCTGAGGTCTCACCTTGAGCCCACCAGGAAGCTGTTTGGGTGGTTTTTTCGGAGGGTTTTCTTGCGAGCTTTGTACTCAGTTGCCCGAAGGACCTGGAACTACAAGGTGAACCTGTTGGGGCCTCGGCTTTGAACAACTCAGTTTATGCTCAAGGCCTCTTCTGTTTTTTGAGGTTGAGAGGGAAGGCAAGAAAGGAACACGCACATTTTGTTTGGGGTCTAGTTGCCGAGTTGGACACCTCAATAATGCCCTCTGAGGCACAAGGTCTGTCATTTCCACTTCGGAGGGCTCAGGCATTCCATGGGGAACTGCATGACCCTCCCTCTGCAAGCACAGCGCTTACAAACTTAACTTCGACCCATGGAATTTGATACAAGGGGGTGTTCCAACGAAAGTGGGCATCGGCTTCCTTCTGATTCATCGACCGGGGGCTTCATTTTCGCCTGGGAACCCCCATGCGTCCCGTGGCGCTGGCCCTGCCTGTGGATCGACGGTGTCCATCCAGCCAATCCACTTCACCTCCTCCGCCATGAAGACCCAGTCGAAGATGGAGCCACGCTCGGGGAACCTCAGTTGCCAAGTTTGCTCCTCCTGAGCCTCTGATCCGTAGTCTGACTCCAAGTGCGAGTAGTCTGGGAATCTCCTCTAATCTGGAGCCCCCGAGGGGCCAAAAACCTACAAACTTGCAGACCTTCCCCTCACCCCCCGGCTTCCCAGGCATCCCGGGCGATCGATAAGAAGACGCTCCGACTTCCGAGCAGCTCCGGGCTGAGCTTCTTGTACTGCGACACCCCTTCCGCCTTGCCTTGGTTGACGTTGGAAGGGGGAGCAAAAATATAAAATGTTAGCAGTTAAGTGGTTGGATTCCAACCACTAAACCACACTAATCCAACATGTAAAAACATATTTCCCAACAAGAGTCATAATCTAAGGATTAAGGAACCAGAAGAAGCCAACATGGGAAAATATTTCCCAACAACCATGAATGCATTCTTTCGGAGCAGTTTCAACCAGTGGTTGGATTTCAACCACCAAACCACATTAAAATGTAAAAGGTTTCCCAACAACAACCATGTTGCCCTGCAGCAGGGACCGCAAGAAGCCTCCGAACTCGGGCCGGCTGTTGGTCTGCAGCACCGAGCCCACGGACCAAATGACGCTCAGCACCTCTCGGCTCACAAAGGCCGACGGGGCGAGCCGGGTCGAAGTGATCGAACTACTAGACCATGTCAAAATGAGAACCCTTATCTTTGCTTGGTTGCTTGTTTGTTGTTTGCTTGTTACTCCCTCTTCTTTTTGTTATCTTTGTTTGTTTGGTTGATTTGTGCTTGTTTGGTTTGTTTGTTTTGTTTGCTTCTGCTTCAAGAAACAGACACAAACACCAATAGCTACATGCCATCGGTTGTTTATGGTTGCCACCCCCTCCCAGCCCCCAGCTCAGAGGCAGCAAAAAGACGAAGAAGAAGAGGGCGCTTCGACCTTTCGGTTCGTTTGCTTTGTCTCACTTGCCCCCTTAGGGACCCAGAAATCAAAGGTCACCTTTTGGGGCCACTAAAACTAGACCAGAAAGGACAAGCCAACAGGTCAAAAGGTCGATTCGCTTTGGGCAACTGAGCTGTTTCTATTTCGCAAAACGAAGCAAACACCAGCAACTGATGATATTGTTCATCGCTGCCAGCCCCCAGCTCAAGGGCAATTTTGAACAAAGAGCAGCCGAGGCGCCACCACCGCATCGATCATGCTCACGATGTTCTTCTTGGCGCTGGCCTCGCTGCCCTCCACCTTCCTAGCTTCGCCGGTGTGTGTGTGTGTGTGTGTGCGAATCTTCTAGGGGTAGCTTCCCCAGTCTTCTCAGGGATCCTTCTTTCTAGAAAACCACCAAAAACCTTTGGGAAATGGCTGGTTTTTGAAAAGAACGATGGCTGAAAAGAATGGAATTGGAATCACCCCCTAGGAATCTGTGTGTCAAAACCAGGCGAATGGTGAGACCCAAAAACTGAAACAACGGACTAAAGTCGTGACAAACCCGTTTGCTCAAGGACATCAAGATGAAGATTGGCAAACCCTTCAGAAAAAAAGGGTACGTGGTTGACCTGAGTGACCTTTGTTTCCTTTTTTTGCGAGTAGGCTCCGAGTCGGGCTCAAATTTTCATGGAACATCCAATTCGAAAGCCAAGCATCTTGTACACGTCCAGGGACAGGAAGTCCTGTTCAGCCAAACCGCTGGTGACACTGGTGACTTGACGTGCAAGCAATGAGCTACTTCCGCATCCAGTGGGAGTTTGTGAGTTGCAGTGTGTTGCTAGCTAGGTCCTCCCCCCAAAAATGGTAAAAGAGCACTACTGGGGGACCTAGGTGGCTATACTTTTCGCATCCAGACAGAGCAAACTCGCCCTCTATTCCAGCTTCCTCCAACTACCGCGGCATACTACAACACTATGTCCCCCATCTCAACTGATCACATGATCTTTGCAGACTTTACCTGAATAGCATGAGGCAAAAGCGTGCTCTTGGCTCAAACGTTGGATCGGTCCTTCATGTGCGACATGAGCAACTGCATGAAGCTCCTGGGTCCCAGGAAAGACGAGGCACGAGGGCCCCCAAAATGTGCAGTGGCTCAGGCCTTACCCGGTCTGTCAGCACGCCCACAGCGCCTGACAGCCTGCCTCAACCTTCGGCCAACCAAAGCGGCTTCCGCTAGCGGCGTTGCGGTGGTCAACTGGGTCCCCCCAACACCGCTTTGCGCTCCACAACTCTTCTCAAAGGCTGCGGAGGAGACTCCACAACTGCAGAAGAACCACAAGCTTCTCATCACCTTCGAGCGTCAGAAGCCATCCTTTTTGATAGCTGGCCCTGAAAAATCGGGCTCCCCCGTTCCTCCCTAAAACACCAGAGCACTTTTGGCCAGGCCGCTGCACCAGGTTCTGATCCTGGGTGGGCGACACCTCGTGGCACTCCTCACGTAGCCAGGTCACGAAACAACACCCCCTGGCTCTACAAACCTCGGTTTAAGCTCGAAAGTAGCCGCAGACGGCCCTCGCAAACTCTCCATGCTTCGTGATTCTTGCTGGACATGCTGGTCTTTGAGTCTGAGGGCGGTGGGGGGGGGGGGGACTTCGGAATTCGCATCATCGCGACGGCCTTTCGGTTCAGGATGCGCCTAAGTGACGACACGGAGCTTGGTCTTGATTATTGTTATGCTCATCCATTTGAACCAACCAACCAGGCAACCAGCCAACCAACCAACCCACCCTGCAACTCAGGCCCGATTGTTGCACACCACCCCGTGCTAAAGTGCCCTTGTTCTGATGGACCCGTGGTATCTGATAGTTTGATTGACTTGGAACTTGGGCATATTGCCGGCCGAGCCTCTTTTGGTGAACTTGTGAGCCTTTTTGATTGGGTGGGCCTGATGCTTACTGGACTCTTCTTGCTCACAACCTACCAAGAGCGAAAAAGCAGCTGGACAGTTTGGGTGGGCTGCGCTGTGCGGTGCTTTTTTTGGAAACTCTATGGTGGAAAACGTGGTGCTCAACAAGTAACATGAGCTGACTTGAAAATAAGTGTTTTGCTGCGTCGAAGTTCGAAGCACATGTTTTGAAACCGTGTTCTTCAAAAGGGCAACGCATCCCCACCCGTTTATAGCTGGGGGCCTGTCCCTTAGCCTTCGCTTCCCGTCAATTTGATTTCGGCCCACTTGCGGAATTGCAGGCCGTCGCTTCACGAGCGGATTGGCCAAAAAGAGGTCTGAACTTCCTATACACCGCGACATGGTCTTCTTAAAAAGCTTCTACAGTCCCGGAACTGAACAAGTTAAAAATGGAGTGAGTGGCGGCAAATGTCGCCTTCTTTGTATGTTCTCTCGGAGGAGTTCTCGACGGCTGGTTGGAGCCACACACGACAACTCCCGCACCCCGTCCTCCCGCAGGAACTTGAGGCAGGGCTTCAAGAGCCAGCCGGTCATGGCTCTCACCTCGTTCACCTCCGAAGTTTCGGCCGACCGACAGCTCACCCGAGGGGAGGCCGGCATGGGAGACCAGCGCGCGAAATCGGGGGCTCTCTGAGGGAAGCTGCGGACCTGCTTATCCTTCTGAAATCGGGGGCTTCCTTTCATCTCACTTCCTGAGTGGACTGGCCAAAACAAGTCCAAACCAAAACTCTCTGTTGGCCACTAAAATGGTCTTCCAAAAAAAGTCTATAAGTCCATGAACTCAGGGAGTGAGTTTTTGAGGGGCCTAGTTTTCCGGCTGTCAGAAGCAGAGGTCACAAGGCAAGCGCTAGAGCGTTTAAGCCACGGGCGCAAGGATTGTGCCATGTCGGAAGGTCCCGAATCCAGGGGATTTCACCATCTCTTGGTCGACGTTGGAAGGGGAGCATACATCTAAATTCTAGCAGTTAAGTGGGGATGTCCCACTAAACCAAAATAAGGAAAAATCAAAATGTTTTCCAGCAACAATCATAATCGGGATTAAGGGTTGACTTTGATCCCAGTGAAATGGCCTACTTGCAGCGCCAGCCAAGGAACAAAACTCGACATCAGCCTCCGAAAACGGGGGCGACAACCGCCAGCCAAAGCCCCGACGACAATCACCGATTCCCTGCAGCAGAATCATGTCCTCGGAATGTGGGGACTCTGTTTCTTCAACCAGGCCTACAGGTCATTCAAAAATCACACACAAGGGGGACAATCAGAGGGTTGGAACAGCTGGCCCATCGCTTAGTTGACGTTGGAAGGGGAGCATTTTCTTTAGCAGTTAAGTGTCCTACCACTAAACCACAATAAGCAAAAATGGAAAGAATGTTTCCCAACAATCATGATCGGGCTTGAGTTTGTCAAAACAGGGCTCTGGCATGCTCCCACCTTCCCCATAACGTTGACCCAGGATTAATAAACCCGTCCCATAAATAAGGGCCGGGGTGAAAACCCTGAATCCCCACTAAAAGGAAAAGGGACACGCCCCGATCAAAATCCACCAGGGGTTCTGCTTGATCCGGGTCCGATCTTCCGCCTCTTCCTCATCCAAGGTCTCGGGCATGCTGCCGAGGAAGTTCTTCTCCAGCAGCGGGTCAACGCCCATCAAGTGGGGCTCGAAGAAGACCATGCCGTTCCGCGAGATGGTGGCCGGCGACGCCTCGCGGAGCCGGTGCTTGGCCCCCCTTTTTTCGCATGCCAACATGGGTGTAAAAAACTAATGAGGGGCCCTCTGGCGGAGATCATTTAGATCGGGATTGAATCTTGACCCACTGTCCGCAGGATTTGCACGTTGACAGGCAAGGGTTTAGGGCTTGAGCTCAAGGCCTCCGGGCCACACATGCATGCCTTGCGGAGAAAAAGCAACTCGACTTGCGTCTCTTGAGGATTTATGTCCACCAAGCATTTAGGAGGGGGTCCTCATTAGAATTCAGTGCCACATGGCTTTGCCTCTCTTTTCTGCAGCCGAGGCGGCGCTCGGTTGCCAAGGCAAGCCGGAAGATCAAAGGGACCAAAGCAAGAGTTGCCACTTGCTGAAGAACACGGGCGTGGCATATGACCAGTGCCTGGTTTCAACTTGGACAATCCCTTCTTTGGGTGCTTGGTTTGGGGGCCGGCCAGCCTCATTCACGTCCATTGGCTCCATGATCGTCCGCATGTTCGGGGACATTGCAATGATCTCGCCGCTGTTGAGGCAAAGCTTCTTGTTCTCGTCCATGACGGTGTTCCTCGGGATTCATGTGCTTCTCGCCCCGCAGCACCAGAATATGGCCGTCACAATGGAAGCTTCACTCCTGCATGTTCTAATTACCAAGAGCGTCCGTACGTCCAACCAAGGCTACGCGGCACAGCAAACAGCCACTGGAGAAGCAAAAAAAGAAGAAAAAACGGAGAAAACACACGTGCGCGTCAATTCCTGTTATGATATGCGTATACATATCTGCCTACACATATTCATGTACTGGATTGCTTTGGGTTCTCTTCGTGCACGCCCTTCAAGTCAATGCGTGGTTTATCCTGCGCAGGACATCCTTCGAAGCGGCCCCCCGCCCTTGGCCCAAGGCTCATGTTCTCGATCCACACAGCGTCAATGGGCCCATCAAAGACCAGCCACTTGCGCTCCTGGCGATGCGGAGCTTCCGGTGTGGGGCGCTTTTTCCCTGCGCATTTTTTCAGGCCTGCTTGGGGAGCACCACATTGAGCGCTCGGGCACCACATGAGGGGGGCCTCTGTGTTTCTTCGGTCGGCGTCGGCTTCTGTGCAAAACGCATGAATGTGGCTCCTTGCAGGTCCAGAATCATCACGCAGCTTTGGGTATATTCCATCTTATCTGGTTTGCGTCCAAGCGCGGGCGCCAAAAAACAACCTTTGCACGGTGTTCCGATTGGAAACCCGATTGGAAAGCCCCTGCCTTGCTCCAAACAGGGGGGGGGGGTCCCAAGTTAACCTTCCCTTTTTGGGAGGAACACCCCGAAACTCTCTCTCTCTCTCTACCGTTGCGTCCAGAGGGTCTTGACTCAGCAAGGCCCGAAAGATCATCCACCTTGATTCATCCCACCCTCCAAGCGACGCAGAATCGATCTTGCGGTCGCTCGAGCCTCCGTCTGGTTGCGTCCAAACTCGCGGAAGAGCACCGCCACGATGCCGTCCGCCCACTCCTCGATCGATTGGCGGACGGCTGCCAGAGACCCGAGTGGGACAAAAGTGACCCTTGGAAAATGACCCACGCTGGTTCAAAATAACACGGTCGGACATATACCTAAATGGGGTCATTTCCCGGCGGGTGCAATCCCAGGGTGTAATGCAAAAACCAAAAACCCTAGAATGGTTGGTGGGGGTTGGACGTCTTCACCGGGGAACAGGATGCGAAAAGGGGATTTAGAGTGCCCACTCAACTTCCTGAGCTGTATGCATCAGGACGCAGACAGGCTGGGCTGGGCCATCCTGGGCCAGGTTCCTGCAGCTTGTTCCAACCTGGAGGCTAGAGCAGGTATCTCATGGGTCCCACATGCTGACTATCTCATGGGACATGCCGAATGACGAAAATCTCAAGGAAAGCTCGTTCTGTAAATTTCATCCGCGCTTGGGGGTTCCTGACGTTCTGCGGCAGAACGAAGTGGAGACTGCAAGACACTCAGACCTGATGCCTTTAAGCCCGGCCCTTTATTCTTGCTGGCAGGGCATGTGGGAATGAACCCAGGGGTCCCAAAGAAGACAGTGTATCTCGGGGTCATTCCAACTGATTCCCTGCCTATCGGATAGATCACGCGAAACCCCCAAGTACCCCCCCGACCCTCGCGGCGTCGACGCGAGGTCCTTGGACACCTCGTCAAAGGTGCCATACAGGCAGGGCGCCGGGATGCTCTTCGGGTTCAGCCGCGCCTCACCGATGCGCGGCTCGCGGTTTGCCCTAAGAAGCAAACTCAGACTCAATATGTGGCGAGAAGTTCTGGTTCGTTTGGCTCGTTCATTTGCCTCGGAGAATGGCTAAGTGCGTTTGTTTGGCTCAGAGAATTGCTAAGTGCCTCCGGAAAGCAAGCCGTTGGGTGTTGGATCTAGCACCCTCCCTTGCTCCGCCATCTCTCTCCGCTGTGTTCCGGTCGCAACCAACTTCCATCCATTCAGCACCCATCCAGCAACACATCCATCCCAGCACTCCGCCCATGGCCTGGTGCACGATGCAGCCGGCGTGCATGACCCCCTCATTGGCCAGGTCGGTCAGGGTCTTCTGCAGGCAGCCCAGGGCCGTGGTCTTGCCACTGAAAGGCGCGCCCACCAGCATCACGCTGTGCCGCACCACGTGGCACTCATAGAACCTGGGGAAGTCAGGTTGGAGAACCCACCGAGGCGCGGTTTCAGGGGTAGATCTTGGTTGACGTTGGAAAGGGGACAACTAAACCACAATAAGCAAACATGCAAAACGCTTTCCCAACAACAACCATGTAGATGGCAACAACGCAACTGGAGACCTGGGTCTTTTGAGCCTCCGTCTCACTCATATCTCATCAAGGCGTCTCTTCTTGACTATAGCCCTCCTTTTTCGGAGACTCGTACATGGGTCTGGGCGGGCGTCTAGATCACAAGTGTCCTCTTGGAAAAATAGATGGCACTGGTAATTTATTAGAACCAAAGAAAAACCTAGGTTTCAATCAAGCTCACGCAAAAAGGCAGCTGAGGACTTGAGCCACGGGTCCCCGACCATTCCCGGCCATTCCTGGCCAGGCGGCTGGATGATCTTCTCGATGAAGTAGGGGTGGGGCTGGCAGTGCTCGCTCCTGTAGGTTTTTCGGCCACTGCGTGACAAGGAGGCCCCACCAGCAAAGGACCCAAAAGGCGATGTCCGTCCAAAGTCTCAACTGGTGCTTGTACCTTTCCTTCCTACTTTACCCGAAGGGGCACTCAATTGCTGCATATGAAGCATGAACTCGGGAGGCCAAGGGTGCTGAAACCTTCCCACAGGCCTGAAGGCCTCTTCCCACGGGCCCCCCCCCCCCCCCCACCTCCCCACTCCCACCCCCCAACCCCACCCATTGCCCCCCCCCCACTGGCCCCCACTGAACCCCCCCCCCCCGCACCCGCCCCCGCCTGAGGTGGAACTCCAGCTTCTCCGTCAAGGCCCCGAAGTCCGGCTCCGGCAACACCACGCCAGGGAAGAGGTCCGAGGTGATGCCTTTGAACCTGAGAAGAAAAAAGTCAGTCTCACTTCCTGGGTGTGTCCTTGGGGAAATCGCAGAATTGGTTTCGGTTTTCCTTTGGCTTGCCTTTAAAACCAAAAGTCGCAGCAAAATGGGTGTGATTTAGGGGAAACCGCCAAAAAGGCTTACAAAATGGGCGTCCTTCTTTAGGGGAGGCGCACGAAATTGGGTTCAGTTTTCCTTTGGTTTCCCGGGAAAAAAGCCACCCAAACAAGGTACCCTTGAAACGACACACCGAACCTGGGGGGGAACAAGTGAATCTTGTGATCCCCCGCCCCCCACCCCCCCCCTCCCAACAAACTCTGGCAAAGGGCTGTGGAAAGGAATGGCATTCCTCTCCAATTCATGGATTTTTCGGGGTGAGGCAACTTCATTTTCGAGACTGGCCAAACCCCCCCTCGGTTGCTGTCTGCTCCCCTGCTAAAACTGACTAACTTTTAGCGGTTTAATTCGGAAAACCAATTCGTTAGTTGGATCAAACATATTTTCAGTCCTAACATCTCTTAGTACCTGGAAAGCCCATTAGTTGGCACATGCGCCAAAGACCCGGCTCCGTTTCTTTGCCGACTTCGTCAGGGCCGAACGGCGATCGCTCGCTTCGCCTTCCGCCGAAGCCTTCTGCCGAGGCGCAGCGGCACGTCGAAGGCCAGGAACTTGGCCAAGTTCACGTCGCAGATGGAGCGAAGCATCAGGATCTCCTGGCCGGAAACAGAGACATTTCTCGGCTGGAGTTAGGACCCCAGCAATATATATATATATATATGCGTGTGTGTGTGTTTTTGCCTGGTGAGTGGAAAAAAACAAAGGGAACCCCCAAAAAAGAAAAAAATGAAAGGGGAACTAATTCTGGGCAAGATTTGAGGCCCGGAGTGGAAAAACATGAGCTGCAATGTCTGGTAGAACTCCTTTCGGATTCCTGACCGCTGGAATTATTTCCCGTTCCAAGAATTCAAAATATGCAGCAAGATAGAATCTCTCTGATTTCCCGTAGGACATATTTAGGTATTGTACGACCATGTGCGGCTTCATAGATGCAACGCGTTTCTAAGCAAGGGAACAGGTACATGCTGTATGCGTGTCTTTGGCACATCCATATGCACACGAGTTCCGGTCAAAACCGTGCTGTACCTATCATCCAGGAAACATGTGTCAGCCATGGGAGGCACTTGCACCCACTTGTGCAACTGACATGGAGCCTCATCGCTAGCGCAGCAAAATGGGTGGTGCCCTTGAACTATCCAACATGTATCATATACATTGACCCCCGCCCCCACAAAAAATAAGAAGGGGGGGTACCTCGCTTTTTTGTTGGGTCATGGGCCCCATGGGTTCAAATGGCCCTTGCAGCATCCAGCCTCCTTCTCTGAGGGGTACTTGCGCTTCAGGTTGCCTGCTGCCACCTTGGCATCCAAAACTTGGCAGCCCTTCTCAGGCGCGGTTTTGCACCCGACAGAAGAAAGGCGTGAACAAAAACCTGGTCATGCAGTTGAACCTCCACAAGAAGAGCCAAATTGGGCGTCCAGGCAAGTTCAACCTCCAGGGAATATAAGAGGTCTCGAGGTTTTTGCTTTGATGCGGCAAAGGAAAACCCCGTGGCCAGGCCCGTTAGAGCTACGGCGATCCAGCCTTCCCCGTGCTCTAATATAGTTTGAGGTTTCTAGGTTCTCCAGTAGGGAGGTTAGAATAAGGGTACCGCTTCTTTTTTCTGTAGTCTATTTTAGTAATTAGGGGAACCCTCCCCCAAAAAAAGACACGGTAAAAGGGCACTATTGGGGGCCCTAGGTTCGCTTGCGGGGTTTGCTTGCGCCGGCATGTCTGGCCTACCTTCAAGGCCCATAGAAAGCAGCCAAGGCACCAACACAGAGAACACGGCTCGCATGCCGTAGTCGTAGTGCTTCCTAAGTGGGCCCGCCAGATTATCGGGATATGCACGGGGCTTCTCATGATATGCCCCTGCAAACGCAAATTCCAAAAACGGCAGTCAAAGTTGGGCTGCAGATGTTGCAGTTTGCTTTTGTGCCGTGTGAGCAATTCTTAGGAGCAAATGGGCCATGCCTCGGTTGCAGCCCTTGCAAGCGTGAAAGCAACCTCGTGTCAGCTTCATGGCTCGCATTCTTTTCGGGCATGTCAAGCGGGCCCATGTCAATGGACTCTTGCTACACAGCCCATGGCTTGAAAAGAGGTCTGGGCTGAATGCCATCAACTGAGGGTCCATTTCAAGGGGCCCTCCATCTTTTGCTTTGGGCGAACTGCGCAGTGAGCCGAAACTGAAACGGCAACTCAGCTGAAGCCTGGCCTTAAAGGCAAAGAGCCCAACGGAAGTGCAGAAAAGCCATAGCTTGAAGCAATCAGCCGTGCAAAATCCTCAAGCTCGAGGCTTACCCCCTTCGAAACTGCCCGACCGCCACCCTTCGAAACTGCCCGACCGCCAGCCAAAGCATATATATCCCCCCCCGCCCCCCGTTTTTGTTGCTTGGGGGTTTGGGGTAAGCAGCATCCTCCTCTTTCGCCTCGCCCTGATCGCCTTAAGTGCTGGGGAGGCGTCTGAGAGCTGAGCTGTTCGCTGCAGAGCTTGTAGGTGGTCACAATCTTCTGGGCCAAAGACCTTGCATCCGCATAGCCGTAGGAGTAGAGCTTGATCTCCTCAGTGCGTCCCAATCATAAGTGTCCTTTCTTCGGAAAATAGATGGCCCTACCAGGTAAACCAGGGGCACCCCTGTTTTTTTTTCCGGCAAACCAACCAAAAAGGACACCTATGGTCCGAATGGATTGCGGGCTGAGTTCTCTCTTAGCTCAGCTGCGCGGAGAATCTGAGGACCCTTGCAGTTTGGGGTCCAATTCAGGTTCATTGTCGAACAGGAGAGCGGCTGATTTTCTGGCTCACCAATCTCGTGAGGCATTGGGCAAGCAACACTGAGCTTGGTGGATGGGTTCCTGGATGGTTTAGGGCTTAGTCTCAGGCATGTGCCAGGTCAGGTGAGGCTACTGCATGTAGCCGGCAAGACATTGAGATATAAAATGGGTGGTGACTTCACCCACCAACCAGAATGGGATCCCAAAACGGTTTTGACCACCACAGCACCCCAAAAAAAAAGAGAAAAACAAAAGCCCCGGGCGCCGCGATCATCGCGTAGTCCGGCACCATCATGGCCACGGTCCGGAACAGCGCCTACCGCGGGGGCGCGTGGTTTCGGCCTCCGACCGACCAGTGGACCTAGGCTCAGCCTCGCCGGCGGAAAAAAAAAAACGACGGCGACGTGGTCTAAAGGGAAGAAGCCACCGGCCAATTGGCTTGACAGGAGGTATGAACTTGAAGTGCAATGCGATGCATTAATAGGGATCCTCATATTTCCCTGCGCTCTCTCCAAGGCCGACTATTTTTCCCCTGGAGGGGTTTAAAACATGGGGTGTCAAAGAGCCTAGGACATCTATACCTTGACACATGGCGCCATCAGCAAGCGTGGCACACGCCGCCTTCAGGTTGTCAGGCAGCTCGGCACGGCCAGCATAGCCCGGGTTCATCGTGATGAAGCAGTTGCCTCGAAGCTTCTGAGCAATGGACAGGGGCGCTCCCAGCCCCAAGGTTCGTCCTTCAAAAGCCGTCACCTAGCCTTCAAGGTCTTCCCCTGGTTTTTCAGCGCCCTTTTTTTTGGCGCCACCCCTTAGGGGTTCACCCTCAAGGGCTCTGAGACCGGAGCTAGGGGGGGGGGTCCTTCCGGTGGGTAGCGGCCAAGCTGCAAGTCCACTTCAGCGGCAGGTTGGCGGTGCCCTCAAACTCAAAGTTCGTGAGCCTCGCCTGGCGCATCGCAACCACGCTCCAAACTCCAAAACCGCCCCCAACCCCCAACCCCAACCCCAACCCACAAAACAAAACACGTGAAAGCCACCGCTTCAACGCACCCACCCCCGTTTTTTTAAACAAAAAAGCAAACAAAACGCCGGCATTGACGCGGGTCCTTGATGGCGTTCTGGATCTGCAAGATCTGCTGGGCGATGACGCTGAGCACCTCCGCGTCGATGCGGTTGAACTCGTCGAAGCAGGCCCAGCCCCCGGAGGAGGCCAAACCCTTGAAGAACTTGGCCTCCGCTCCGGCGATGCATTGGGCTCAGTCATAGGTGTCCTTTTAGGTTGGAAATGGATGGGTTTCCCTGGTAGATGAAATTAAACCAGCAGGCAAACCAGGAATCATTTTCAAAGCTCAAAAGTTGATCCATGTACTGCTCAGTCACCCTCAAGAGTTGATCAATTTTGCGGCTGTCCGTTGATTCCATCGCCACTTTTGGAGGTTCCAAACCCCTGACTCTCCTTTCCTTTGGGCGATTTGCCCACCGGAAGATCCCTTCCCAAGGCTGGGAGGGTGCTGGACATGCCGTCGGTTTCATGTTTACCCTTTCACATCTTTCGCATCTTTCGCATCTTTGCGGCGTGAAACGGCCGCAAGAATTGCCTGCTTGGGAACATGCGTTGCACCAACGCGAAAAAAACAAAAAGGCCCCCAAACTACCAGTGCCGGTGACATGTGGGGTCGCGGCATCTTCCCCATTTCTTCGGGACAAGAACTGGCTGTTGCCTGCGACCTGGAGGAATCCTAGACTTGACCTGGAGGAATCCCATATTCCCAGGTTCCTGGATCTGCCGTTTTTTGGTTTGGGGCGTGGATCTCGATGGGACCATTTCTGTCCGGCCATGGCGTTCACATCCAGCTCGTCGCTGCAGTTGAAGACCACGCAGAAGCGCGCCAGGGCCTAGCGGCTTCATGTTGACCCATTGATACACCCGTCCCATAAATAAGGGGGGTGAAGAAAAAAACACCTCCAAAAGTGGTCTGAATCCCCACTTCACTAAAAGGAATTGGACAGCCTCCGGATCAAAATCAAACAGGGGTTCTGCTTGGGGGGAGCCGGCCATGGGCTCCTCAACTAGGTCCTCCAGATTTGAGAGGTTAGAGTAAGGGTACCCGATTTTTTCACTGTAGTCGATTTTAGTAGGGAACCCTCCCAAAAAAGGAGTAGAGAAGGGCACCTAGCTGGGGGACCTAGTCAACTAGAAATTGTTGATACCCTTCATCCGGAAACAAAGAGAGGGGGGTGAATCCTACGAAACGATCGGTTGCCCTTCGTGTTTTCCCACCAAAAGGAGAGCCCTCAATGGGACTGTCCTGGCCAAGGCTGCAATGAGGCGCCGGCCACCCACATCACCCTTAGAGCTTGGATTGCAAGTCATCATGCTTCACCATCTTTGGCTCACAGCGAGAATCTTCGCACTTTCTCATCCTCACCATCCCCTCTACATTCAAGTTCCTCACCGCAATTCATCTTCGACTTGTGGCTTCGAGAAAACTATTTCAGCCCCCCATCACATTCTATGATGAGCATGCTTTTGATGCTTTTCCCTTTTGTGAGATCGCTTCTTCGAGGAGACCAGCGCGAATGTGGCTACATTCAAGCCTTCTTGGCCAGTATTGCCCTTTGCAACTTTCAGACGAAATACGAATCAAGACAAGTCAAGGTTAGAGTATGCCCAAAAGTGCTATGGCGGCACCGGAAGCTTCACTCGCACAACCTGTTTTGCCTTGAGCCAAAATGCACAAGTCATCCAAGGCGAACTGACTGTTTCTCATCAGTGTCAACCCTGGAAACCTGATTCAAAGGAAAGTTCAAGCAAACATGAATTCCGGGGGCAAGGTTGAATTAGACATGCATGCACCACCTACCATCAGGAAAATGTGGATTCCAGCAGGGGGCATTCTTCTCCCCCTTCTCACACTCGGAAAGTGTCCTACGCAGACTCCAGTTTAGTTATTTAACTATCTGGCCTACGCCTACGGGTCTCGGAGCGTTTCCGCTTCACGAGATGGCACTTTGCAAGTTGAGCTTAAGGATGCCATGTTAAGTAGGTCTAGTGCATGGTCCCACTTGCACACCGGCAATGGTTTTGTAAACACATCTGCTCTTTGCTTGTCCGTTGCTATGTACAGGAGTTTGCAACTTGGATCTTCGAAGACCTCATAAGCTGAACCTAGTTCGATCTTCTCCGTCTTCGTGAGGTGTCGCAATTTGGGGCTATAACCTGCAGCCACGATCTGGATTACAGCTGAGTTGTCCTGAAAGCACTCTAGCGTGACCTGACGATCCAAGATCAATTCCAGGAAGCCTTGTGCGCGGTTTGGCGTTTACTGCCCCACGCGATTGGCCACAAGGTGTTAGGGCCCTCAATGGACAAGAACATGCCACTCGTGCTTCTTGTGTGTTCGATGCCACTACAGTGGTCCGCATCTGTGTACAAGCACAGCTTGAGCAGCTCTGGCGGGTCGCCTATATGTCCTTGTAAAGTATACCCTTTTGACCCATACAGGTAGCACATTAGCCTATGGAGCCGTTTATCATCTGCTCGGCTCCAAGTGGTAATCCTACGTGTCAAATCCCCTATCCCTTTCATTAGGTCGGGTCGGCTTAGCCTAGCGCACCAGAGGATTTTCATCAAGATTTTGCATGCAGAAGTTGCCAAAACCCCTTTACTTTCAAAGTCAGCGGTTGTAAGGCTACCTTCTGGGCAGAAAGGACTTTTAGCTGTGCTCAACTTACATTGAGCCAAGTCCTCATACACTGCACATGCATCCTCGATGAAGTCGAACATTTCGAGCGAAACCTTGGTCGATCCATTGGTCCGGTCGAATTTATGCTGTCTGCCCAGCACACGTTCAACTTGAGTTGGAGGTTCGATCTCCAAATGCTTTTCGATCTCCTGCCAAAACTTGTTTTGTTCTGATGACGGCCCTGAGCACAGAATGTCGTCGACGTAGCAAGTTACAAGAAGCTTTCTTCGTGGAAACCAAAATGAAGATGGAAATTCATCAACATGTTGACCTTCCAAAAGTTTCATCACTTCCCTTCTTTGATCCCAATGGTATCCTGATTCGGGATGGCCATAAAGGCTCCTGACCAACCTCACACACGGCTGTTTGAAGTGCCGGTATTCTGGAGGAGTCAATTCCCAAGGCAAGATCACCCATGTGGGCACCTTTGTCCCAAGGTACGCTTGGGTGTAGGCTTTTACTACGTCTGATTGACGAGTTTCGTGACCCTTGATGGCGCCGTATGCTAGATTGATGTTGACACCGGTCATTCCGGTCGGAGTGACTTTTGCTTCTTGGAGCACCGCAAGATCGTTGTCTTCCGTGAGGATGTGATCCCCTCGGAAAACTATCCTGGCCTTGAGTTTACGGAGTTCTGGGGTTTCCCAATGCTTTATCGACAAAATGGTCATTAGGGAAGCAATGTTGATATGCTCCTTGTTCCTTTTACATCTTGCCAAAAGGTCCTCTTTTGAGATTACCTCATCGAAAGTCCAGGTTCCGTTAGCTACTAGCCCATTCACTTCATTGTCAATGGCGTCCTGCGCTCCAGGAAAGTTACCCCATTCTTTCCTCTCCAACAATTTGTGGATACCAGCAAACACATGTTCTACTCCTGGCAGCTCCTGATGACCTGCCTCGTCCTCTGGGGCGTGGTCGCCACACAGGAACTCTCGCACGGAGTTTGGCCCAGCTGACACTTGCACAGGCATTGCAGGCGGTGCGTCAATCCAGGGATATAAGGACTGAGAAATGCACCTTGCCATAGGCATCGGGTAAAAGGCACTTCTAGGTGTCTTACTGCCTGCAAGAGGTGAATGCTTATAGTCACGCGGATGTTGGCACTTGGCACTGTCTAGGTTTTTAGCCAACCTCCATGAAGAGGTTACAACTCTCCACGTCTTGAGGTGACATTTACCTTCTTGGTCACAGAGTCCAAATGCACAACCTTGAGGTTCCGCCACGAACAAGTCATGCCTCTTGACAAACCTGATCAGCTCTGGCAAGTCCCATCCGGCACATGTCTTCGGCCACTCGAAGGCAACGTGGCCCCCTTGACTGAGGACTTTGTCTGCACAACGAATGTAGTTTGCTAAAATTTTCTAGAATGCTTGCGCATTTTCTTGAGTTTCTTAGCAAACGGTTTTCCGTATTGATGGAGATTTACATTCTGCCATTGCGACCAGGGGCCGCAAGGAATCGATCCCCACAAATCACACCCGGGAAATTGTTCTATGACCTTCAAAAGACTGTCATTTTCCCACTGGCTTGACATGTCAGAGTTCTTTGTTGTGAGTCGGAAATGGTTGATTCCTCTTTCTTCGTTGATCTGACCCAACGTTGAGTTCTCATCGCAACAAAACTCAAAGAGTGTCGGATTCGCCGTTCGACCTTTGCGGTCTTCACGTGCAGGCTTGACCAAGTCCTTAGTGAGTTCAAGGATTTCTCTGGCCTTCCTAGTTCGTGCTTGGCTGTCACCGGCTTGCTCGATGAACCTTTGCATAGCTCTGAGATTACCGTCTGAAGGGTTGGCTGCGGCTGCACACAATTGCGCTTGATCTGGCGACACACGTCCTTTCGGAAAGAACCACGTCTTACGAAACCAGCTCTTGGATGAAATCCTTTGATACGGAGTCTCTTGCCAGTTGTCCCTATGCACGGAAACCTTCCCCTTGCATCTCCACTCGGTGATGCGTTCCGGCTCAACCTCGTTGGAGTCGAAAGGACAATCCTTACCCACTGGTGCAAATAGCCTTTTCCTAGGTCTTAAATGCACTAGTACCCATGCGTGCCTTGCTTCATCAAACTCCCAATAATCCTTGGTTTCGGAGTTGTCCTCAACCAAAGACTTTGCCCCCTTGACGTCTGATCTTGGCCCTTTGTTTTTAGAGTCTTGAAAAGAACAGTTGTGACAAGAGTCGACGGCGGTGGTACCAGGAGCATCGGTTGCTTCACTGGCCCTTTGGGTTAGCGTGATGACTGCTGCTGGAGTGGGCGGAACTGGTGTCGAAGGTGCTGGGCCAGATCCAGGAGTACGAGGTACCGGTGTACCCCGTGAAGCAGGAGTCGGAGGCATCGGTATCCCCCTTGCTGCTGCCTCTTCCCGGGCCTTAGCCTTGGCCTCCTGTGCCAGCCTCTCATCCTCGAGGAGGACACGGAATCTGTCGTGACATGCATCGGAGTGCGGTACTCCTTCCGAGATCCTTTCACACCCTTTGCAACCCGGGGTTCTACCAAATTTGATGGCCCTCTCCAACGTCACATAGGTTCGTTTTCTCCTAGGGACAGGATCTGGGACTTCATCGTCAAATGGCAAAGCCTTCCTGGTTGAAATGGATGTTGGGGTTGATTTCGCACTGAACAACTGAAGCCTTTGTTGCTCTGCCTCAAAAAGAGGGAAAACCCAATGTCCATTTGAAGGTTCGACCAATTCTGTTTCGTAAACTTGGATTGGCTTACCACAACCTTGAGTGTTTTTGCGAAGCGACTCAAAGTCTAGGACGAGGCGTATGCCCCTAAATTTGTACCCTGCGTCGATCCTCCAGCCAACGAATATGCCGGGGTATGTCCTCGGCTCGAAGTCCGGAAGCTCTCGATGCTTGGGCGGCTTGTAAAACACCAGGCAACCAAACGGCAGCTTCAAACCTGTGAAGGCGTCACCGCCGCTCGCGGCTTCATATGCGTTCTGAGTGGCTTTGAGATTCTTGACATCCTCCGAATCATTTGGATGGATTGCCGCATTTGTTGACACGGCTAATGCGGTGCACACGTACTCGACACTTCTTGGCCAAAACTGGTGAGGCAAACCAGATTTCAACTGAACAGCTCTAGCGGCTTCCTTAATGCTCCTGATCTTCCTTTCCGTGACTGGATTGTGGATCTGATCATTTGGAACACTAGGATCTGGAAGCCATCCAAGGTACTCTACGGCACCCTTGAGCTCTTCTGCACAGTCGGTTTTAACCTGACACAGTGCCTTACCATGAGCTCTGGTTCCTCCAAAGTGCTGAAGGCACCTGATGTTGCTATCGGTGTCCCGCTTAGTTTGCGGATACGCGGCAAACGCACCTGAATAGTCATCTAAGACTACCAAACAACAGCTTTCCCCATCTGACCCTTTTGACAAGCCCGTGATCATGTGATCTGCTCTGAGTTTGTGGCCAAAATGCAAAGGAGGTGTTTCCTCCGGATCTATTTCCAGACCCCTTTTGCGGTGAACCTTTGCGGTCATCTTAGCCCTCCTGCAAATCTCACAGTACCTGTTCTTAGGAAAGTGCGTCAACTGATGCTTTTCGGAGTTAGCTTCTTGCTGAAGCTTTTCACGCAATGAGGGGGTCCACTCCTCATCTTCAGAGGTTAGCGGCTCGTCCCCGGGTTCCTTTTCTGGCTCTCTTGCTGCGAGAAGTTCCTCTTCAACCCCAAAATGAGGCAAAGAGTCGTCGAGCTTCACGCCCCTTTTTGACCTCGGTAGGTCTGAAGGGTGGCCAGGCGTGGGCGGAGCTTCTTCAAATGCTTTGGCGTCCGGTGCAAGCAATTCATGAGGTCTCACTGACGGCCTACTTGTGTCCCCTTTTGATGAGGACGAAGGCTCTCCTCCTGTTGCTGGCATTCCTGACACGGCATCTGGTGCTGCGACAGCCACGCTTTCGGATAGGATTGGAACGTTTTGCTCCACACGATCGGCATAAATCCTGGCTGACTCCGGAACGTGATGTTGAATACTCCAGTGGCAAGAGTCAAATCACAAATCACCGCAGCGAAGTGATGCCCGGAAGGCTCAGCGCGCCTCGGCGTACGTGAAGTGCTCTCTGGCCTCGACGCAGCTTTGCTGGTCGCCTGGAGCAATCTGTGCTGCACAGGCTCCGCAGATGACGATGCAGGCTCTTCGGCTCGGAGCGACTCGCGCTGCACAAGCCTAAGAGGAGCAGATCGATCCGCTGCCTTCACAACCCGAAAAGACACCCGATGATTCTGGGGCTCCTCAGTCAGACGCTGTTGCGCGTTCCAAAAGGCCTGTTCGTAGAGCTGTAGCTGTTCCCAGTTGACTTTTGCACGTGCAAGCCTGTCCCAGGTGCTATCCAGCACACGGAGGTTCGTTTAATAAAACCCCCTCGGCCAATCCGTCACGTAGTACACCAAGTTCCTCTTCGTCCGGCTCGATGCCAACCGAAGAGGTTCCACAGTTCCGGTGCCACTCCCGGATGCTCGACGCCCTCACCCGCCGTAGCTATCGGTCGCAGCTCAAAAGCTACGGCTGATAACCAGACGAAATACGAATCAAGACAAGTCAAGTAAAGAGTATGCCCAAAAGTGCTATGGCGGCACCGGAAGCTTCACTCGCACAACCTGTTTTGCCTTGAGCCAAAATGTACAAGTCATCCAAGGCGAACTGACTGTTTCTCATCAGTGTCAACCCTGGAAACCTGATTCAAAGGAAAGTTCAAGCAAACATGAATTCCGGGGGCAAGGTTGAATTAGACATGCATGCACCACCTACCATCAGGAAAATGTGGATTCCAGCAGGGGGCATTCTTCTCTTTCTACTGGAATTTAAATCCGCCGATGAGGCACTCAGGAGCGCGAGGGCTACTGGAAGCAGCTTGCACCTGACTAAGAAGTTGCAACAGCGTCCGCCGCTCAGAGTTGCCGACGTTCTGAGGCTGAAAAAAAAAGAAATGCGCTGGTACCATCAGGGCAGTCCCGCCAGCCAATCCAAAATCTAACCAGCGGCTTGGAGGCGTCGGGCGGGCGAGCCCCGCCTTGGCCAGATCCTTGACCGTCTCCGTCTTGCCCGTGCCTGCAGGCCCCTCCGGGGCCGCGCCGTACAGGAGGTGCAGCGCCCCGCAGCAGGTGCCTCTCTCAAGGCTCCGAGTTCCACTGGACCGGGGGTGGTCGGGTCGGTGGCGGTCAGGCGGTCAACATCTGTGACTATCATTGGGGAAACCTGTAGCTGCCAAGTGAACATCTGTGATAGACCAAAATTCAGTACACGTATCAAGTCAAGGTGAACCTCTCGACGTGAAGCAACCGGCCACGGCCACCCCATCCTGAGCAAGAAATCTGCAACATATGCCCTCCGTCAAACATGCCCGGCTGTTCTCCTGTTGAGAGGGGGTACAAACCAATGTTTCAGGAGCTGGCTCTGAGCATTGCAAAGCGCACGCGCCAAGCGCCGAACTGCACCACACTGCTTTGCAGGTGTCAAGACAGTGCTCAAGTTCTTTTGGTCTTCCAAAGTCCGGCGCCGTCAGGAAGTCACAAGTTCGGGAAACCTGCTTTGGTGACACAATGGCCCCCACCTTTTAGCCTCCTCAGGGTCCTTAGCAGTTAAGGGCAGGGGGATTTGTCATGCCACTGGGGCATGGCCAAGTTCCATGATGAGGGGATGCCCCACGCTGGACCGGCCTCTTGCATTGCCTGTGGCATGCCAACTTGAAGAAACCTTCACACTAACTCACCTCCAAACAACATGTTCCTTCGGGATCCACATGTGTATATAAAAATATACATACATACGCTGAATGAAACACAGACACAAAGAGAGAGAGAGAGAGAGAGCGAGAGAGAGAGAGAGAGAAAGAGAGAGAGAGAGAGGGGGGGGGGGGGGAAAAAACAAAAAGAAGAAACCAGAAAAAACAATAAGCCCAGACTCGCACTCCCCATGAGTAACTTCCCCACGCGCGGGCCTTCAGACCTCCAACCCCCCCAACACTGCCAGCTTGGTCTGAGGCACGGTAGCAGCGGTCCGTCAGGGGCGTGACGACCAGGCGCCCGCAGTTGCCCAAGTATTCGTAAGCATAGCCCAGGTGGCTGTTGGTGATGCGGACGAAGATGTCCTCCACGCCTCGGACCGTCGGAGAGCTGAGACTCAACCCGACAACCCGAAGCAAGGTTGGGGCACCAGCATGACGTGTTCCATTCAGACCCAGGTGGGAGTCACCAACCTCCACCCAAACCTTACCCCCTCCAAACCTTTGAACTCAAAATGTCAACCAAGAACGGGCCATCTGATTTAACGTCCGACCCAAAACAACCCACCCCCAAACCCAAAGACCCTCGGCCGGAAGCTGGTGTTCAAACAAAAGTCGGGAAAGGCCCCCCCCCTCCCTCCCAAAATAAATCACCCCCCGGGTCAACAAAACGGATTCTCTTTTTTTAAGCCCCAATACATCCAAAAAAACGGGCGCCCAGCCGACCCCAAACCCCAAACCCCAAACTCCAAGCATCATAGGTGTCCTTTCAAGGTAAATACATGGCCCTGGTAGATGAAATTAAACCACCAGGTCAACCTCGAATCGCCCTCTGCTTTTTCTACCAAAACCAGCAAAAAGGACACCTATGGCCAAGCACCTCCAGGCACCCCCGGTTTTGAACAGAAACCCCCCGCCTGGCTTCTCCGGGTTCTCCTCGATGAAGTATCGGAGCTGCACCAGCCAGTCGAAGTCCGACACGAGATACGTCCCCCGGTCCCTGAGATCCACGATGGTGTCCTGAAACCGGCCCCCCGCAAAAAAAGGACCTGTGGTGGGTCATTTTATCAGGCTATGGGTTGGTAGTATTTGACAATGCTATGATGTTCCGCTAAAAAGAAAACAGAAAAAAAGGAAGAAAAAAAAAACGAGAAGAAGGCTGTGGCGGTTCATGTTGTTGCTAGTGTTGGTTTTGGTGACCATGTTCCACTATCTACTTCATGTGCGTTTCCTCCATTTGTGTTGGTGGTTCCGTTGTTTGTTGCAAATCATGTGAACTTAGCCTCCACCAGCGGGGTTCTCCCATGAGCACTGGAGGTGGCCAGTGATCACTTCAGCAGAGCAAACAAAAGGAACAAACAAGGAAAAACCGCCAACCTGCAGCTGAAAACTATGGGTTGCCAATGGGCACGCAAGCACGCCCTGCATAGAAACAAAAAGGACATGTTTAACCAGTGGCTAAAGGTGATAGGTTAAATGTATGCTTTATGTGTTTAAAAAAAAAATGGCACGCCCTAACTCCAATCATATGATTATGTCTCCTTTCACAGGTCAAACATCCATGCCGTTTTTTCCGCTTGTAGTCCTGATGTGCATGCTGGAGTTCCGGCCGTGGGGCACATTGGCATCCTTGAAGAGGAATCCACGTTTGCCCGCCATTTCGGGGGCTTCTTTACGTTTTCCCGGCCGTAGGGCCTTCTGAAAAAAGAACAAAAAAAGAAAAAACGGGGCGCCCATCGGAGAAAAACAACCTCCAATCTACTTTCTGGCCAGCCTGGGGTTCCTTTAAATACTACATCTTCCAAGGCACAAGGACCAGCCACCTTGAGCTACCAGGCACCCATGAGCCCATGAGAGCCTAGTGCCTGGGCTCTCGTTGCTCCTTGTTGTGCACGAAGATGACGATCAGCGCCTCTAGGGTGCAGCGCACCAGCTTGGGGATCTCCCGCCTGAGGCTGGTTGGCTGACCGCTGGTATCGTGCAAGCTTGTGGGCGGCCTAGGGAAAGGCCTTTCTCTAGCAGAGGGATTCCATGTTCCATTCTTTTCAATCCTCGTTCTTTTCACAAAAAACAGCTGTTTCTCTGGGTTTTTGGTGGTTTCCTGAAAAGAAGGATCCCTGGAAAGAATGGGGAAGGAAGGTAGCCCTAGACTTTCTGCGTGGCTGCGGCTTCTTCAATCTTGCTTTGATTTGGGTGGTTTCTACACATGGATCCCCCTTTTCGCTTGGTGTTGTGTTGAGGCAAACCAAGCGACAACCAGGATTCCCCCCCCCCCCCGCCCCTCTAAGATTTCCCCCCTCGCCCCCTCCCCCACACATTTCAGGCCCCGCGGTGCACCCCGTGGTGCGCCTCACCAAGCCCACGATGTCCGTCAAAGTGTCATCCAACTTCTGGGCGTAGTCCACCAGCCCCGCGTTGCCCCGCTCAGACAAGGCCTCTCACAGCCGAAGACCCCCACCCCCCCAAACATGTGACGGCCGGTGAGGGGAGATGCTGGGAAACCCAAGGCCTTCTTGAAGTCTTTCACACTTCGTGGTTTGGGGGGTTTAGGGGTTTAGGGGGGTTGGGGGGTTGGGGTTTTGGGGGTTTAGGGGGTTTTTCGGGGGTTTAGGGGGTTTGGGGGGGTTTAGGGGGTGTAGGGGGTTTGGGGGGGGGTTCGATCTTTCATCTTAGCTCGAAGAAAGACTCCGCATCCCTCAGAACAACGTTGCCTCGAGGTACCCTCCAACCAACTAACATGGAAGTGCACACACCCCATTTCCAAGAGGAAAGTAGTCTTTCTACAGGGCTCTGTGCACAAACCCATGTTAGTCGGTGGGAGGGTAAGTGAAGCAACCTGCCGTCAAACTGCTGGACCTCAGGGTGAGACCGGGGGGGACGAAGGTAGGGCCAGGCCCACACCGGCGAGCTGCGAACAGAGGGATCCCTACTTCACGAGGAACCCATGGTCGCGCCAATTCACTTTGGCATGTGATATTACCCACAGACATAGGTGTCCTTTTGGGGGAAATAGATGACCCTGGTGGATGATTAAACCACCAGGTAAACCAGGTTCATCTACTTTTAGACCAAAACAACCAAAAAGGACACCTTCGCTCCGGGAAGCAGACCTGACTTGGTTCTTCTGGAGCCATGTCCCTTCAGACCCGCACCCCCCCCCCCGGCGGCTCTCCCCCAAATCCTCGCCTCATTCACCTCCGACGTCCAGAAGAGGTTAAAGATGCCGATCACCACCTAACAGGTGGGCCAGACAGACCTCTGCGCCTTCACATGGAAAAGGCCTAAGTCCACAAAAGGAGCTCCGGTTGACCGGTTGACCCCGAAAAACCCCCTGCCTGGCCCGGCCACTTCTGCACCCAGTCCACGAAGCCGCTGTTCACGTAGTCGTCCCGGGACCTCTCGAGCCCAAAACTGGGTCGCTTGAAATCCGGGGCCCGGTTCCGAACATCCGCCACTCATGTGGTGGCTGCAAGGACCACTCTGCAACAAGTGGAGCTTTTCGTGGGTTTGACGGAAAACCCTGGATTTAAAAACAAAAAAAGAAAAGCGCCCATGCGAAGTACCTGGAGCCGACCTGAACCCAAAGCTCTTTTAGGGGCAACTTGTCCCTTTTGTTTCCCGCGACCAAACCCCTGCCGCCAGGGCGCAACCCAAAGAAAGCCCAAAGAATTGCCAAACAACACACACCAAAAACTCAAACCCATGGCCTTTTGTATCTTCGAAGAAGGAAGCGAACCACTCAGACCAGAACCATCAGAAACCAGAGAAACCACACTCCAAACTCAGAACCACTAAACCAAACAAGTGCCCCAACGCCCACCGAATGCGGCTTGGCGATGAAACGAGGCGCTGGAAGCTTTGGTCCCGGATGGACTCCAACATCGCGTCCTCCACCTGTACCAGCCACTTCTCTACCGCCCCATTGGCAGCCACCGGGTCCACGCGAGTGGTCAACGGCACGGGCTCCTGAGCCATTTTTTTCCGGTGGAAACGGCTGGGAGTTTTTGATTGACGTTGGAAGGGTGGCAACAAATCGACAATTTTAGCAGTTAGGTGGTTGGATTCCAACCACTAAATCACAATAAGGAAACATGTCAAATGCTTCCCAACAACAACCATGAGTTGGGGGTCAGCCTGAGCCAAGAGCAATCGGTTTGTTGAGGGGCTCTCGGCTTCGCCAATAGCACTCAGATTGCTCATGTCCTTGAAGGCTGCGGGTCTGGCAGGCACAGGCTGGCCCGTGGGAGTCTGCAATTGCGAAGCCTTGACACGCATCAAACTTTCAAACCTGATCTTTCGATTTAACGCCCTGGATAACCAAGAGCAGCTCTCCCGGCAATGGTACCATGAAACCTGATCTTTCGGGTGAAGGACGCCCCTGGATCAGCAAGAGCAGCTCTCCCGGCCATGCCCAGTCCTTCTCTGGCGAGATCATACCGGAAATCGTCATGTCCTCCTCAAACTGAAGGCTCTGGATGCCCTCGAAGCACTTCTTCACGTGCGCGTTCACGCGCTTCGGGTCTTTGGTCTCGCTGAGGATTTCTAACAGGTTGTCCTGAACGGGCGTCTCTCCAAAGAAAAGGAACCCTCCAAATCCTCCAATCCATTCATACAGAGCTTGACAGGGGGGTCTGGGAGACCATTTTCCTTTTAAAGGGGCCCCCCTGTCAGGTTCCATGTTCATGGATGGGAGGGTACCCTCAAAAAAATCCAGAGACACTCGCTCAAATTAGGGTAAAACAATGGAGCAGTGCCAAGCTGGACTGGGACCTGGTCACCGGTTGCCACCCTTCCAACCGCGACGTGCCCCAAGTGCGACGGAAGTGTATGAGGCGACTTCAAGATCTACAAGCTCAGAAGCCCACCTACTCAGTTTCTCCTGTAACGTCTGTATCGCCACCAAGCTATGATGAAGCGTTTCGAAAATGAAAGCAGAGGACTGCCCTATTGTCAAACACGGAAGCGCAGCATTGGGCAGCATAGTACCGTCCCTGCCTGCACGCCTGCATGCTGACCAAACACCTCCTCTCGCAACATGCTCTCCCCCCTCCCCCCCGTGTAGCCGAAGCTTCGTTGGAAAGGAAGAAGAAACGGGGGAAGAAGAGTCGCTTGGTCTCCAAGTAGTCATTCAGCCCCTTCTGCACCGTCTCCAGCTTGTCATTGGCAGAGGTGAGCTTCTCAAGGAAACTATCCTGCTTAAAAACCTCGGCATGCCGCTGACCTCCAAGGCTGTGGAACACTCGGGCCCCTGTGACGGGCAATTTTTTGGACCCAAGACATGGCTAATGTTAACCCCGGATGAACAAACCCCTGGTTGATTTTGATCGGGGGGTGTCCAATTCCTTTTAGTGGGGATGCAGACCATTTTTGGAGGGAACACCCCCCTAATTATGGTCAACATTAGACCCTTTGTGACTCCTTAGACACCCTTGGACGATTCAGTTCCCAAAGCGTGGTCACAGTCGCAGCCCCATTTCGACAACAGGCCAGGAGTCCACCTTGGAGATTAGTTGTACACATGTGGGGTACGAGCAAGACCTAGAAGCTTTGTTGGGCAGGCGTTCAAATTGCCAAGGGTGTTGCCACTCCGACCGCTGAATACTAACGCGCCACCTTGGTACCCCTCAGCATTCAGATTCTCCTTGTATCTCACGGGTACCGAGGACACTCCCTTCGGAGCCAGAATTGCGTTGGAGCTACTCCACTTGCATGGCCCTTCCACTCCCTGCCCTGGCCAAGCTCTTGACATGTCAACAGAACCTCTTGCCTACCTGGGAGGTCCAGAAAAGCACAAGCTGCATGTCTTCATCTCACTGGAAATGAAATGCGGGATCGCTTTCCAACGAAGTGTCACGGGTAGACCTGTTGTTACCCTGAGGCCCCTGGCTAGCACATGAAGCCACGGAAAGGGTGCAGCTCATCCCGAAAACCAGCCGCGAACCACCTGTCAAGCCACCTTGAGGGCCTCCGGCCCGTTGACGCAGCCGCTCATGATGGTCCGCCAGGTGCCATCCACCTGGAAAAAAAACATGCAGCCGACAGAAAGCCGGGATCTAATTTTTATTGGTCGCCGCTCACACATGTCAGCGGCCAAGATCGGGCAAGTCTCATACATGCCGGCATCTCTGGGGTTCAGCCTCCGTGCCTTCCAGCCTCCAAAAGCCCGTACCCAAGCCCAGCTGCAAGCCTCACATGGCGTGACCAATGCTCGCTTCAAGATCAAGAAATCCCCTGCCAGTAATGTTGACCCCCTAGTAATCAACCCCAGTTTATTAATAGGGGGGTGTTCCCCTCCAAAAGTGAACAATCCCCGCTAAAACCAGGGACACCCCCATATTCATAAATAGGGGTTTATTAATAGGGGGCGTTCAGTATGGGGCTCGGTGGCTCCCTCCGGCCTCGCGGAAGAGACGGCCCTCGGTGGGCATCTGCTGCATGATGTCCTCCGAGGAGAAGATGGGCTCCAGGTAGAGCCACACGCCTTGAACCTGGCAAGCGCAGCTTCGGGATTCAGCGCGAGGGCGCAAGAGCGCAACACGAAAACGTGGACGTTGGAAGGGGGCTCAGTTGTTCAGTTGTTCAGTGACTCCCGAGAAGCTGCCAAATTCTTGCTCCAGGCGGCCGCACAACAAACTTGAGTTAGCTTCTTGGGCCAACCACTGCCCTGTGCGTAGTAAACACCGCTGCTCCGAAGGTCCCTTTGGGCGTCTCCTTGACTCTTCCCTGACCCCAAATCCCCAGCCTTGAGCCACACGTCCACGATGTCCTGGACTCCGGTCAGGTACTTCTCCCAGTCCTGCGGTCGGGGGAGTGCCCTCCGTTTCCTCTGAAACGCGCAGCGAGGTCACGACGTTTCGCCGGGAAGCAAATCTGATTCCAAGCATCAAGGCGACAGTTGGAGACCAAAGAGGTCAAGCAGCTGAGTCGGCTTCAAATCTCTAAGCTCTCTTTCGGGGCCGAACATGTCCAAGCTGAAAATGTCACGCTCACATCCCACAAACTCCCCAATGGTTGCAACAACAAAACCAAAAAAAACAAAAAACACGTGTTGGCAAGCTCGAAAAAGTGCGACGCGCGTCGCGCACGGACTGCAAGTCGCGAGGTCGCGGACATGGTCGCCTCCAGGCGATCTCGAAACTCCACGGCGAAGGGAGAGCCCTTCATGGTCTGGGTCTTAATCACGTGATCCTCAGTTGCCCAAAGGACCTGGAACTAAAAGGTGATCACCTTTTGGGGCCATGACTAAATATGGGAACCCAAGCTGGGAAAACCAAAAGGTCAAAAGGTCGATTCGCTTTGAACAAAGGATCGTCCAGCAGGGTCTGCACCTCGTCGATGGAGCCCCCGGCCACGATGTAGGTGCCGGTGCTGCCCCAAGGTTTGAACTCCATGACCACCGGCTCCCACTCTTTGATCATGGCTTCCTGAGCCGAGAGGCCAAGGGGATGAGCGGGGGTGGTGTGAGAAAAGGAGCCAGCGAACACAAGAGACCCCAACCTGCCTGCAGGGCCTTGGCCGAAAGAACTTTGTGGGTGGACATCCTGCTGGGAAGGCAAGTGCACCAAAACCCAGGTGAAACGTCCCCCTCCGCATACCCAAAACACCCACTGGGTCTCACAGTGTTTATGGTTCAGGCGTTCCTGCAGGTCTTCTTTGACGCGCCAAGTCACGACCATCAAGTTGCCGCTTCAGGGGAAACAGCCCCGCTTGTTTTTGTTTGCGTGAAACACAATTTGCACTACCACATTAAAAGGGGATCACAACACGGAACGGTGGGCCTAAAAGAACGCATACCTGGGCCTACCGAGTGACCAAGAAAAGTGAAAGCCCCCTGGAAAAAATATCAAATATGTCCAGTAGTGATAGATTCCCTCTAAAAGCCAAAAGGGGAAAATGGAGAAAACAAAAACTTCTTAAGCAAGTGGATGTAAAAGAACGCATACCTGGGCCTACCGAGTGACCAAGAAAAGTGAAAGCCCCCTGGAAAAAAATATCAAATATGTCCAGTAGTGATAGATTCCCTCTAAAAGCCAAAAGGGGAAAATGGAGAAAACAAAAACTTCTTAAGCAAGTGGATGTAAAAGAACGCATACCTGGGCCTACCGAGTGACCAAGAAAAGTGAAAGCCCCCTGGAAAAAAATATCAAATATGTCCAGTAGTGATACATTCCGTCTAAAAGCCAAAAGGGGAAAATGGAGAAAACAACAACTTCTTAAGCAAGTGGATGTAAAAGAACGCATACCTGGGCCTACCGAGTGACCAAGAAAAGTGAAAGCCCCCTGGAAAACATATCAAATATGTCCAGTAGTGATAGATTCCCTCTAAAAGCCAAAAGGGGAAAATGGAGAAAACAAAAACTTCTTAAGCAAGTGGATGTAAAAGAACGCATACCTGGGCCTACCGAGTGACCAAGAAAAGTGAAAGCCCCCTGGAAAAAAATATCAAATATGTCCAGTAGTGATACATTCCGTCTAAAAGCCAAAAGGGGAAAATGGAGAAAACAACAACTTCTTAAGCAAGTGGATGTAAAAGAACGCATACCTGGGCCTACCGAGTGACCAAGAAAAGTGAAAGCCCCCTGGAAAACATATCAAATATGTCCAGTAGTGATAAGATAAGCCAAAAGGGGAAAATGGAGAAAACAACAACTTCTTAGTCAAGTGGATGTAAAAGAACGCATACCTGGGCCTACCGAGTGACCAAGAAAAGTGAGAAAAACAAAAAAAGGAAAAACAAACCTCCCGGCGTCTAAGCCGAGCGTCTAAGCCGCTTTCGATCTGGTACTCTTTGGCAGCGCTCTCCGAGATCTCCGAGATCTTTGCGGTGTAAGCGCCGATGTCTCTATCCAGCGCCTAGCAGTCTGCAGCTGCATCCGATTTGCTACAGGTTCCCAGGTAAGTGTGAATTTTGAATTAGAGACCCTTTGGTTGACATCATTTGGCTGTGGGGATTTATGTGCACCAACCACTTTTCAGGGGGTTCCTTGTTAAATTTCATAGCCAGTTGGGCCAGCAGCTCTGACTCGCTGTCGGCCACTCAAGCGCATGAACGCTTCCGAGAAATGAAACGCGACCAATATGATCTTCCAGGTGGCCGCCGTCAGCGGCATATCGGGCGGAGAGCCAACTGGATGGCGTATTTTTACGGGCTTCCCAAACGGGGCCCACTCTCGTCTGGGCCCCTGCCTCAATCCAGAACCCCCCACACACAGACACAGAGAAGGGGTCGACGAAGGGGTCCCGCCTTGTTCAGCGTGAGGGAGGGGTCGGGGCCCATCTCAAAGCCGATGATGTTGGAGATCTCCGACCAGTGCCTTTCCCGCAAGCCCGGGTTGCAGAGCGCGTGCAGAAGCGGCACATTCTCCTGAGTTCGTCAGCTAATGGGGTGGTCCGGTGGTCCGGTGGTCCAGTGGTTCTGTTGTGGGGAAGCCACGGGGTCGAAAGCCAAGAACAAACCAACCAATGGTTGAGTCTGAGGCTGGCCATGTTGGGTGCTCACGTTTGTGGGCGACATTCATTTCGGGGTTGGCGCCTGAAGGGAGGCTAAAAAGCCCCAGCACTTGAATATGAATGAAAAAGCTCCAGCTTGGGACCCAAAACATGCGAACATGTCTCCAAAAAGGACGCTGCCTTCTCACCCAGAAACATGCTATGTCTTTTGAAGGCGGACATGCCTGGAGAGGGGCAGAAGGTGCCAAGCCCCCAGGGGGTATCTAAAAAAAAACAAGGCAGACAAGGGGGGCACTTACAACATGGCATACAAAAACAAGTCAAAACAAGTCAGACAAGACCTGCCTGGATCGAAGAGGGGCACTTTGCGGAAGACACAACAAGTCCCCATCTGTCCCCAGCTCCTTGAAGGCGTCCAGCTCGTTCTTCACCTTCTCGGCCACCTGCTTCGATTCGTTTCGGCTCATGATGTCATTGGAGCCTTTTGGCCCATGGGAAACCCTCACGTGGCGCAAGTGGGATATTGGCCAGGAATTAACGTTGAAACCACAAGCTCCCCCAAAGCAAGGACCCGTCCGGTGCAATTAACGTTGAAACGCAAAGGGTTCCCCCCCAAAACAAGGGGACAGACCCCCCCACCCGGTGGAATGAATTTCTTGCGCAAGCGTCCCTTGGCTCTATGGAGGAAGCGCGCATGGACTCGGGACCCTTCAGCTGGGCGTGGCCCGCTCAGAGCCACACGTGCCCGTCAAGCCCGCAAGCCAGGATTCAAAGGCCCCATGTCCCTTCACCTTTCCTTCTCTCGGGTTCCATCTTTTCCCTTCACCTGTTTCGCCTTGACTTCCCTTTTCCAGGAAGGAACGTCAACATGCCCAAAATGTGGGTTGTTCCCGTGTTCAACCCTCCCTTACCCCAAAAAAAGAATGAATCCAACCCACCGACTCAAAGCGTCCTCACCGCCTGGCCTTGGAGGGCTTGGTCTGGCCGTCCTGCTCGAAGGTAGCCTTCAGCTTGAAGGCCAGGCGCCACATGCTCATCACCTCCGCCTCAATGGCCTCGGGGTTGATGTCCCCGTTGAAGAGGGGGCTCCTGCGGCGGCTTGCGGCGGCTTGAGGCGTCCGGAGTCGAGGGCCTGTCCGGGGTCCAAATGGTCTTTTCCGGCGCATCGTGACGATGTGCTTGACTTCAATCATGGAGAATGGGGCTGTGTGAACATGTCGTCCGTTTTTCGCTTTGCAGAATGTCGTCCCAGAACAATACGCTTTGAAGTCAGCAAAAGGCTGGCAGAAGCGAGCGACAGCGTGAAGAAATGGACTAGCATGTCACCTGCCACGCGACAGTCCGCAAAGACTAGGCAAGGCACCTCCCGGCCTATCTTCACCACTTCAGAGAAGGGAAGGCACGGCGAAGGAATGCAAAATGCAGTGGACAAAGACTGTGATGATCCCAAAGGCCGCCAAGATTCTTCTGACCCTGCCTGCTAACCTGGCAGCTGATTTTGCGGCTGAACTCATGAGCACTTCGCCCCAGACCCCACAGCTCCTGGTCCACTTCTGATTCGCCTGGCTGTTAAGGGCTTGAAAGCGGGCTAGGCTAGACATTGGGCCAGGGTTCATTTCTGGTTGCCTCGATGCCACTTGCTTAATGTTGACCCCAAATTAATAGATCCCAGTTGATAATATGGGGTTGTCCTCGGTTTTAGTGGTGATTCATCACGTTTGGAGAGGAACACCCCCACATCTATAAACAGGGCTCTATTAATCCGGATTCAACATTACACAGCAACGGCTGCCCGCTCTAGACAAATCGCAGAGTCAGTTCTGTTTTCCAATTGGACTGTGCTGAAAAAAAAAAACACGTTGTGACACGCCATCTCCAGCGTGCTCCCTCACACTTCAACATCTCTTCGCCCTCTTCGGGTGGCTTCCAGAATCAGACATCCCCTGGATTCCTTGAATTACTTAGGCATCTTAGGCACCTAGTGCAGTCCATGTCATGGTCAGCTTCGAAACAACGTCCAGAAGCATGACAAAATGCACCCATGTTGACTTCCATCAAAAATAAGGCAATGTCAAGATGGCAAAAGCTGCAGGATTTCCCATATTGTCCCTAAGCATTCCCCCACTGCTGTGGACCCCACATAAGGTCAAGTCACTTGAAAGATGGGCCATCCACAAAAAATATGTTTCAGAGAAAGGGAAGTTGTAGAGAACCAGACGCAGGGTCCACTTCTCGACTAACCCAAGACTTGAACCCAGGAGTCTCGGTTCATTTCCCCCAAAAAGGGGACTTCTGGGTTGAAGCCTTCACCCTGACCAGAAGGGTAGACTCAGTGGCCCCCAAACCCAGAAATCAAAGGTGATCAGCTTTTGGGCCACTGAAAAAGCTGGACCCGGTTCAGGGAAAAACCACAAACCGATCCGGGTCAGACCCGCTGGGTCCGAGTGTGGCAGACCCATGGCCTTCTGATGGTCGAAGACGAGGTTCCTTGGCTGGAATTAGGACCCCAGCAAAAAACTATTTTCCTGGTTTGTGGAACACAAAGCAAACCCCAAAAAAGCAAAAAAGAAAAAGAGAAAGGGGGGAGCTAATTCTGGGGAAGGTTCCAGAGCTTGTCGTAGGGCTCCAGGGCCGCGTGGGCCTGATCGAAGACCTCGAACTCGCCGGCCTCCCAGCCCACCAAACTCTCCTCGTAGTTGATCTTCTCGCACCGCGCCTCTCCGCAACAAAATGATGATCAAGACCCTCCAGGTCCTCCACTAGAGAGGATAGAATATTTTGGTAGGGGCCAAAAAAAAGGGTAAAAGGGCACTACTGGGGGACCTAGCCCTATATATTTGAGGTCCTAGGGCCTAAGGATTTGTGATTTTCCTTCAAGACTTCATCAAAGTTGCTGTCCGCAAAAGAACGTAAAACATGCCACGCTTTTCTCAAGACCCAGAATAGTTGAGGTTCTAGGGATGTTTGATCTTCCTTTAAGACTTTACACAGTTGCTGTTCTTGCTCGTGGTTGTGTTCTGTTTGTGCGTGCTTTCATTTGTTTCCTCACTCGCGGACAAGCATCTGGCAACAGCTGTCAACACCTGCCAACCTGCCAAAGGGCTGCGTCAGAAGATTTGGAGAAGCCTTCCAACAAAGTGCGAAATCTCAGGCAATCGTCCTTTCGGCGCGGCTCGGGGCTGAGACACACGTGGGCCCAGGAGAAGCCTTTTGCCAAGGGTCGCGGAAGAACCTCCGACGTTGCAAGCCCAACTTGCCAAGGAGACAACGGGTCTTCAATGGAATCGGTGAGCCCGATTTCGGCTGACTTCGCCGAAATCGAAGCCTACCCGACTCAGAGTTCCAAGCTCATGGCCCCAGTATAATTGATGCCATGTGCCGTGCCTGCAGGGAGGCCAAATTCTTCTTGATGCTGGACAGGTCGTCCAGGTATTCGTCCAGGTAGCGCACCTAGAAACACTCCGCCCCCTTGCAATTTCCAGCTCGCGCGGTTTGACGCAAACAGCAATGGCTCGGAAAAGTTTGCCCCTTTGTCTTTCGAGGGTCTGGACCCCCATCCCCGAGGCTTCTCCAGGGGACCATGCCTTCTCAATTCTTGGAACCGCTCTAAAGGGCGCTACACCCAGACATAAATTTACTTGATGATTGCTTTCCCAGCTGTCCCCCCCTCACACGAAGGTTCAACGCGCTGAGTACTCTTTCTCTTTAGGCGCTGTTTCACAAGCAATCTGGGCCCTGGGACTGGAAATGGAACCCAGATTTTTTCCCTGTGGTCAAAAACCAGCTAGGATCCCCAAGAAATCAAACAGGGGATCCGATCAGGGCGACGCAGAACCGGCTTGGGGGAACCGCCCGGAAAAAAAAGAAAAAAGCAAAAAAAACTGAGAAGGCACGATACCCCGGGGAAAAGCCGATGTGCGTTTTTACTGTAAGGTACCTCGTTTTTGGCCATAGGCTTTTCCCAAGTGGACAGTGCCTTCTCAACTTTTTATTTTTTTTGAAAAATAAAAATAAAAATGAGCGAGCACGCAGAGGTTGGGGGAGCACGCAAACCCGGAGAAGGCCCGCAAAACCGGAGAAGGCCCGCAAAACCGGAGAAGGCCCGCAAAATCCGGAGAAGGCCCGGAAAAAATATGAGTCTGTTTTGTTTGGCGATGTGTGACGTGCAAATCCGCATCCATGGCTGCTGGTGATGCCTGTGCTGCTGCTGATGCTGGTTATGCCTTTGATGCTGGTGATGCCTCTGAACTGGTAATGCCTAAAAGTATCAGGCCAGAGCCAAGGCTGACAAACCAACATGCCATCCCTTGAGAAGGCACGCTTATCTGGGGGAACCCGCAAAAACCAGAGGACGTGTGTCCAGACTTCCGAGTCTTGCAAAGCTTTTGGTTGGCCAGGTCCAGCCTGGCCCTTGTCCTTGAACTTCTGCACACTTGTGAGGATGTTGTTAAGCTCCTTTCCGGTGCGTTTACCAAGCCCCATGTGAAACAATTTCTGCCGTCTTTGAGCCCTCTCGCAACAGAGATGAATGCTTAGTCCCTTTTCATGGGTTGGGAACCTTAGACATGCCGCTGACTCACCAAAAGCTTGCAGCGGCAGACGTGATTCGCAGCAACTCGCGATGCTCCTCCTGCAGATCACTCCTTCTGACTGTGAGCTTGCCTTCGATGGTCATACGGTCCTCAGAGTTTTGTGTGTTCCATGTCGGGGCCCGAGCATCTCCCAGATGGCATGCTAACACTTTGAACACACAATTCCAGCATCACATGGGTGTGGGTCAAAATTAAACCACCAGGGGACCGCAGGTTGCAGTCCATGCTTCCATTTACCAGGGTTCCATTTTGGGTACATATTGTTGACCCACAGCCACATATCTCTGTGTAAAACCCAGCCAGGATGGCTTCACTGACTATTCTTGACACATACCCTCTAGCCGAGGCTCCATCTCGAGGTCGCGCTCCCGCTCCGCGATATTTTCGCCATAGGCCTTCCTGAGGCAGACTAAAAAAAGACCAGGCCGTGGTGGTCAAAACCCATGGAATCCCATTTTGGCGTAGGTGCAGCACCCGTGTTGGTCGATTTTAGTGGTTGGACGGGATTTCGACCCATGGCCACCAGAGCGCCAGGCCATGCCCCGGCACGCCATGCTGCCGGGAGGCCACTCGGAAGCGGCCCAAATGGCATTGTAGTCCTCCTCTGTCAGCAAGTACTCCTGGCAAACTGGAAACGGGCCACACGCAGCTCAGCAGCTCAGCCATCGGATGGGTGAAACCAGGCCGCTTCACGCGCCGGCTCCGAAAGGACCCCCCTCACCCCCAGTCCCCAGAGCCTGGTCCCAGGTCAGGAAGAGCCAGGCCTTGATATCCTGGCGAATGCAGGGAAGGCCCACGCAGAAATGCATGGCCAAGATTCCGGAAGCAGCAAGCTGGGGAGGGCGTCGAGCCCACGACTCATGCACTCGTGCGCAGTCGTGGGCGACATGCACAGGCTCCAAGCTTGCTAGCCCAAAACAAAGAGCATGACGCGCTGACGGCTCTCTCTGCAGGGGTTCCCCTTCTTGAAAAGTGCAAATGCCAACTGCCTTGACGAAGGGAGCATTTCAGAAGCCAAACACTTTCCAGCTGACGGCAAGGCGACTTCCTGTGCAAGCGCCCAGGCCTCATACTCCTCCAGGAGGCTGGGGAGGATCTTGGCCTTCGCTTCCTCCACGGCATTCTCCAGCTCCACCAGCTGCTCCTGCCCGGTCCAGTGTAGCAGTTCCCGCCCAGTCGGGTAGGAGCATACGTTCCCACGGACACATGCGCGTCACTCAGGAGGGTCTTTGCTGGACTTGGTGTCGCTTTATCGCGCAGGGTGTCGGTTGCGGGCCCCGCTTGGGGTTCCTGGGCTTCTGTTCAGGTGCTACGTTTGAGGTTTTGGGTTCAGCTTGCGCCCCCCAAGCAGGATGTACACGGAGGTCATTTCGCTGCCTGGCAGAAAAATTAACAGGCGTGGCAGTCACCCTTTGTGGAGCCACGAAAGCAGCACCCACTAAATCCCAGCGCTGCGACCTTCCCATAATGGGTTTGGAGTCAAAAACAAGGTTTCTCCTGTAGCGAGCTGCCCCTGCCTCGTTCTCCGGCTGCCGCATGATCCGCTGGTTCAGGTGCTCAAACTGTTTCACCAAGCCTCGGATTGCATGGAGACTGCCCATCTTTTGACCCCGACAGCTGGCTAGCTGTCGCACTCAGACCAAAGCCACACCCAGCCCCCTTGCAGACAATGGTTCACAAGCCTCTACGCAATAGTCAGTGAAAGCCGTTCATGGTAAAAATTAGAAACGCTATGATTCTATTTCTGGCTGCAATGCCTACCGTTGCCACACACACACACACAGCTGGGAGGCACCCCCGGCGGCCGCAACGCGGCCAAGGGGCGCGCGGAGCGATCTTGGTTCCTCACCGCGAGGGAGCGCAAAATCTTGGCGATGCACTCTTCCGCACACTGCTCCAGCCGCTGGTTCACCTCAACGGGAACCGGAAAAAAAACAGTGGTTTGTGTGGGTGTTGCATGAATATTGGGGAGAATGATGATCCCCCTTAACGTCCGGGGCAAAGACGGCGCAAATGCGGACATGTGTTTTTTTTGGCACCCAGCCGAAGTCAAATTGGAGAGAGAAGTCATGCAGTTGGGAATGTGAGGGACGTGCGCCGTGCGACGGGGAAAGCAAAATGTTCCACCTCTTTCTTAACCGCCAGAATGGTCCATCGGTGGTTGGAAGGAGGCGTGGCCCTAAAACGCGCCGGGACTTGAATGGCTTTGGGGAGGAGCAGTGGCAAACCTCGGCGATGATTCTGGCCTCTCTCCCACCACTTCAGTGACTGTTTCATTGGGTGGGGGAAGGCAAATCAAAAAAAACAGCTAACTCTGGGGTCATTATTTTTGACCGTTTCTATTGGTTTTCAAAGTCAGAAATGAAGCTTGTTTAACTTTCCTTTACCCTACCTCTTAGGGGGTGACTTTGGCCATGGTAAAATAATGGGGTCAGTAACTTGAATTGTTGAAAATCAAACCAACAACTGAACATGGATGACTGCAGCTTCTTACCACCCATCCAACATGCACTGTGGCCAAACTTTCCCAAAGGTTCGCAACACCTCAAGCGATCTGGCTGTGGGTCAAAACCCGGTACCCCTGGTGAACATCAAAATATGTGTCAAGTGGATAGGTTATGCCATCCTTGGCCATCTTGGTGTCTTGGCGTGAAACCGTTCCGCGCTTTGCCCGGCTTCTGCGGCCCCATCTCGTCCCATTTGTCCCCATGGGAGGCCTTTTGGACAAAAATAGATGGCCCTGGTAAATGGGGCGTAAGCCCCATCTAAACCAATGGAACCCATCTATTTTGAACCAAACTCACCTAAAAAGGACACCTAGGGCGTCTAGAACATCTAGGGCTTCTACAACCTCTAGACCCTCCTTGAAACGGAAGTCGGAGCTTTGGAACAGCCAGCCAGGGGAACCACCAACTAATTCAACCAACCAAAAAGGACACCTATGCTCCCACCCCAACCCCAAAACCCCCCTTCCCCTTCCCCGCCTCAGAGGCGTCCACTCGCATGAGCTGCATCTCCAGGCGGTTGGGGCAGCTGCTCCGCATCTGCTGCACCGTGCTCCGCAGCAGCTCCAGGTACTCCGCGAACTTCTCCCGCGTGTTGGAGGGGTCCTGAGCACAGGTGGCCTTTTGGACAAATAGATGGGTTTCCCTGGTAGATGATCAAACCAGGTAAACCAGGGCCCGCATTTTTTAAGCAAACTAACCTAAAGAAGGACACCTGAGCCGAGCTCAGAGGAGACGAATCCGCGCGCGCCCCGATTCCCCGTACCCAGTGAACATCCGATTCAATCCAACCACTGAAATAGGTTCTAAAATGGGTGGTGAATTCACCTACCCCAAAATGGTACCATTGGTTTCGACCCACAGCCACATAGGGTAGCACTAACCTGATCTGGAGAATGCCTCACTTGCTCAGTAGCTCTGGAAAAAAGGGAACCCTTTTTTGGGATCCGACCATTTCTAGTGGGGCAGCCACAAAAAAAGGGGGGAAAAAGGGTGCCACTGAAGAACTGAGTGAGCTGAGCTGAGCATAGGTGACCTTGAAATCAAACCACCTGGTAAACCAGGAATCGCCCTCCATTTTTCGACCAAAACCAACCAGAAAGGACACCTATGGGTCCTAAGCTGAGCGAGCTGCTGTCTGGACGCTTCTTCGAGGCTCGGTGTTTAATCCTCACAGCCTACGAATGGAGGTCCCACGAATGTTTGACAAGTCCTCTTGTTTGTTTCTTCTTTTTTTTCCGGAGCCCGAAATCTCTTGACACAAAATAAGCCAATTCTACACTATAGCGGTATGTCCCACCAGACCCCAGGTCCACCTGCCTACATTTCGAAAGTACCCCGTTCTTTACTCCCGAAGCCGTAGGCCCCTTAAAAATAAAATCCGCGGGTTTTCCCCAGAAAAGCCCCGGATGGAAATCAAATGCTCGAAGCGACAGAACCAAAAACACGAGGCAAGAACGCACGATATATACCCCGCCCTCAGAACACATGGCCATGGGTCAATTGCAAATCGTACCCCCAGTGAACATTCCAATCCAACCACTAAAATAGACTAGAATGGGTGGTGCACCTAATCCCCAAAATGGGATCCCAATGGTTTTGACCCGCAGCCACATAGGTCTTTTAGGGGAAATAGATGGCCCGACTAGATGAAATCAAACCACCGGCCAAACCCGGAATCGCCCTCCATTTTCAAAGCAGAAAAAAACCAAAAAGGACACCTATGGTCCTGAGCTGAGCTGAGAGAGATCCCATTGGTTTTCACCCACGGCCTGGTCAATTTTTTTGGTCTGCCTCAGGAAGACCTATGGCGAAAAAATATTGCGGAGCGGGAGCGCGACCTCAAGATGGAGACCCCAAGACCACATTTCTCCCCGCGCCTCGAAGAAGCTGGTCATGTGCTCCTCCTCCACCAGCAGGAACTTGAAGGGCTCGTAGAGTTCGAGCACCTGGCCGGGAAACTGGGCCCGGCCCAGGAGAAAAAAACATCGAGGTCAATCCAGATGTGCTGCCGGGGGGGGGACTGGTCTGGCCCAACAACGTAAAGCTTGCTGGTGGGAACAACAGAAAGCTTTCTGGTGGAGAAAAGCCTGGGTCAATCCAACTGTGCTGGCGGGGGGAACTGGTCTGGCCCCAACAACGTAAAGCTTGCTGGGTCATCCAAAGAACACTACCGTTGCATGGTCATAGAGTGTGGGCAAGCGGTCGAGCCTCGCCCTTGAAAAACGGGATGAGGAGGGAATATGGGGGGATGCTGCATGCCCATAAGACAGGGGCAAAGGAGGCATCCTTGCGCAACACCACTACTTGGTTGACGTTGGAAGGGGAGCAACAATTTAAATGTTAGCAGTTAAGTGGAGAGTTACCACTAAACCACAATAAGAAAAAATGTAAAATGTTTCCCAACAACAACCATGACTAAGTGATGTCAAACAAGTCAAATGGAAGTGCGTCAAGCATTCTGGAACTTGCTCTTGCTTCTTCAAACACATGGTCACACCAACAAGCGCACAACTTGGCAAGGCCTTCTCCATGTTGGTGAGGTTACTGTTGACGATCTGCTCGACTGCCCCAAAGCCCTCCTTGATGTGCATCTCCTCCTCCTGCAACAGCCCTACACCCGCACACAAAGTCCCAGCCGAAAGTCCAGGCCCTTAGCCGAAGACTTGGCTTTTTGCCCGGAAAGCAAGCTGACACGGAGCAGCTTGCTAGAGCATGTGAGTGCGGCCAAGTTGGATGAGAGGTGCGAGCCTTTTGCCCCAGATCCGATCCTAGGCGGGCATTGGAAGCGTGCCCAGGTGGCTATCAACAAAAACCTCCCACTGCTGTGATTGTCAAATTTGCATGTATCAGGCCTGGGCACGTCTACGTTGTCAAGCCGCCCTTTTGTTGCCCACTACCGGCCCTGTGCCACCACACCTTCCAACCCCGCCCAAAATGGCATGTTTCATTCAGGTCCACGAGACAAAAACGCACCCAGTCTGGCCACACGCCGAAAGCTCTCCTTGACCTGCCACAGCAGCGTGCGGCTCACCGTCTCTTTGAGCTTGGCATCCGGCCGCGGCAGCTCCCGCAAGCTGGTGGTGCAGTCCCGGTACGGCTGCAGCAGCCTGGCGCGAGGCAGCGCCAAGTGAGTCAAACCAGCGGATGCGGGTTTGAGTGCCAGAGGCTCTGGGAAACATGCCACTTCTGCGTGTGAACTCTTTCTGGGTGAGGGAGCCACTGTAGAAAAATTGGGAAAAGGCGCGCCTCAACTTGCCCCGTTCATCCAACAAGGTCCCATCCTCTTCGGCACATCCGCCCCCCTCCCGGACGCGGCACGGGCCGAAAGGCACTCGGACCAACAACGCCTCGCTTTCACGAAGTCCACGTCGTGGCGGAACCTGACGTCTGCCCCTTGGCCCACCACCAGCTTGTTCACCAGCATGGTATCCTGCCACTTGTCCTCGCCCCGCAAAGCAAACCGCGGGGTTTTTCACGGGGTTGTTAGGAGGAAACCCATGCCAACTTTTTGTTGGGGTCCAAGGCACCCCGTCTGTGGGTACCCTCACCCCCCCCCCCCCCAAAAAAAAGAAAAAGGGACACCCTAAACCCTCGCCATGATCAGAAGCCTGGGGTTGTCAAGGAGCCCTGCGGCTCCAACAGAAGCATGGGATGGCCCGCGCGCATGGGCCAAGCTGTTTGGCATGGGCACTGCCCCACTTCGGCTTCCAGTCAGTCAGCGGGTCCTGGCTGCTAAGAGCCTTGACCTGCGAGTAGTGGAAGGGTTCGTCCTCGAAGCGCCGGAAGAGGGCGACATACTCCTGGCGAAAACGCGACTCCGAACTCCCACGCACGAGCCAGAGATGGAGCCACGCTTGGCCAGTCCCCAAGTGGCTTCCAGCTCCCCACGTCCAAAACGGCGAGCTGAACCAACTGCCTCGAGCTGAGCTCCAATCCCTTGCCTTCCTTAAACCCACTGCCCCCCCTACCTCTCGGCCGCCTGCAAAAGGTTACCAACTCCCAACAAAAAATAACACAATCAAACCGCCGCATGGCGAGCCGAGGTCAAACCACCCCATCCTCCAGGCTCTGCTGTACCACCTGCCGCGCCAGCAGGGAGAGCAGTGCGGCGATGGAGTCGAAGAAGTGGCCTCGCTGTTGACTCGGCAGACTGGCGGACTCAAGGAATTGCCATGGGCATGGTTAAACACTTGACGTCGGAGAGCAAAAGTTGAGCGCTGGGATTTCAACCACTAAACCACAAGAAGCAAAAATGTAAAATCTATATTTCTCAACAACCATGGTTAGGGCCCCATGACTAGATCTGCACTGGTTCGGCAGCTTGTGGATTTGCGCTTGTGCCACAGCGCCCAAAAAGGTGGGAGCCCAAAAAGTTCAGACCACCCGTCGCTTGACTCAAGTCTCGTTGCGGAAAGCCCCCGCGTGAGGACGTTCCAGGGGCCACCGGTTAGCACGCTGGAAAATAAAACGCGCGCGACGCGCGCGCCTAGCGAGTCGCCTCTGCCAACAGCTTCTAAGCAGTCGAAGCTTGGGCAAAGGCCCATCTTGACACGAAGCTCAACCTCGAAACCGACGAGAAAGACACATATAGCTCGAACCATGGTTGGTTCGAAAGAAGAACAAAAGAGCCGCCCTTTTCTTGATTTTCCAAAGTGGAATGACCATGCTCATGTCTACGTTGTCACTACCATGGCTGGAGCATCATGTCACTCGCCTTCCATCTTCTCCGGCTTCCCAACCGATGCCCTTGAGGTGACGGAGCTGGGTGATGACACCTCCTGCTCCTGTCAGGGGAGGTGACGACACACATGGCCCTGCCTCTGACTTGCGGGGCCCCCCCCAACCCCCCACCCCCAACCGACAAGAGGGAGGTGAAGCAAGCAATCGAAGACCCAAGGGCGCTGATTGCCCTCTCAATGAGCCACTGCGGCTCCTTCTGGATGTATTGCGGCTCCTCCGAGACAATCTGGATGACCTGCCGGGAAGACTCGGCTGACGCTCGCTGAATTTGCGTCACTCGTTGCGTCACTCCTCCCAATGCCGCGGTCTCAATCCGAGAATCCAACCCCGGAGCTTGGCGCCAACGCACAGATTTAATACATGGCTCATGTGGCCCAAAAAAGAGTTGAAGGGTTTCAGGTAGGCTGGGGCAATCCCAAGGAGGGACTCCTTCAGGGCATGCCAGCCAGATACGCAGAACGCAGCAGAGCTGGAACAGACTTGGCCAGTGCAGGCCTCTCGAAAGCAGAATCATGCATAGTTCCTACACTGGAGAAGATAACAGGCACCACATCAAAAGCGCCCACCAACAAACAAGCACACAAACTGAACAGAATGACACGCACGCAACTATTTACACAACCGACTGCCCAGCTCATGGTCGATTGGGAGAACCTGTGGAACGGATTTTGCTACTTCGCCACCAGGAAGATGATGAAACATCTGTTTGTCTACAGTCAGGAGCGCTGGTTCTTCAGTGAGCCACGCCACTCCAAGGTCAAACCCGAGTCCATAAACCTAAACCAACAAACATAGGAAACCGTTGAGACCATTCCCCATTGTAGGCTTCTGTGGCTCTGAATGGACCTATGGAAACCGAGGTTGGAATCATTTCCCATATGCCTATAACAATTTGTTAATTGGCTTTACATGAAAATAACGTTCAGCCTACACCTGGATGGCTTCGAATTAGAAAGCCAACCATCAACTCTCAGACTATTCACCTGAATGAACAGTGTTGAGTGCTGAAGCGCTAGCGGCTGTGGGCTGAATCAAGGAGCTCTCCCAAGTCAACAACCCGCAGGCCACTTTTCAGGTCATGTCGATCTTCCAAAGTCATTATACAACTGAACATTGCCTTGTAAATGGTGGTTTCCCTTTACTTTGGTGTTGAAAAAGCCAAGTTTCAAATGGTTGCAAAATGAATTTCTTTTAAGGAGCCCGGTTTATATCTGCTGCCATGTTTTTTTTGTTTTTTTTTTTTTTTTTCTTGAGGGATTGCCCAAAGCATATCCAGAGGCCTATTGCACAGCCCATGGCCTGCTGCCAATAGCTGGACATCTGCTGCAGCCCCGTTTCTCGCATGGAGCTCTGGGCCTGCCATGGCGGTTCGCGCCTGGCCTCTGTGGAATCATCATAGGCCCCTGTGGCTTCCTTGTGACAAGCTTCCCTTTCAAGCCACCCCAGAGACCTTGGTTGCTGTTGAGCCCCCTGCAAAAAGTTTGTTTTTTTAACGTTTTAGTGGGTTTAGTGGAAAACCCATTGATGTCCCAAAAGGTTAAAGCCAAAAGATCCAACCCAATAGCAGTCAAGAATCCCCCCGGCAAAACTCACCACAAATCACCGGCCCTGCTGAAGCAACTGGCCAACCCTCGCGGCTCTGATCTGAACCTGGAGAAAATCGGTGGATTGGAGGTCTGGCGGTTTGGTGACACCCAAATCCAAGCCAACGGGTTCCAAACCACCCATTGGGGGTAACCTTCCATTTGCTTCTTCGCCCAATGGAGAAAAATAGATTTATATATATATATATATGTATATATACATATGTGTGTAAATGCGTGTTCAGGATCATAGGTTCCCTTTAAAACCACAGGGAACACTGGCAAAATATTCATTTCTGCAAATGGAAGTAACCTCATTGGATCAGGTTCCAACGACCTGAGCTCCAGTCAGCCGACTCCGCCGTGTTTGGAACTCCCTCCCGCATCCCCCTGTTTGGGGGGGGGGGGGGCACGCAAGCTCGGTGCTTTCTGCGGGCCCCCCATTCGTTGGCAGAAAGTGAAAGTCCTAACGTCCCTTGGCAAAATGCGCCAAAGCAAAAAACGCCTTGAACGGTGAAGACACGCTGCAATGAACAATCTTGCCGGCCAACCTCGTTCGGACCAAGCAAAAAGGACCAACCGCCTGGAGCGTGCTAAAATCGAGCCGCCAACACTGCAGACCGTTGGTGGAGCCCTGATTTTCATAAAGCGGAGTATACAAAACATATTTGCAAGAATCCCAACATCTTAAGGCATACCTCCCCCCCAACAACAAAAAACTCACTTGGGCGAACCGTCCCACGGTATCCCGCCGCAAAGAAGGTGTTGATGTCACAGGACTCTGCAAGCAGCGAGGGGTAATTCATCAGCCGCACGTCCTGCGGATGCAAACCATTTTACGTGCCAAAATGTGCCGGAGCTGGGCCCTGCCCAATGAGTGCGAGGTGGGTGGACAATTGAACTATTGAAACTCCAGATGTTGATTCTGAACTCATCAAAACCCATTTTTCTCTTGTGGCGCGTACGAAAGGCTCTATACGTCACCTGTTCACCATGTTGATATCTGGAGTAGCCGCCGCTTTTCCCAAAGCCCTGTCCCTTTTCTTGACCCGACCGGACGAAACAAATGCGCACATCTTTGCCGAAAGCTTCTCCCTTTGCGAAAAGGATCTAAATGAAAAATAGAAAGCACGCATGCATGCCTTGCTGGGAAACAACCAATGCTTGAGATGCTCGGCACTCGACATCGTCTGCTCCTCGCATTGCCCCAGCCAAAAGTCCACGAGCCGCAGAGCCGTCGCGGAATTCCTGGGCCCCCCAAAGTTGCTCTGGGTGTTAAATGCGGGAGCAGGAAGCGCAAAAACCATATCCTTCAGATCTTGTTTGGAAACCTGCCACAAGGCACCCGCACAAGGATCCGCCGAAACCCAAGAAAACGCAAATGTCCCCATTTTGGCCCCTTGGTTCGGCAGCGCGCAAACCGATTGACATAGACCCCCCCCAGCCCCAGAAAACAACTTAGACACCACAAAGAGATCCCTTTTGGGGACCCCTTTCATGCGGAAATCTCGGGCTCCGTGGCAATGCTTCGTGGATTGTTCTAGGGGTGGATTCCCCATTCTTTTAAATCATCCTTATTTTCAAAAAGCAGCTGTTTCCCTGGTTTTTTGATGGTTTCCTGAAACGAAGGATCCCTGGAAAGAATGGGGAGGGTAGCCCTAGAATTGTAGCACACGCTAGTTGGTTGTCTGGTATCCCCTGACACGCAAACAAAAACTCAGAAGTGGTCTGTGTGGCCGGTTGGTATGGCCTAGGTCCTCCGAATCACTCGCAACCTCCCCCCAATTGCTAGCCCGCCTCTGTTTTGAGAAGGCAACCGTTGAACAAAAAATCTCCACGTGAGGCCTATGCAGTGGAGGGAACCGCGTCTCTGTCTGTTTGAGCGTCTTAGGGTTGCTTAAAACGAAAGTGCAAAGGTTGGGGCGCTCGCGTTTGTGGATTTTCCATTCGAAACATACACTGTGATGATGCCATAGTGTTTCTTGTTCAATTGATCCTCAAAATGAGGGTGTCCTTCTTTAGGGGTCCCCCCAAAAAAAGAAAAAAAGAGTGGGTTGTTCTTCTGGTTTCCCTTTACCAACAAGCAACTTGCTGTTTTTCAGCAAGGAATGAGAAATGGAATGAGCCCAAGAGAAACCATCCCCCATGGTTTCCTTATTCGGCATTCCCAAAATGCGGAAGGTCAAAATTTTCAATGAGCACCATCGAAGGCAAGGGGGGCACCCACTCTGAAAAAGACAGCCCAAAAACTCAGTTGCCCAAAGGACCTGGAAATAAAAAGTGTTCACCTTTTGGGACCTTGACGAAAATATGGGCCCTTTTGCCGGGAAGAACCCAAAAGTCAGATCCGGTCGATTCGCGGAATCGGCAAGTGAGAAAATTGAAAAAGATGCCTTTAGGCATCGGTGTCCTTTTTGGGGAAAGTAGATGGCCCTGGTAGTTGATGGAACCATTAGGTAGACCAGGAATCGCCCTCTATTTTTTCCAACCAAACCGACCAAAAAGGACGCCTATGCTTGCCATGTCCAGGGCTCTTTCTTTTTTTTTGGGGGGGGGGTGGTCTCCAAGCCCCCGGCCCTTTTTTGTCTCAGCCGAGGCGCTGCACATGCCGCAGGGCCAGGCTGGTCCTGGCGGCCTGCAGCCCCGCGCGCCAGTGCTGCGGGGGTCCTGGTCTGCGGTTGGCGCGCTAACCGGAACGCTTCCGCGCTGCGGCGGGGGATGGCCGGGGATCGATCGGCGCGATCCCTTTGCTTTTGTTTTGGGCGTGGCATCGTTTTGTGTGTGTGTGTGCGCTGTTTTGTTGGGACAAGGGGGGGGGACATTCAGTGAGTGATCTTGGTGGTTTGAGAAAACCCCGCGTGACTTTGATACTTGCGACCTGCGACCCTGGAGTCGCAGAGGACGGGAACCAAGTTTCTGGGCCACAGCGCATGTGCGGGGACAACCCCATGGCCCCCTATGGTTCCCTGCCTCAGCGCACGCTCAGCAACGAAGTAGCAAAGTACGGCCGCAGCACTTTGAAGGGCAACTTCCCCCCCAGCCCCAGGAGCCAACTACCCCCCACCTTCCCCACCTCCCCCACCTCTCCCCCACCTCTCCCCCTCCTCCCCGCCCCTCCTCCCCCGACCCCACCTCCCACCCCCATCCCTCAGCCCCAGAAACCCACTGGCTGCCTTCCCCCCGCCCCAGGACCGGTCCTCCGGGCGTGCCGATGTCCGGCACCGCAAAAGTAAGCACGCCCCAGGTGGGCGGCGGGCTCGGGATGAAGGGGACGTCCAGGCGCTCCCGGCACCTGGGTTTCAGCTTCCCTCTAGAGCAAGTTTGCTTGGTTTGCTTGGATTTGTTTGTTTAATTTGTGTGGATTGGTGGGTTGGTGGTTTGGCTGTTGGCTTGTTTGCACTGGTGGTTTGGTGCTTTGCACTGGTGGCTTGGTTTGTGTGGATTGGTGGTTTGTTGCTTTAGATTGGTGGTTTGGTTTGTGTGGATTGGTGGTTTGGTGCTTGGTGATTTGGTGCTTTGCGTTGGTGGTTTGGTTTGTTTGGATTGGCCTTTGGATTGGTGGTTTGGTTTGTTTGGATTGGTGGTTTGGTGCTTTGGGTTGGTGGCTTGATGTGGCTTGGTTTGTTTGGATTGGTGGTTTGGTGCTTTGGGTTGGTGGCTTGGTTTGTTTGGATTGGTGGCTTGCTGCTTTGGCTCGGTGGTTCGGTGCTTTGGTTTGGTGGTTTGGAGGTTCCAGGGTGGTTTCCCATCTTCCCTCGACAAGAAAGGCTTCAAATCTAAAAATAGACCAAATCTAAACCACCAATCCAAAGCAACTAAGGCTTACCAGAAGGTTTGGATCATGTGACGCACGTGATGAAACTTGCTTCAACATACATGCGAGTCATCAAAACCCGGTAGTAAAATGGTCGTTAATCCCAGAACCATGTAAAGCACTAAGAAGCCGGAATTCCGCAGCTATTTATGGTTGGGATTGTCCCTTAACCTTCATCTACCCGGGTTTTGAGACCGTAGTTGCCTCATGTGCTTCCCCATTTTCGCACCCAGCTCCACCTCGCATTCGCGCGCTGCCGGGCCTCTCGTCCAGCAGGGCATAGTTCACCACCGCCGTCTTCGCCGCCCGGATGTAGCCCTTGAGGATCTCGTGCCTGAGACCCCCGCTGGCAACGTGTTCCACGTGTTCCACGTGTTCCACGTGCACGCTGCCACAGCCCAAGGAAAATTCCGGAGGCCGGGGGTCGGCGGTTGTCCAGTGATCCATGCCAAGGTCAACTGTGAAATAAGTTACGTCATTGGCAACTGATTTACATGCATGAATTGGCGTAGTACTGAAGAACCGTATGTATACAAAGTTGCGTCCTTTTGTTTGAGGGTAACCCCGTTTTGGGATTGGTTTCAATCAACATCCACATGGGTGTCAAAATGGGAATGGGTGCCCTGAATTATTTTGGCTTCCAGAAGATACTACATATTCAAGTCCCAAATGGGGTGACCCTCAAATTTCGTGGCTGTTACTGCAACTTCCCTGTGAACCGAAAAACGATACCCTCGAAAAAGGGAAACATCAAACCTCAAATTTTGCGGTGCCCTGGTTGAAAGATCGGCACAAAGCGGCGCCAGTCACGAGATCCGCACCCTCCCCCACTCCGCCCCCCAGCCCAGTGGTTCCACGCAACTGTTGCCGCAACTTCCCTGTCAACCACAAAAGGATCCCCTCGCAAAAAAAAAGAAAGAAAGAAGAAGACACAAAAACAAAAAAAACGGCAACAACCTCAAGCCCCGAGTTTTCCGGAGCCCCTGTTTGAACCCCCCCCCCCCCGTTTACAGATGGCCTCCCCGTCAGCCTGGCGCCTCCACCCCGCGCCCCGGGCGGCCGAAAACCCCGCGCGCCTCAGCTCCTCGATGGCGGCGCCCTGGGCCTCCTCGTTGAGGTCCGGCCACCGCGCCCCCCGGAGCTCCAGCAGCAGCACCGCGTGGTCCAGCCACCTCGGCGCGCGCTCGCTTGGCGCTCAAGACGCTGGCCGTTTTGGGAAGCGGAAGCAAAAAAAAACGAGAAAAAAAAATCCGGCGGTGGAGTGGTGGGACTTCACCAGAATTCTGGCAGTGAAGGGGCTGGATTTCCTTAAATGCTAGCAGTTTCCCTAAATTCTAGCAGTTAAGTAGGGGGTTTCCCTAAATTATAGCAGCAAAGTAGGGATTTCAGCCACCTGGGTATGGGTCAAAATTAAACCACCGGGATTGGACCGCAGGTTTTTAGCCTATGGTTCCATCTACCAGGACTCTAATTTGGGTACCTATTTTTGACCCACAGCCACCTCGGCTTGGTTGGCGTTGGAATTCAGCATCCGGCAGTTAAGTGGCGGGATTTCCCTCAGCTTGGCGTTGGAAGGGGAAGGAAAACCAAAGGAAAGCTATGGAAACCCATAGAACCCTCAGGGTTCTGTTTGCCCAATGTGCCCCTTATCCAACCCGAAGTGACGGCCGGGTGTTGCAAAAAAATTAACTTCCAGCAGTTATAGTAGGGATTGCCACTAAACCACAATAAGCAACAATTGAAACATGTTTCCCAACAACCACCTCGGGCGCTTCGGGCGCTTGGGGCGGAACGGGCCCTTTTTCGCGGGAAAGGGCACAACTCACTTTGGAGCTTGGTGGCCTCCGGCGCTTTAGATCGCCCAAGCCGACCTGAAAGGTTACAACTACACACAGACATTGGCTTGAACTGGGTGTTTCTCATGAATTGGTCCCCTGCGTCATGGTCGGCGTCCCCTGCGTCATGCTCTGAGAAAAAGTTAGGGAGTTTCTCGCTGAGAACTTTGGCATATTTGTGCCCAAGATATGGATGACACGCTGTCCTTTGGACACCTCCCCTTCCTGATAATTAAAAAACCAGGGTTCCCTGGCCTTGAAACAAGCAAGGATACGCTGCTTCAAAGGGAAGCAAACGCAAGCTCGCCATAAAGGAGCCTCGCCTCTCCTGAGTTGCCCATATTCTACCACCAAGGCCACCCCCAGCCCAAGCTTGTGGCCCAAGCAACTCTGCTAACTCCCTCGGCCCATGTGAGCTGGGTCAGACAAATATGGCACGTCCAGGGTCAAACCAGAGATACGGGAAACCCGCGCGTAAGAGCCATAATAGAATTAGCCGATTCCCCAAACGTAACCCAAACAAAGACCCCCTTCTCTCCTGCCATGGCCGCGGAAGCTTGAAGAATACAAATACAATACGTCAAGATCCCCAACAGTGGCCCCCCCTTCAAGACTTCAAGGGGGCCCTGCTGTTCCACCCAACCTGCCTTCGGGACCCGAAAGCCGAGAGAGGCCAACAAGTCATCAGGTCGGCAACAGAAAAGGGGTCCCACCAGAATTAGGTCCTTTTGGGGAAAAAGATGGCCCTGGTAGATGATCAAACCGCCAGGGAAACCAGGAATCGCCATCTATTTTCCGACCACATCAACCAAGTGCACGCTCCGACCCGTGCAACCCAGGCGCTGCCGGTGGTACGGCGCCAGCACCTCCGAGGGCACACCGCCCTCCGTGTAGTGCCTGGCCATTTTGTGCGCTGGGGTTCCTTCCAAAACCAAATGGCGCCGGCTCGTCTTTTTGGAGGTCGGACCTCCACAAAAAAAATGGCGCAACGGATTCGATGTTCCTGTTGCCAAGGTGCTTGCCTTATACATACCTAGATCTTCCGGGGGCGCCGAATTTTCGCCCCGGGGCTTAGGGCTCAAAGTTTTGGACCCCAAAACAAATAACTGCCCCGGACCAAAAAAACTGCCCCTTGCGTATCGCTCCGACACGTCGAGCTCTCTTATGCAGCCGCGCACAGCGAACATCATGGTTACAAATGAGCTAAGTTGAACCCAACACAAACCATATTCAAAAAAACAGAGTCCCCCTGTAAAGATTCCAAAGGTCATTACCTGCATCTTCCCTAGTGTGCGTGTGTGTGTGTGTGTGTGGTTTTTGTTTGCCCCTTAGAAAAGAAACAGGTTCTTTCTTGGAGGGGCGGTGTTTCAGGCAAGGGCCGGAAATTGCAATTCGCCCGCTCCGGCAGCATTTGGGCACAGAAAACGTGCCTCTCAGTGTGGCATAAACCAACCTGTGCGCATCCCGCCAATCGCAGCAGTTGAGGTGCAAAACAGGCATGCTCCCTCGCCTGCTACCTGGAGCCGCTTTTCTCGAATGTTCTTTTTAGCATGCTGAACATAGCGAAGGCTGAAGGCTCAACCGGTAATATCGAAGGATCTTTGTCGTTGGTTGCCCTGCCAGGCCTACTTCACATCATATAGGGTCCTTCTGGGAGACCTCCCATCGATTGCTTTTTGGACATGTGACTTCAGAGGACTGCGCAGGGCAGGCAAGGTTCACTCATGACTCATAACGGTTTGGCCCACTGCTTTGTATGCAGGATGGAGGCCTTGCCCTGAACAACGAGCAGATCAGGGGTATTGCCACAAACCATCGAAAGCAAGGGCTGACCAAAACGCTGCACCTTTACCTGAGCGACAGTGGTACTTGTGACAGCCAGTGCCTCAATTTCTGATTGTGGAAACGCCTTGCGTAACTAAGGGTTGAGTTCGCAACGCTCCCAAGCTCGAACCGATTGCTTCGGCACTTTTTGCTGCGCTAGGCAAAATCTGAAGCTGGCCCTCACGCTGCCACCTGCAGCAGGTATTGCTCTGACCCGGTCATGGACAGTAGAAAAAACACCGCGCGCCGTTGCAGTGGCTGGCGCTCGTGCGAAAGTTTGACAAGCCCCCGAGCTCACTAACATGGATCGATCCAATGTGATTACAAGAGCCCCCGGATTTGCGGAATGCCGCATCTTTCTACAAGTTACGTGCTTGTACGGAACCCAAAAGGGAAGACCCCAAAAATAAATTTCCTCTAAGATTTGTTCCCCCTCTTTGGGTCGGGTTAGTTGAACACACATATCAACTATGTACTGGTTTCAGCTAGGTTCGATTCGACTTTCTTGTTTCATGTCATGAAACCCTGAAATGTGCAAACGCGAGTTTCACGAAACCCTGAAATGCGTGCGGCGCATTTCATGAAATTTTGCAACTCTGTGACATTTCTTCGGTCTTCGCGTTCGAGGTGTTCAAGGTGGTGCCCGGGCTGCCTCGACAAGGGTCGACGAGGAAAAGGTCCTCGACAAAAGCGGTTCCATCTTTACTTGAGCCCTGGCCCCGGAAGACCCGACCAACCCCGAGACCGGCAAAAACCGCCCCGGGACCGCCAAAAACCGCCCCGGGACCGGCAAAAACCGCCCCGGACAATTTTGACAGTTCCGGCCTCATGAATCCCATCCGCAAAAACTCATGAAATTTGGTCCGGGGATCGACTCTTGAACTGTGGACTCGCGAAGTGGCAGGTTCATGAAACGGCATGTGCCCTCAATTCATGAAACGCGCTTTCACAGTAACACATATTAGGGTTTCATGAAATGCGCTGTGGCGAATTCCGAGCTTCATGAAACGTGCATAGTTCACAGACGTGACCCTTTCAGGGTTTCATGAACCGCGCTTCGCCGCTTCGCAGTCACGCATGACACATTTCAGGGTTTCATGAAACGCGCTTCAACCTTCATTTCAGGCTTTCTTGAAACGCTCTTTCGCAGGGTTGCAAAATTTCATGAAATGCGCTGCACACATTTCAGGGTTTCATGAAACTCGCGTTTGCACATTTCAGGGTTTCATGACATGAAGCAAGAAAGTCGAATCGAACCTAGCTGAAACCAGTATATAGTTGATATGTGTGTTCAACTAACCGGACCTAAAGAGGGGGAACAAATCTTAGAGGAAAATTATTTTTGGGGTCTTCCCTTTTGGGTTCCATGGCAGACAAACGTGTACAAGCACGTAACTAAGGGGCTCTTGTAATCAAATGGGATCGATCCATGTTAGTGAGCTCGGGGGTTCATGCCGGGCAATGTCAAACTTTCGCAAGAGCGCCAAAGCCACTGCAACGGCGCGCGGTGTTTTTCTACCGTCCATGACCGGGTCAGAGCAATACCTGCTGCAGGTGGCAGCGTGAGGGCCAGCTTCAGATTTTGCCTAGGACGCAGAAGGTGGCAAGGCAATTGGTTCGAGCTTGGGCCTGGTCTCGGATCCAAGGTGAGCATTGCGAACTCAACCCTAGTTAACAGTATTGAAGGCTTTGTCCGCAAGGCGTTTCCACAATCAGAAATTGAGGCACTGGCTGTCACAAGTACCACTGTCGCTCAGGTAAAGGTGCAGCGTTTTGATCAGCCCTTGCTTTCGATGGTTTGTGGCACTATCCCTGATCTGCTCGTTGTTCAGGGCAGGGCCTCCATCCTGCATACAAAGCAGTGGGTCAAACCGCCATGAGTCGTGAGTGAACCCAGTCCTCTGAAGTCACATGTGTCCAAAAAGCAACCGTGGCAGGTCGCACAGAAGGACCCTATATAACATGAAGTTGGCCTGGCAGGGCAACAAACGACAAAAATCCTGCGATATTACCGGTTGAGCCTTCAGCCTTCGCTATGTTCAGCACGTCATGGCTGCAACTTGAAAAGTCCATTTTCTGCGGGCTAAGAAGAACATTCAAGAAAAGCGGCTCCAGGTAGCAGCCGAGGGAGCATGCCTGTTTTGCACATCAACTGCTGCGATTGGCACGGGAGGGGGCGCCTCAAATGCGTGATGTGCACAGGTCGGTTTATGCCACACTGAGAGGCACGCTTTCTGTGCCCAAATGCTGCCGGAGCGGGCAAATTGCAATTTCCGCCCCTGGGCTGAAAAACCGCCCCTCCAAGAAAGAACCTGTTTCTTTTCTAAGGGGCAGAAAAAAAGCACACCGGGGAAGATGCAGGTATATATATACACAAACACGCACACACAAACAACAACAAAAGAACACGAATGGACAACAGGACCAAGCCCAGATGGCTCTCGATCCTTGAACCCTTGAATCCAAAGCCAGTTGGGTCAGGTGCAAATGAGACAGAAGGCACTGCAAAAGGGCCGTGCGGCATGGCATGTGGGAGCCCTGACAGCAGGCCAGGCCTATATCTGCTGAGGATGCGGCAAAACCTGCGGCCCAGACAGAAATGAAGCCAGAACGCCATGGCCCATGGTTGGCTCCTTTCTTTGGCGCGTGCTTGTCACTGGCAGCTATGAGGCTGAACCAGCTGGCAACAATTGAAAGAAACAACTTCACGGAACTTGGGAAAATTGAGCCGTTTGAAGCCCAAAGGTGAGTGCGGCAAAGTAAGTCGCGTTCCGTCGAGGGGCTCGTTCTTGCCCATGTTCACAGACTGAATCTCTGCTTTGACGGGTGAGTCCTCCAAGATCCTGGGCTGAAATGTGTGACTCGGAGGATTGGTTGGCACTACATACATGCCGGAAGGTCACCTAAGTGTGAAAAACCAGAAAATAAGAGGGTCAGGCCAATAGGCTAGCTTGCCGGACATGTAATGCGTTCCATGCCCCTCTTTACGTTCCTGTCGGAAAAGTAACCTTGCACATCTCCCAGGTGCCTTTCCTGAGTTTTTTTTTGGGAAGGGCAATGTTGATGCTTCATTCAGGCACGGCAATCGCACTCCCCTTGGACCCCATCTCAGTTGCCCAAAGGACCCAGAAACATAATAGGGCTAACACTGTTTTGGGGTTATGACCAAAAAAGGGGCCAACACAGCGGGAAAAAAAAGAAGCAAAAGTCAGATCCGGGCGCTTCGCCTTGGGGTGAGCCATGCCTTCCGCACTCCGCGCATCGACGCATCGGCGCATCGCATCGCTTCGGCCGAGGCTCTTGGGCCACTCGGCCGTCCAGTCCATGTTCCGCTGGTCTGGCGCCCCCGGCGCCTGCTTCGGCGGGGGGCCCCTCCTCCTGCGCGAAAGTGCGGCGCGCGAGACGAGGACGCGGGGCCAACCAAAATTGGGATGGACAAATTGCGCCCAGTGGATCCCAGTCACTATGAAAGGCAGCCAAGAGATTCTCCTTCTTGAAGGGTGGCTCCCTTGGCTACCTGCTATACACGGAAATGGATTTATTGGGCCTGCTATGGAGCAGGCATACCCCAGCTGAGCGCAAATCGAAACCCCATTCGCATCTTCAAGACTCGAGCTTGAGCCTTCCAGTCCTCTGAACGGCTGCCTCAACAGTGCTAATGTGCTTTTTCCAGATCCCATGCCTAAGCGCTGAATTCTGATTCAATCCAGTGCTCCAGGTTTTCGCTGAAAATAACTCCTGTTTCAGGGACCGGTCGGACCGAAATGGCTGGACAGTCCACACCACGGAGAGACACCTGCAAATCAAGGAAGGCGCTCACAAGTCTTCTTGCGAACCCTGCTTGGAGTCCATGTCAGTTTGAATAGGAGTACCAGCGCAACAAAGCCGGCCAACAGCCCCCCACCAATGTTGGCACAACATTTTCTCCAACATGTTTTCCCCAACAAGGTGACATGTTTGACCTTGGCCTATAGCAAGATGCTCCGGGTGCTGAGGTCCCACACTTGGGAGGGGGTGCATCCAGAGCTCCTGATCAGCGTGCCGGAGATGCTCGCCTTCGCCTCATGGTCGATCGTCATGGTCTGACTCTGCGCCGAGTAGTTTGAAGCGATGACCTAGGGAGACACCGGTTTCACATGCCCCACCTAGGCGTCAACAACCTTGGACACTTGGCAAGCAGATATCCCCGTAGCTTTTAAGCCACATAAAGGGAAGTGTTTCAACAATATTCACCCTGACACAGGGCCTCATCCCGCAGAAGGATTCTTAGAAGCTGCTGTAAGGAGGGTTTTAGGAGGGGTCTGGGAACCATTCTGTGGGGAAGGGGCGGGTCCGAATATGCCTGTCCAACAGAAAGCAGGCTACCTGGACCCTCCGAAACCCCTTCAAAACGGGTTTGTGAATTCTGGTCTATAAATAGTTCTATCCCAAACAAACTCTCTCCTCGCTTTAGTTCGCATACTGGCGGGTCCAACAAACGGAACGCTGCATAAGTAGCTGGGACTGATCCCAGCAGCATTAGTCACGCTCAACCATGGGGCAGGGAACGACAGGCTCCCCAGGATCCATGGCGCAAGAAGCAACTTGCATCCGTGCTGGGACCTAAGATGGACTCTTCGTCTACCTGAGAACCTGCTCCAACCTTTGCTGCTTCCCACACTGCCCCCCCCCCAAAAAAAGAAGAAGAAAAAAGCAAAAAGGACGAGGTATCGCTGCCCAAGGCCAAAACACGTGGAAATCGCTGGAGCAAAGATTGTCAGTCCCAGCCACGACTTTTCTTCTGGAGCACGGCCCCAGCAGGCCAACCCCCCGAACCCCTGTTACACGGGACCTGAGCTCATCAACACCCACCATACCCCACCAGGTCGAGGACACTGGCCTTCCAACACTCCCCAATGGAGGGGTTCCCTGGTCAAAGCGCATCTTTTTCTCGTTTGCTCAGAGGGGCGTTGCTGATGTTGTCTCTCTGCACCACCTCCCTAAAGAGTGCACTCCGCGTGCGGCTGCACCGGTCCAGGAGCGGCGGGAAAAGCCTCACGCACGACGCGTGGCTTTTGGCGGGACCAATGCAAATGGCCATGGCTGCCGAATCTGGCGTTCGGTAGTGCGACTGTGCCCCCTGTATGCCGATACGCGCTGATTCAAGAACATGTTCGAACGGGAATTGATTGACCAGTGCCTGCGAGCTACCGCCAGACATCTCCAGACAAAGCCTCCTACCCCAACCCCTCAAACCCCACAAACCCCTACCCCACTCCTAGCCCCACCCCAACAGCTCAGGCGCTGCTCGGAGGCCGGCAGCTGCCGGGTGAAGCGCTGGGCCAAGGTCTCGGCGTCTGCCTTCAAACTCGCCAGCCGGGCCTGCGGCATGGCTGGGGTGGGGACGGGTGGGGCGGGGCGGGGTGTGGTGTGGGGTGTGGGGTGTGGGGGTGTGGGGTGTGGTGGGGTGGGGACGGGTGGGGCGGGGTGTGGTGGGGTGTGGTGGGGTGTGGTGGGGTGGGGACGGGTGGGGCGGGGTGTGGTGGGGTGTGGTGGGGTGTGGTGGGGTGTGGTGGGGTGGGGACGGGTGGGGCGGGGTGTGGTGGGGTGTGGTGGGGTGTGGTGGGGTGGGGACGGGTGGGGCGGGGTGGGGCGGGGTGTGGTGGGGTGTGGTGGGGTGGGGTGGGGTGGTGGTGGGGTGTGGTGGGGTGTGGTGGGGTGTGGTGGGGTGTGGTGGGGTGTGGTGTGGTGGGGTGTGGTGGGGTGTGGTGGGGTGTGTGGGGTGTGTGGGGGTGTGTGGGGGTGTGGCTGGGGGTGTGGTGGGGTGTGGTGGGGTGTGGTGGGGTGTGGTGGGGGTGTGGTGTGGTGGGGGTGTGGTGGGGGCGTGGTGGGTGTGGGTGTGGTGGTGTGGTGGGGTGTGGTGGGGTGTGTGGGGTGGGGTGGGGTGGGGTGTGGTGGGGTGTGGGGTGGTGGGGTGTGGTGGGGTGTGGTGGGGTGTGGTGGGGTGTGGTGGGTGTGGTGGGGTGTGGTGGGGTGTGGTGGGGTGTGGTGGGGGTGGTGGGGTGTGGTGGGGTGTGGTGGGGTGTGTGGGGTGTGGTGGGGTGTGTGGGGTGGGGTGTGGGGGTGTGGGGTGTGGTGGGGGGGGGACGGGTGGGGCGGGGTGGGGACGGGTGGGGCGGGGTGGGGCGGGGTGTGGTGGGGTGTGGTGGGGTGTGGTGGGGTGTGGTGGAGTGTGGTGGGGTGTGGTGGGGTGGGGTGGGGTGTGTGGGGTGGGGTGTGGTGGGGTGTGGTGGGGTGTGGTGGGGTGTGTGTGGGGTGTGTGTGGGGTGTGTGTGGGGTGTGTGTGGGGTGTGTGTGGGGTGTGTGGGGTGTGTGGGGTGTGTGGGGTGTGGTGGGGTGTGGTGGGGTGTGGTGGGGTGTGGTGGGGTGTGGTGGGGTGTGGTGGGGTGTGGTGGGGTGTGGTGGGGTGTGGTGGGGTGGTGGTGTGGTGGGTGGTGGTGGTTGTGTGTGGTGGGGTGTGGTAGGGTGTGGTGGGGTGTGGTGGGGTGTGGTGGGGTGTGGTGGGGTGTGGTGGGGTGTGGTGGGGTGTGGTGGGGTGTGGTGGGGTGTGGTGGGGTGTGGTGGGGTGTGGTGGGGTGGGGTGTGTGGGGTGTGTGGGGTGGGGTGTGGTGGGGTGTGGTGGGGTGTGGTGGGGTGTGGTGGGGTGTGGTGGGGTGTGGTGGGGTGTGGTGGGGTGTGGTGGGGTGTGGTGGGGTGTGGTGGGGTGTGGTGGGGTGTGGTGGGGTGTGTGTGGGGTGTGTGTGGGGTGTGTGGGGTGTGTGTGGGGTGTGTGGGGTGTGTGGGGTGTGTGGGGTGTGTGGGGTGTGTGTGGTGGGGTGTGGTGGGGTGTGGTGGGGTGTGGTGGGGTGTGGTGGGGTGTGGTGGGGTGTGGTGTGGTGGGGTGTGGTGGTGGGGTGTGGTGGTGGGGTGTGGTGGTGGGGTGTGGTGGTGGGGTGTGGGGTGTGGGGTGTGGGGTGTGGGGTGTGGGGTGTGGGGTGTGGAGTGGGATGGGTGGGACATTCTTGCACATCCTACCTCCAGTTGGGCTTATCCCTTTTTTGTTCTACAGGATCCACCCAAAAAATCGCACGGCTTTCCTGCTGGGCTCCCTTTGCAAGCACCAAAAAGGGGAGATTCTGCCGTGCGCCTGCAACCAAACAACTTCCAACCAAGATCCCCAGCTGCCCCACCCCCCCCCCCCACCCCCTCTCGCCTCTCGCCGGGGCGCGGCTTGCTTGGGGAAGGGCACGTTCGCCGTCCTCTCCGGCGGGGAGGGCCGCGCTTGTGGGGAGGGCCCCGGCGCACCCGGCGTCGGGAGCGCCGGGGTGCTGCTGGTCTTCCGCAGCAAGGGCTCCAGCGTCGGATTCTTGGGCCTCCACTGAGACCTGGCGATGCCAAGCCTGATATCCCCCGGCAGTCGGCCATCCTTGTGACTGCTTCATCACTTAGAAGCCCCGTGGTATGAAGCCTATCCCATGGTGGTGGGAGACAACCCTTGTGACTTCATCTATTGTCCACAACCATCCCCAGGAGAACCGAGGGGAGACACCCCAACTTGCGCTGGCTATGGGTCCAAAGGGCGGATCTTCGCGCAGCTGGTCTGCGGGTCCGGACAAAATGGTGCCAGGCATCAAATTCCAGGGTCCCCTTGGTGTTGCCCCCCCCCAACCAGCCGACCAGCCGCGAGGCTTGCCAGTCTCACTGACCCGCCTGCTCTGCGACATGCGCTCCATCAGCTGCGAGGCGGTCTTGCTGAAAACCGCATGCTCCGCCGTGACGGGGGACATGCTCCGGGAGAGCCGGGCATCTGCGAAGGGCTCGAAGCTCACGGTCTTGTTCCGCACCTGGAGCGCACCCCCGCGTGAAACACCAACCTACGCTGCGCGCGTAGGGAGGGGGGGGCGCCTCAGATTCGCGAAGCTGAGTTGGAGCAACCATTGCTTCTATTTGGGGAGCGCGCTCAACTCCAAGGCCCCATGAAACATGAAACATGCAATTGACAGTGTGCCCGCATATACACATCTATGCGCATTCGTTGAACCAGGCTGAAAACCCACTGCCATTACAGGGGCGTCGGCAGCCCTGGCATTGCCTTCTGCCGAACGAGTCGGGTGTGTAAAGCTACGTGAACTGCCCAGCTCCAACTGAGCCTTGAGGAGAACTGAGCAGCCAGCCAAGCAATAAACAAGCAACAAAGCATCCAAGCAACCCAGCAAAACATGCAACCCGCCAATCAACCAACCAACCCACCCCAAAACAGGCAAGAAAGAAAGAAACAAAAAAAAAAACAAACAAGAACGCACGCAAGAAAGCAAGCAAGAACCCCCCGACTGGATCAACCGACCCACCCGTTCTTACGGCAAATGACGTTGAATATCAACACCAACCGCCAAAACGGCACTGCTCTGCACATGCACTGCACCATCCAAAATCATGTTTCAGCCCTTCAACCAACAACAAAAATCCGACCGGAAAACCAAACCACTCTGCTGCCATCCGCTGCCCCTCAGCCCGCTGACTCGCCATCGCCCTCGCTCTCGTCGGCCCCTTCTTGGTTGACTTTGGAAGGGGAGCAACATTTTAAGTTCTGGCTTCCAGCCACTAAACCGCAACAATCAAGAGTGCAAAACATTTTTCCCAACAAACAACCATGTTGAGCACATGAGCCAAGAAAAGCCCGAGCTTTTTGCTTGCCACCAAAAAATGGTCTTCCCCAAAAACACACCCATGCCTTAAAAAAAAAACGGTTTCAACCAACAACCGCCACTCGCCTTGGCCCGGCTTTTCCCTCTCGGCCCCTCTCGGCCCCTCTCGGCCTTGATCTTGCCGATGCCCGGCAGGTCCAGCTCCACCTCCGGGGAGTCCTTCACGGCGCCCCAGAACTCCTTCACCACCGTCTGCATCATCTCCTCACGACTTTCTGGGCGCAGCTGGGCTGCCCGTTTTCAGATCCCCCGGCTCAAAGTGACCAACTTTTAGTGGGTGAAATACGGAAACTAGCACTAAGCACTAAAAGGCGAACAAGCTAAGTGGCTGGGAGCCACCAAGATGAGTCATAATCAAAACCCGGTAGTAAAATGGTCGTAATCCCAGAGCCATGTAAAGAACTAAGAAGGCGGATACTTTATTTATGGCTTTTTTTGATTGGTCCGTACTAAGCTTCATCTACCTAGGTTTTGCTTGTGGCTCACATCCGCTCGGCCGAAGCGGAACCGACTCCCTCCGCTCGAATGCTCGAAACGGAAACCGCCCATTGAAGGGGAAGCCGAAGTGAAACGGAGACGCATTCGAATCCAAGACCCGTTGGTTTTGGAAGAGGGTGTCGTTGCATTTGGAGTCACTACCCTTTTTGGGGTTGGTTTTAAGCAAATCAAATGAGAAGCTTGAAAGCGGCGGGCAAGATGGGAATGCAGTTGATATGCAGTTCATTCATATAGTCATAGAGAGGATCGTGACCAAAAACTGGGCAGGCCCCAAACCACAGGCATTCCTTCTTCAGGCAGTCCATGGCACAGAATCATAGGTGGCCTTTTAGAAAAATCGATTTCCCTGGCCAGGAATCGCCCTCTATTTTTAAAGCAAACCAGCCAAAAAGGACACCTATGGGAAGGACCCGAACAAACCAATTGCTTTGGGACCCCCCGCCCCTTCCATCTTTCGCGTGGCGTAGCTTGCGGCTTACTTTCGCAAGGGAAGGGCATGCCCTTGATTCTGAGGCATTTTGGGAGGCATAAGCAAGCCGGGGCTGAAGGGAGGAGGGTTGGCGCAGATGTCTTGCCAGCTAGAACGTGTCATCAAGTCAAATGTCCAACCCACCGCCAAGGCATAAACTTCAAGATGAAAAAACTCGCATACGTGACATACGTGACCCAAAAAGGGTCACGTAGAAGCAGGGCTGCGGGGAATGACCACTTCTGTGATACAACAGAAAGGGCTTCCCAAAGACTATTTTCTTTATATACAGGGGGATTCCCTTGTATCACAGAAGTGGGGAGAAACCCCTTGATCCCACAACCCTGGCTAGAAGTGATTTCCCTCACAGGAGGGACGCCTCACAGAATCCTCAGCTTAGGCCTTTTGGTCACCACCCATCCACCCAGGCCTCGGCCAGGTCTTTGTGCACGCCCGCACTGCTGGCGATCCTCTCCGCACGCGCCTCACGGAATGGGGGAGAGCAAAGCCCCCGCAAATCTGAGAAGTATGACCTCCAACCCAAAAAAACATATTCCATGCAGACAAAAAAGCCCCCAGGAATCTGAGAAGTATGACCTCCAACCAACCAACAAACAAACAAAAACTTCAGACATGCAGAAATTTGAAAAACATACCTGAGCCTGAAGGAACCTGAGAAGTACCATGAAGGAACCTGAGAACTACCATCCCCACCACCAGGGCACCTCACAGAGGGACTTTTGAGGACATTGATCTTCCAGCCCTCCCACGAGTTCTATGTTGGGAGGGTATGCCCTCCAACCCAAAAAGAATAAGACCTGCGGAGGTGGTTTTGCGTACTGGCCGCCCCCAACTTTGAAGGCCCAAACCAGGTCTTTTTCTGTCCGAGTACCATTGCGTTACTTCATACCATCGCCAAACACATAATACTTGTACATACATAAATAAATAAAAACGTACGTGTTGTTTACATTTGGCCATGGTTCAAAACCAATGGGATGCCATTTTGGGATGGGTGAATTCCCCACCCATTTTGGGCTTCCTAGTTTGGTTGGATTGGATCGGATGTTCTTTCTGGGGCTGGGGGATTTTGACAAAGCCCATGGCCATTTCTCTCCACACCCACCAACCACGCATCTCAGTTGCCCAAAGGACCTGGAACTAAAAGGTTAACTTTTGGGGCCATGACTAAATATGGGAACCCAAAATGGGAAAACCAAAAGGTCAAAAGGTCGGCTTTGAGCAACTGAGGCATGACCAAACCACCCACCCCCCCCGGCCCGGCGAACCCCGCCCGCCGCCTTGGAGATGGGCCCGATGCCTGGGCTGGGGCCCTCCCAGGAGTGCTCCGGCGGCAGCATCTTCTCCAGGACCTGTCAGCGGGATGCGGCGTCCTTTTTGGATACGCCTGGAGAACTGCTGGAATATGCTCCTGGCCAAAATCTGGGGTAAGGATGCCAACATCCTTTTCGGGGAAAATAGATGGGCCCTGGTAGTTGACGGAACCACCAGGTAAACTAGAAATTTTCAGCCAAGCAAGGACACCTATGCAGCGGTATGCGGTCCGCAACCAGGCGGTTGAGGGGTTGCGTGGTTGCGCGCCCCACAAAATGCGAGGCGTGGGGCGATCTGCCGGTATCCTGTTGAGTTGTTTTCCGCACACACACACACACCCAGCGTGGTTTTCCCCCAAAGGCGTTTTTGGCTTTCGAGATGCATGGTTGGCTGCCACACTGGAGCTGCGCCAGATCGCAGATGATGAATGCTTAGACCAACCACCACAAAAGCGGCCTTCCAAGAATGGGGGGGGTCTTGGCCGCAAGCTATTGCCTATGAAGGCAATGGTGTCACGCCACTGCTCTAGCAAAACCCCCCAGAGTCTGCCCCAGGACTCAGGCTTGCGAAGAGTCCAGGAAAAACAAACGAACATGCCAACCTGATAGTCTTGTGGCTTCCCTCCGAATGTAACTGGCGAAATATGCGCCAGTCCGTGTCAACATCAGGGCCCCTTCAAGGCAGAACTCCCCCTTGCCATAAGGCGGTAAATATCAAACCAACAAACAAACAAACAAAAACACGCCTGACGCCCATGAAGCAATGGCTGGCTGCAAGTGCATGTCCTTTCCCCACTCTCACGTTTGCTGGTCAAAGGAGTGATTTCCCGAAACCTTCAGTCAGAGGTTCCAGTGGCCACAATGCGTGGGAAGACGATTCGCCAAGCTAAAGATCAGAAGGCTCACATGCCCTTCTTCAGAGCACTTCCCCTCGATTTTGCCCCCAACAAACATCTCGGAAAGCTGAAAAACCCATTAGTTGGCAAAAAGTTAAAGTCCTAACATCCCTTGGCAAAATGCAACAACGGTTTTTACAGCTTCCCCCTTGGTGGTCGGACTCAAACCTGCCCACAGTCCGGGTCGCACCGCCCACGGCTCGCTCCGGCCTTAAATCGCATCTCCCCAGTGCCAGGCCCAGCATGGAAGAAGAGCCCCAGGTTGGGCACGTGCACCTCGAGTTTTTGAATGGAACCTCCACGAAGTTTGCAATTCAATGTTTCTTACCATGTGTTGTCTTTGTAAGTTATGAAGAAGCAACGCGTGAAGAAGCAACGGGGTTCCTTATTACTCTCAAACATTCTGAAAACGGCTGGAGAGCAACCAATGGATGAACCTTGAGGATCCCATTCAAGATGTCGTTTTGTTTGGGGGCCCATGGATCTTCCAGGGATGGAGCCTTCCGCCAGCGGGCACCATTGTTGACCCCTCGAAAAAGTCTTCCAATCACTCGGTTTTTTTTTTCTGCTCCCCTGCTAAAAGTTTAACTTTTCGTGGTTTAGACCCATTAGTTGGCAAAAAGTCAAAGTCCTAACAGCCAAGCAAAATGCACCAAAGATCAGTAACCATGACACTTTTTTTTTTAGATATTGGTTCGGCATGGCAGCCCCCCTCATGACCCCACCCTCTCAGAAACTCCACGCGGACTGGCAAAAAAGGGGGGGGGGGGAAAACGAGTGTGTTCACTCGATTGCCGCACCCTCCCCGTGACACCAAGGATGTGTCACGGCCATCTCAGGGAATGGCCACCATCCAGTGAGAACCATCCAGTGAGAGGTGTCCAGCCAAGGCCAAATCATCCCAGCTCCAACACACAAACTGACCAAACTGCACAAAATACACGCCATCCAAAGTGCTCACCCAAAGTCGGCTACGCATCTCTGCGTGAAGCTCCGAGGAAGGCAGAGGGGGCCGGGCTTCCCGGCCGTGCGTCCCAGGGAGACCTCCTGCACCAGGTAGCTGCACAGGGCATCGAAGACCGCGGAGGCGCGCTCCTGGTACTTTGACTCGTCCTCCTGGCCGGGGCGTCGCAGGAACTCCCTGTGACGGAAGGCCTTCCGTGCAAAACGCGGGAATAGCTGGCCAACTGCTGGCCAGCCACGGCGTTTTTGCCATTCTTGGCCAGCCAGCCCTAGGTGGTTGTTTCCAAGGGTCAGCAGGAAAGGGGCAAATGAAGCATCCCCAACTGCCATGGCCAACCGTGTCCTCCTCCGTGGAGGCTTCAAGCGTCGCCATGTGGCCAGCGCAAAAGACGCTGTGCCACGGCCCATTCGCTGGGTCTGAGCCAAGATCACGTGGCCGTTTCCGGCGGCTTCAGCTCGGTTTCAGAAAGCCCCAGCCGTGATAGCCTTCTGCTTCTCTCTCTCTCTGCCGTTGCGTCCAGAGGGTCTTGACTCAGGGCTATGCTTGCCTTGTCCCATTTCTGTGGCAATTCAGGGTGGGGTGTGCCATGTGGGGGTGCCACCAACAAATCGCAAGTCTACCACGCGATTGTTGCTGTGCCAATCTTCTGCGAATGGGAGCAAAGCCTCAAACAACGAAGCATGCTCACAACTCATCCAAGAGAAGCACCTCGCTCGCAATACCCCAGCCGATTCAGCCCCTGCTGGATCGTGTCCTTTCTGCACCTATTTTACCTATTTTTGCCATGTTCTTGGGGGGGGGGGGGACAAAAGGCTGAGACACCACCCACGTGTTTCCAGAAGCTTGCAAGAGCCGGGCTGGGGGTTCGTGAGGCGAAGTTCTGAAACCCTGAGGATCGGCTCCCAGTCGGATTCCAGTCGGCTTCCCTTCGGTTCCCCCTTGCCATCCCGAACAAACAGATGCACCCAGGTGACTTCAACGCTTTGGCCCGTGGCAACCCACAAAATTTGCCATTGGAAGGTGAGGCTTTAGGAAATTTTAGGAATGCCTCCTTTTTTTTTGTTGGCACCCATTGATCCCACACCGGACACCCCAGCGGCCCTGGAGGTGTCGAACCTTCTCCTCGAGGAAAACTGCATCGTGATGTCGAACACGCCTGCGTTACGCTCATTGCTCACCCCCCACCCCCCCACCCAAAAAAGGAAAGAGACAAGAGCGCCCAACCAAAGACAACAGAGGAGTGGCTTCCATATCATTTGCCGAGGAGTGCTGAATTGCTTAAGGGGACCAAGCAAAAAGTCCCCATCTCAGGCGAGGGATCCTTGAACAGCAACTCGCAGGCATTTGGGGTGCCGCAGGGTTCACGCGATTGGAGTGCGGGGTCAAATGTGCAAAGCACATGCTGCATGCCCAACATTGACCTAGGAAACTCAAGTTAAATTAAATTGGCCGACAAGGGCGTTTAAAGCCACGAAAAAGGACATGTCATATACATACATATTCACATATAAAGGGACCCTTGATGAAGGCAATCTGCATAGACGTTGCTGGCCAAAAATAAAAGGAGGCAACCGCAAGGCGGTTGCCTCACACGCAGACACTCTGACACTCTATCACAATTTGAGCCTTGAGCAACACTTGGGCGGGACTGGAGATCCCAAAAGAGTAGGCACGCCCAAATGGCTGGATCCCACACGTGCCTTCAAAAACACATTCCACATTCCAAACAACACAGTCGGCAAGCATCATGCGGGCTCTAACAAAAACGAGGCAGGTTTGCATGAGGATGCATGCGTCTCAAGATGTCTCAAGCCGAAGGAGGACAGATTTCCAGGTACCTGCTACTAGGTTACCAGCCTGAGGGCCTATAGGCGAAAAGAGAGGCGAATGAAAGGCCGCAGCCCCATCCCCCAAAACAGGGTCACGCAGCTTTCTTCGGCCAGGCGACCGACATAGCCCTCGTCCATGATGAGGAGGTGTATGTGGAACCAAATAGATAAGATCCTCGGATTTTAGAAGCACATGGATCTTATAGGAGAAAAGTTGCTTCTCTCGACGCCTCTCAAGAAGTGAGAGTTCTTAATGAGAAACCCCCCGAAAACCTGGTGTCCGAAGCGAAAACTGGGCTGTCAATTGCGCAATCCGTGCTCAAGCCCATCTTTAAGCAGCACAAAACCAATGTTTTCAACTGCGCCAGCTTTGGCTTTGCACCTGTGGAAAGTGCCACAGGGCGCCATTTTGGCTTAAGGTGACTTTTCGGGTGACATTCCCTTCTGTAAGCAGGGGTGGTGTCCTTTTGGTGGGGAGGTGTGGCCCCTCTGACTCACATGTTCTTCGGGATTAGGTCGAAGTGAACGCGATGAAGGCCTACTGCACCGAAAAGGGGGAGAAAAACACGCCGGTGGGGCTGAGCAGCACTGACATCGCCTTGGAAATGAGCAGAAATTAACTTGAACTCTTGGCTCAAAGCACCAAACCCCAAAAATGTCGCACTTGGCGAAGTGCCCTTCGCAAAGCTCAGTGACCTCAGTGACCTCCTGGCAAGGGCGGTTTCTCCGACCTAAGCCCGCCCAAGGTCAAAGAAGGTGCGCGCTGAGCCAAGCGTCAGGTACAGCAATGAGTTCACAAAGTGGAGCACTGCTACGACCTGCGCTCCATCGAAAAATCATGCTCCCCGCGACGTGACTAACTTATGTGCACCGGGGATGTCCACCCGTCTCGCCATAAGTTTACATCAAAAAGGGACAGCGCAACCTTCCAAAGAAAAAAGCGGCGAGCCCAAACATCGGACAAGAGCGCCGAAGGCTTCAACATTCTCCACAGAGAGTGTGTACTGAGGCACCCTTGCAAAGGGCAGAATCCTTGTTCCCACCGGGTGTGGTACCGTTTTTGGTGTTGTTTCAACGCCAAAAGGAGGTCACATCTTGGGCATCCACCCCACCCCCGTGTTGAGGCATGCCTATGTGGGTATGTGCCAAATTGGGGGGGGGGACCCCACCTGGTACCCTCAAAAAAGATAAAAAAGAAACCTGCATGCGTCTTGTCTTGGTTGACCCGCCCCCAAAGCTGATTTTCCTTGTGGCCATCCTTCTGTAACGCATCCGAGGACTCTGGGCTTCCGCACGCTCAGGCCGTTGGAGCTGTGCCGCGCCAGACGATCGAAGAGCGTCCCATCGGCACCTCGGAGCGATCGATCCGAAGCCGCGCCGCGATCCCGAAGCACCGCCCCGAAGCAACTGCCACAGAGAGGTGAACCCCTCGGATGTTTGAAGCAAAAGGACACCTATGCCTTTTTGGCACTTATTTGTGGTAGCGTAGGTGGCCTTTTGGTGGGGTTCCCTGGTTTAGATGGGGCAGAAACCCCATCTAAACAGGGAATCGCCCTCTATTGTTTAAAGCAAACCAACCAAGAAGGACACCTATGATTGCCACCACGGTCACATGGGGGTTGCTACCCTCCCACGTAACATGGAACCCTTCGACCATTGAAAATCAATCCGCCATGGGTCAAAATCCAAATCGTACCCCCAGTGAAGATCCCAATTCAACCACTAAATAAGTTCTAAAATGGGTGGTGCGCCTACCCCAAAATGGGATCCCGTTGGTTTTGACCCACGGCCACATCGGTCCTGGTTTGGATCATCATCTCCTTTTGAAAGGCACCGGGTCCCAAGGGTTCCATGTTACTTGGGGCGAGGGCATTCTCCATTCCTCATTCGCCCAAATCTGATGTGAATCCATTGGGGGGGGACCCTTTGGTGAACATCATTTACCACGAAACCATTTAGGGCTCCATGTCCCCCATCGCTTTCGGCCCCAGCGATACTCCCGGCTGTCGCTTCGCGGTCGCTTCCGCCGTAGGTGGCCTTTTGGGAGAAAAAAAATGGTTTCCATGATAAACGGGGCACAAACCCCATCTAAACCAGGGCCCTCTATTTTCTAGGCTGGAATTAGCACCCCAGCCAAACCTTATCTTTTTTGCCTGGTGGAATCCCAAGAAGAACCTCCCCCCCAAAAAAAGAGAAAAGAATGGGAGCTAATTCTGGGGAAGTTGTCTAAGCAAACCAAGAAGGCCACCTCTGGCCAGGGCGCTGTTGATGCAGATGGGCTCCATGGCCACCAGCGCCATGACCCAGGCGAAGCTCGCCAGCGCGGAGGCTGAGCGAGTCGCGAGTCGAATCCGAGTCGCGAGTCGAGTCGACTCCGCGTCGAGTCAACGCGAAAAGCCGAGCCGAGGTGTGTGCGTGGTCTTTGCTTGTTTGATGCTGTTCTTAAGATTCTTGAGTTTTGTTGTTCTTAGTTTTGTTTTTAGAAATCGGCGGGGCGTCTTGGGGCCCGAGGGTTTTGGAAATCCCGTGAACTGTCTAGTGGAACGTGCTCGACTCTAAAATGAGGTGTTCGGCTCTATGAGGGCTTTCTTTGGGTTCTATGGTAGCTTCGAAAGCCGGACAAGCCAACCTCTCAAGCTCACTGGCTCCCCCCTGAAACAAAATCGACAAAGTGTTGTCATAGTTGTCTAGCCGCTCTGGCTTGAACACATGTCTATGCTGGTTCGACTGGCCCGTACTTTTGTAACAATGTTCCATCGGCTCCCATAAAAATATCAGGCCTGTTAAACGAATTGTTGTACTTGCAGGGCTGGCCAACCAAAGTGGTTTCCCTGAATGGGAACCTCTACACAAGCGACCCCAAAATGTTTGGTTTGATACAATGTGGAGAACCCCTTTAACGGGGTCGCCCAAAAGGAGATTCCTCTAAAAATGGGCGTTTGGGTCCCATGTGAAGGGGAGAAAACCGAGGAACTGGTCAGTTTGGTGTCCGAAAAGGAACCCTGACGGTTTCCGGAAAGGAATGCCAGGGGTTTGATCAGAGACGGCCCACGCTGCTTGTCTCCCAAAACACCCTTGCTATGACTGTGTGAAATGGGAGTGTTGGGAAATTGGGCCGGTGCACATGCAACAGGAGTAAGACGGCCAAAAGTGCTTGGATTCCGACCCTTTGGCTCATGGCTCAGAAGCACCTGACAGCAACACCTTTGCCACTTTTCACCAAAACCGGCTTCTGCCCGACCGATTCACAGAAACCCGCACTGCGGTGATCCCAACACATGTCCGCGTCTTAAGTTCGTCTGCCCCAACAACTCTCCGCACACGTCGACATGGCAGTGGTAAGCCAGTTTTTCAGCCGAGTGTCCTTTCAGCAGCACTGAGACTTGCCGGCTAGTGGTCACCTCAGGCCGACAAGTCACAAGCAGCGCGGAACGAGGTGGGGTGCCTCTCGCCGAATCTGCCAAAACAATCCTTCGACTTGTTTAGCCCCTTACTTCACCATGGCCCCCATGCGGGTCTGTTCAGAAGTGGAACAGTCCCAAGATGAGAAAACAGGATACGCACTCCAACTCGCAAGCCAGCAAACGCCCAAGGCGAACAACCACTAGCAAGGCTACAAGCACGAAACTAACTAGGGGCTACACCCGCAACGCCACCCTGTCTCGCCGGCAAACTCTGGGACATCCCGGCATCTACGCACAAAAGACAGCTCGAAAACCTCCCGTCTCCGTGGATTCCCTCGACCACCCTTCACCAAATATTAAATATGGTCCGAACAAAGTCCGCATTGTCCCGCTCAAACGGTCTTCGAGGAATAAGAAGAACAACAACGAGTCTCTCAAGTCCATACACCCAAAAAGACCCCTCTCAAGGTGGAAGATCTTCCAGGCAGCTCCTTTTTTCAAGTCGGAACCTGCAGTGGCCTTCAGACCCACAGGAGCGTTGGCAGGGAAGCTCCTCAGCCGAGCCGCGTGCCAGGTGGAGTTGGCCACGTGCCTTGACGGGGACAGCTTCTGGGAGAACCACTGCAACCACTGGAGCAGCTCCGACTCTGGGCCCTGGCCGGAAGGCCGATGCGCGCATCGGTTTTTCAGGGTTGCGGGGTTGGGAGGGTTGCGAGGGTTGCGGGGAGGGCTGAGGGCCTGGGAGGTTGGGAAAGCTGCGGGTGACAATGAGGCCCAGTGCGTGGAGTTTTCTGGCAGAACCGCCTCAAGCAGCTTTTTCGGGCGGGCTTGGCTATGTGCAGTACATGTGGTTGCTCCCGCCCGGTGCCTTCGATCTCCGCATCTTCGCGCGAGTGCAGAAGGCAATTCCCAGCTCCTCCTCTTCAACCAGGGTGAAGCCCTTCTCAAACCTGGCCAAGGTCACGGCCAAGAATCAAGTCCTGAGCCTGGTGTCTGGTGATGCTTGGCTCAAAATCAGCAAGGTGGCTTTGCAGTTGAGTCAAACTGCTGTGTGCTGGGGCCAACCTGACGGTGGGTGCAGTTTAGTCAAAACATTCAGCTTCCCCCTATGTGGTGGTCTGGATTGGTGGTTTAGTGGTGGAGGAGGGGTTTCCACAAGCCAGGGGTTCAAATCCAAATCCACATAAGGATTGTCTGAAACATCCCGCTGGCCAGTCCAGGAAGCGAAACTACAATCACTCCAGGGTCTTCAGGGCCCTTCCCCAAAGGGCTCTGGCCATTTCACGAACTGGGCCACACAGAAAGGAGAAATATGCGGGAGAAGTGAAGTTGCTGCAAGACCTGCTGAACTGTCTCAACCCCCCAAGCTCGGAGCTCAAAAGGTGCGCAGCCAGTTTTGCAACCAACCCTTGGTTGAGGGGAGCAAAAAAAATAAATTTTAGCAGTTACGTGGTGGGATTTCCACCGCTAAACCACCATAAGCAAAGATGCAAAAAGAATGTCCCCCAACGACAACCACAAACCCTCCTGCGTCCGGCCCTCGTTTCTCAGGCCCTTTCGTCCTTTTCCCCAAGGCGCCTCGCCCCGAAACGCCCGAGCCCCCGAGAGCGGCGTGCCGCCGCCCAAGGGAAAGCCGCCTGTTTCTGGCGTCGTTGGACCCAACGGACCGCGTGGAGGCGCGGCCGCCTCAGGGCGGGCGGAGCCGCCAGGGCGGTTTTTTGGGTGGCGGCTTGGGTCGGGGTGCCAACAATATGCGGCTTCGAGTCATGGGCAATGGGCAACTGATGCTTCGCTTCCCCCCTTCTTGTCAGTCTCCTTGGCTTCATGCACTGGCCCACCCTTCCAGAGCCTCCAAAACGGAGGCTGACTTGGCTGTGGCGCCAAAAACCGGAATTCCAAAATGAACGGAACCTGGGTAAGTGGGACATGGACCAACACCTGCGGTTTGCCCCTCCGATCGTTTCATTTTGAGCCACGCCCATTTGGGGAGCTGGTCCGCCGAGCTGCGCTCCGGGAAGACGGACTCCGCCACGCTGCCAAGGCTCCAGCGCCGACCTCGCCACCGGACCCAAAGAGACGCCGGACCAACCGCAAGCCCTTGGCACTGGTGATACCGGCTGTACCTCCGCTCTATTGGGACATCCATTCGAGTCAAAAAGAAAAAAGAAAAAAGCATCACGGCCGGCCAACTTCAGCGTATGTTATATGGCAACCCCTCCCTACCGCTAGCGGCGGCCCGGGTAAAGGCAGGATCTCCACATGTTTCAGAATGCATCCCTCCTGTGGCAAGTTGGCAAGGGGGGGTGAAAGGAAAAATTGCTTCAAGGGCGACCCTGTGAAAGAATGGCGCCCTTGCAAGTTGCGGGGCGCTTAACGCCGTCCGGCGGGACACCCTGAATCGTGCGCGTGATGCGGCCGAGGGGCCAAAGACGCTGCCGCGGCCGGTGATGTGGAGTTTGGTCCTCGTCACGTTGGAGGGCCGAAAGCGGCCCAGCATCGAGCCTGGCGGAAGCCGGGCGTTGTTGCTTCTCTTTTGCTTGGCCAGATGCAATGCAGCAATCCACCTGCCTTGTAAATGCACGGTACCCAAATTGGCTTGTAAATGCACGGCACCCATGAATATGTACTGCGCGCGGGGAAAAAACGACTAAACATGGGGTGCAGCTGCCGAGCATATTCGCAGAGTGGGCTGCTGGCTGAGTTGGACTTCACACCCGAGCAAAACATCCAGCCTTTGCAGGTTCAATGGAAAACCACATCGCTTCAAAAAAGACCTTTCAGGACGGCCATTCGGCCACTCCAAACATCAGCCACATTGCAGCCGAAAGTTTCACGCTGGCGCAGCCAAAAAGAAGAAGAGAAAGGCCGGTGGTGGGATCAATCCGCGCAGGACATGATCTCAACATTCAGTTTGCCCCCAATCCCCAAGCAACTTCCATTTGGTTAAGCCCCGGACCCAAAAAAAATCCTGTAGTGATAGATTCCCTCAAAAAAGCCAACTGTGGAAAATCAGAAAAATGTTAAGCAAATCAGGGATCCTTACATTATACACCTAAACATTGCCTTGTCAATGGTGGTTTCCCCTTTTATTTGGTGTTGAAAAAGCAACATGTTTCAAATGGTTGCAAGACATGTATCTTTTAAGGAGCCCTGCAAATGGAAATAGATGACCCTGGTAAACCATGAGGTAAACCAGGAATCGCCATCTATTGTTCTACCAAAACAACTAAAAAGGACACCTATGATGACAACATTTGGTTTGCCCCCCAATCCCCAAGCAACTTCCACTTGGTTAAGACCGCCAGAAATATAATAATTTCCAGTGGTGATAGATTCCCTCAAAAAGCCAACTGGGGATTTATATATATATATATATTTAAAAACAAAAACAAAAAGCAAACCGGGGATCCTGAAATTATACACCTGAACATTGCCTTGTCAATAGTGGTTTCCCCTTTATTTTGGTGTCGAAAGAGCAACATGTGTCAAATGGTTGCAAGAAGGAGCCCGGCAAATGGAAATAGATGTCCCTGGTGCATGCTTAAACCCAGGCATCGCCATCTATTTTTCTACCAAAACAACTAAAAAGGACACCACCCAAGCAACTTCCATTTGATTAAGACCCCAAAAAAAGTAATAATGTCCAGTAGTGATAGATTCCCTCAAAAAGCCAACTGGGGATTTTTAAAAATAAATAGATACCCCCAATCCCCAAGCAACCGACAAACCAAACAAAAAATCGGCGGAGAATGTTGGGCCTGTAGGCTGCGGCACCGGCTCCGCCGAGCGCTGCGAGGCCACCTCCTGGAGGGATTTTCCGGAGTGAGGGGAGGGGTGGGTGGGGGTTGGGTGGGTGGGTGGGGAGGGGGGGTGGGGGGGGTGGGGGGGTGGGGGGGGGTGGGGAGGGGGGCAGGGATTTGTCCGGGTGAAGCGAAAATAGAATTAAAAAAATGTGGGGTTTAATCCCCCATTCCCTGCTTTTCAACCATCGTTCTTTTCAAAAAACCGGCTATTTTCCCTGAGTTTCCGGAGGTTTTCTAGAAAGAAGGATCCCTGGAAAGAATGGGGAAGGTACCCCTGAAGAAAAGGACACATCTAGTAGAATGAGCTGAGATATGTTGAGACCATTCTCATAGACTCGGGATAGGCGTTTCGCCTATTCGTTCTGGCTCCTGAGCCGTTCAAGCGCACCAAGCAAAAACATGCCACTCGCCAGGCACGGTGCAACATTTGCCAACACAAGTGGAAGGGGCTGTGAACCTACACTTCCCACAACACAATTCAGCAAGTGCTGGACTTTCCCCTCGCACAGAAAATATCTTTGCTCAAGACTTGCCTTGCCTTGAGATTCTTGGGAGGTGCCAAATTGCCTCGAGCGAGCCACGCGGCCAAAGCCCAAGCCCTCTGGCCCCTCTCTCCTGATCACTGCCCTTCTCGCTGCCTTGGCCGCTTATTCTCTCCGGGGACGCCTACAAGGCGAGGCCAAGCGACTGCGCTTGCGCGCGCCAAGCTGCTCGCCGGTGGCTGGGTGCTTTTTGCAGCTGTGCTGAGGGATTCAGCACAGAACCGCGAGAGACTTGCATCCCTGCCTGGCCATTCAAGCCGCCTCCCGGAAAAGCAGCTAAGCCAGAGGTACGCGCAAAACTTGCGTTGAGAATCAGGATTTGCAGCCATCGCGAAGTTGAAAACAACTGGGGTGACCAAACGGCCACGAAACCGTCTGACGATTGAACGTGCACAAAGGAAAACAATGAATCCTGGGGCCCTTGTGGATCCAGCAGGGGTCCCAGAAAAATACTTATTTTGCATTCAGCCGAAGCCGCGGGCAGTCGGGCAAACCAGGGGAGTGAAAGTACCCTTCAGCCGACCCGGCCTCCTCAACTTCAATCGCATTGGGCAGTGCCAGTCTCACAACCTCGGCGTGCCATCGGGGGTTTTCTGGCACCAGTCGCCGAAATTACCAGCGACAGGGCTCAGGTCAAATACCCGGAGGGTGACCTCGAGAAAAATGGTCCGCAGTTCCTTCAAGGTGCTGTGGGCCGGGCCCACTTCCGTTTGGAACTCACGAGCCCAGTTTTTCGGACCCATCCTCGCCCAAGTCCAAGTGCAGCTGTGGAGCCATAAGGCGAGCTTCTAAGATCAAGAACCTGAGAGAGTGACTGAGAAACGCGCTCCTGCCCCTGCACCTTGCCTAACTCAAGTGGACAACCTGACTGCTTGCCAGACGAGAATGTGTCTGATGCCGGGTGTGGAACAGAAGAAAGGTCATGCACGTGGGCAGACGGATGTGGTTTATCATGTTCGCCTCTAAAACAATGTAAAACAGGGATGGTTCCAGCACGTCGAATTCTGAGATGTAGCAAGTGGGCTGGGATATGAAGTCCTTGCCCCCAGGCGATTCACATTAAGGTTAAGAGACCTTCGAGCAACTGAGAAAAAATGAAATAATTGTTTTATGTGACATTATATCATTTATTCCTTGTTTTGGCATCGTTTGGCCTCATCATTGTTCCTTCATGTGTTCATCATTTCTCGCGGAATCATGAGTTTCCTCGCTTTCTGCACACATTTGTAGCAGCGGAAAAATGCTTGCGAAATGAAGAACAATGATGAACAAGTGATTTTATTGGAAAAAGATGGAAAAACCAAGAAACAAACAATGATGAATAAATGATGATTTGCTAGCATGTTCCTTAGTTTCATAATTTCCGAAAGATTTGCAACTGTGTCCGGAAAATCATCATTTGTTTCATCATTTGTTCATCTCATGTTTCCATGAGTTCGCACGGATACCTGCAAAAATATTTAGTAGCGTTACAAAAAAGCTACATTTTGAACAGACAACAAGAAAACGCAACCTACAAATCACGAAAAACAACGAGTATCGCAGAAAAACGATGAACAAATCCCGAGAACCCTTGCGAAATGATGAAACAATAACGAAAATGATGAAACATGATGAATGAATGATGAACACTTGATGATTTGCTAGCACATTCTTCTTAGTTTTCAGAACTTTGTAAGGATTTGCAACTTGATTTGCAACTTTGTCCGGAAAATCCGCGCGATGCGATGGACAAATGATGAAACAATGAAAAGCAAAATGATCTCCCAAATGTTTAAGAACAAATGATAAAAACAAAAACAAAATGTTTTCACTGAGGTAGGTCTATGGCTGTCAAGTTCTTCACACAAATAAGGGGGCTACCACATTCAAATGGGCGCCACGTTTTAAGTCTCTCTGTGGAGCTGCTACATGCCGCCCAACAGTGACACCAAGGGGCATCCTCCATCCCAAGTGCGGGCTAAGGGCAGTGACACCCGAATGAACAAGTCATCCCACCACCCACCCTACTGCCCCAAACAAGCCATCCCGCCCTCACTCAGAAAAGTATCCAAACTGCAGCTCTGGGCGTCTCTGGTAACATCATAGGATATCCTGACACTTCCCCCTTCCCATCCCTCCCAGCAGGGCCACTTCCCCCTTCCCATCCCTCCCAGCAGGGCCACTTCCCCCTTCCTCTCCCTTCCAGCAGTTGATTTGCATCACCAAGGGCTGATTTGGGCTGTGGCGCGCTTGGGGATGTTTCGGGCCTTGGCCCAATGTCGCAAACCCGCAAGCAACCTGGAACCCCTTCCCCCCTCCCCTCCCCCCAGCCCCCCTGGGCCCCAGGAGCCCCTCCTGCCAAGGAGCAGCTCAACAGCGGCCGCTCTCTCTCATCCCGCACCTCAGTGGGATTTTTGTCGGTCCAAGTCCTGCTGTGGACAGGCGAAATCTGCTTCGCAGCAGTTGGGATGGACGAAAACCCGATCGATGCTGGGATAACTTGGTGCAGGATTCTGGCCATCCACAGTTGCTTCCTGATGGGAGAATCGATGGCATAAATAAACGGGTAAACTAAAGGGAAACTAAGGGAAACTAAAGGAATCTCGAAGTTTGCAAATCTTGACGGAAGAACCAAACCCAAGGCTACTGCAATCAACACTCTGCGCCAGGTACGTACCTTCAATGCACATCTGAGCAATCCCATTTGGTAACTTTCAGGAGGACCTCGGGGGTCGGGCTCAGAGAGGAGTGGGAAAGATTTGGCTGACATGGCCTCACACCAAGGGATTCTTGCGCTTCCAGTCCATGTGAGCGTCACCCTTGCCATCCGTCACAATCCAGGGGTGCTTGTACATACCCCTTGGACAAACGAACCCAAAAGGCCTGCTGATGTTCATACCCCTCTCCCCCAAAAGTGGCATATACCCCTTATAAAGTGGGTTGAGCACCACGGAAGCCAAGGGGTATGAACCAAGGGCTATGTACTTCCAGCCTTACACGCCAGGGACTCTGAAGGGTTCGTTTTGGTGCTTCCAGTCCATGTGGCTGTCACCCGAGCTCCGGACGGTCCCGGCTGTCAACAACCCTTTGGGTGAATTGACGGCTCGGCCACGTCCCTAACCACGATCTTGAGCCAAAGCATCGGGAAGCGAGCGGGAAGCCAAACTGGAAGCATCGTGCCTAGCCTTTTTAGATGCCGGCGGCCACATGGGGCAAGCAAACAGCTTGCAGGACGGAACACTGTGCAAGATTCCCAATGTTGCATGAACATCGTGTTGGGCGAGCCGCGAAAAAAATCAGTTTGGTCCGAGAAGATGTTCACCAAAGCGCTTGACAAAGGAAAGTTGCTCAACATCCAATTCCTGCTTGACCAGCACAATATTTTCTAGCATGTGGCGGAATGCTGATCCGCGTGTCCTTCCCGATTCCCCTGTGCCAAAAGAAAAAAGGAAAGCTCGGTCAAAGTGGCTGAGGACCTGTGGCCAAGCCTGGCATTATAGCCGCCAATCTTGTGAAGTCACTATATACGTCCCTGCACTAGGACCGTGGAAAGGCCAAGGCCGGCCTAAACAAGGCCTCTGCCCACATTCAACGGGATATCAGTCAAGCCCAAAAAGGTGCCCTTGCACATGTCGGAAACTCGTGCCCCTTCATCAAGCGGCCTCCCATAGCAAAGAACCAAAAGCTGGTCCCGGACATCTGGCAGCATCACATGGCACCCGGCTATTCCTCCAACTCATTCCCAACTGATACAGTGGGGGTCATAAGCCCCACTGTAAAAAAAAAAGAAAAAGGAAGAAACAAAACCATGCGGGACCTCTGAGTGGTCCTGAGTGGGTGGATTTCCCTGCCCGAACAGACAGTTCCCCCACCCTGAAAAATGCTGGTACCCTGTTTGCATAGGTGGCCTTTTGAAGAAAAAAAATATATGGCCCTGCCAAATGGTCCAACCACAAAGGACACCTATGCCTGTTTGTATGCTTTAGGAGGGTCTCCCTATTTTAAGACACACACGCCCAGCTGGACGGAGCTGCGGTTCACCGCTCATTTTGAGGGCCCCCGATTTTTTGACTCACGCCGGCTTTTGGTTCAGAGATCCCGCCGGTGCCCCCTCTCCTACCCACCCCTCAACCCCCAGCACCCCAGCACCGGGCCCTGAGCCGCTGCGGGCAGGCCAAGGCTTGGCTGTTCAGCGTTGTGCCCACATGGGCCGGGCCCATTGCTGATTGACTGCACCAGTTCGCTTGGGACATTTTCAGGGGGGTTGGAGTTTGGAGCTGAGGCCTTCATGTGGGGTTTGCCCTGGCTGCCGAATGTGGTCGTGCTTCCCTTAGCTCGGCACAATGTCCGCACAGCTAACCGCGCATTGAGCCGCTCTGAAATCTCGGCGATGATGCAGCTCGCCGAGCTGCATCTCCAATCCGAAAGTGATGAGGTGACACTCTATTTGCAATAGCCATGAAACACATGAAACCTGAAACAAAGAATACATCTTGATCCCCCCCCAGTGGCCCAGGCGCCAGCAACTTTGGCGAAACTTCATTTCAGCGTGATGCTCCGGCCAGCCCTGCCCGATCGGGATGGACCATCGTCTAAATGGCCCTAGTACAAGGGATCAAGGAAAAAGCGACCCATCGAAGGCTGGCCATGTCAAACATCACCTCACCAAAAGCCAACTCAAGTGAAATTCGCCTAAATGGTGAGGAACCCTCTTGCATCCCAAAACTGAGTAACCTCCATTAGAAAGCCAGCCGGCCCCCACCCTCCCTGCCGGTTTCTTCTGCTTCACCGCCGGCTTCTCCTTCTCCTTCTCCTTCTCCTCCATCGCCTCCTGCGTGCAGCTGGACACGTTTGTGAGAATTTATATATATATATATACATATATGTATGTGTGTGTGTCTAATTGAGATAACTTACGCATCTATGTATACGCGCGCATGTGTGGGGAGTCTAATCTTGTTGCTGGCATGATTCCAGTCCAACTCTTGCAACGCACCTGCCGTGTCCAAAAGATAGGGCCGGAAATCGAGGTTTGCGACATGCCGGTTCCTCCTTCTCTTTGGCCTTCGCCTGGGCAATTTCTGAACAGGTCATAGGCGAGGGCGAAAAGGACAGGGGGCATTGCCGATTGGGCTTTTGGCCAAAGTTGGAATCCAGCGACTTCAGTGAAACCGCCACTTTTGGAGGTTGAGCAAAAAGGAACTTCAAGGACCTCTGGGGCACTCGATTTTTGGGCCGCAGCATCGCTGGCATTCCCGTCAAATCGCGGCAAGGCGTTTGATTTTCCGGGGCTGCCAATGAGAAGGGCCGCCCTGAAAACATCCTCGCCCCGCCATCTCCCGGGAGGCAACACTCCGGCAATGCCTGGCACGAATTGAACCCTGCACCAGCGGGGCAGCCCTCATGACGTCCGACGCATCCAGCGGTTCCACGTACCCTGGCGCGCCATGGCTGGCGCGCGCCGCGCGCCGCGCGCCGCGCCCGCGAGGCGGCGCTCGCCTGGCTTTGGCTCTTGGCTTCGGTCCTTCCGGCGGCTTGGTCCACGTCGAGCGCCAAGAAGGCCCCGGCCAGGAGGTCCGCCCCGGCTACACCACCCGCAGGCCTCTCCGCTTCTGGAAGACGCGGTCGTAGAGCAACAAGTACTCCGGGAAGGCTCGGCCAGGGTCCGTCACCACAAACTCCCGGTAGCTGTGGCATTGCTCCTCCAAGTCGCCTTGGCATACACGGAGCCGACACTCCATTTCAGCCCAGCAAATATCATCATCTGCTGGGCCCTGCAACCCTCCCTCCCCCAAACAATGGTTGAACAAACAAACGAATGCATCATGAACTTGTAGCTGGATGCCTGGAACTGCTTTGTTTACGGACTGGCATCGCCACATCAAACCCAGTCTAGCAAAATACATCTGCATTCCTTCATCCATGATGCCGAATGCTGAACTGACAATATGTTGATAAGCGAGGCCGTGGTACTTGATCACATCAGCTAGGCAAGCCTGAATGGTGTGGTTTTTGTGTTTTTTTTGTTTTTGTGGTTGTTGTGGTTGTTGTGGTTGTGATCCTCACGCTCATATGAGTCACAATCACAACCTGGTACAAAAATGGTGAACCCAGAACCATGTAAATAATTAAGAAGGCGGCCGCAACTATTTCCGGTTGGGACTGCCTCTTACTAACCTTCATCTACCCAGGTTGATGGTGGCTCATATGATTGGCATGTTGGTTCCTTTTCGCAAATCTCGGTTTGGCTGACATGTCGGCATGCCCTTCAGAAACGGGCACCATATCGCCTTCGCCTGCCTGGGGCTCAGGATATGTCTGCTCGACCTTGAGGAACTCTGGCGATCCCTGTCTTGAGATTGTATCTCCGGCCGGACCATCTATACTAGTAACATCTTTATCAGGGACATTATGCACCTGAACATTGCCGGCGGAGATTTCAGTCAATCCTGCGCCGAGCACAGGATTGCTCCACTCAATCCTGCGTCCAGCACTGCCTTGTAAATGGCGGTGTCCCTTTATTTCAGTGGAAAAAGCCATGTTTCAAATTGGCAAAATGTATTTTTTTAAGGAGCCCTGTTAATTCAGGCGAACAAGTTGCTTCAAAGAAGATGTTGCTTTCCTGAATGGTTGCCAGATGTTGGGCAACAGTCACATCCAGAAAGCCAAACACTGACCACAATTGTGTTTCCTTCCACAATGCATGCTTGGAAAAAGTCTGCGAACACCATCCAGCAAGTCAGCTGATACCCCACCCAAACATTACGCCATTTAAGGAGCCTTGAGATGTTTGATCCTTCCAAAGTAGGCAAAAGCATTGGATAAGAAAAACAAGCGGTGAAACTGCCATGGACCTCCAATCTTTGATCCTCGCCCAGAAAACCAACAAACGGAACATAAACTGTTTAAGGGAAATACAGGTTGACCAGCCAATGCAAATCCGAAATTGCGTGATCCGTACAACATAAGGAGCGAACAATTACTCACGCATTATCCTTGTTTTCTTGGACGACAACACCCAATGCTACATCTGACCTTTCCGGGGTGTGTCTTTGCTAAAGAGGCCCGCCTAAATTGCGGTTCTCCTTTTTTGGTACCCTTCGCTATCTGAGTTGCAAACCAAAAGGTTCACCTTTTGGGACCCTTGGCTACATATGGACCGAAAAAGGGGAAACGAAAAGGTGAAAAGTTCGATTCGCTTTGGGCCACCCCCCCACCCCCACCACCCAAACCCCCACCCCCAAACCCCACCCCTAAACCCCCAAACCCCCACCCCCAAACCCCCAAACCCCCACCACCCCCACCACCCAAACCCCCACCCCCAAAACCCCCAAGCCCCTTCCCCAAACCCCCCACCCCCACCACGCCCACAACCACCACCCCCACCCCCACCACCCCCACCACCCCCACCACCCAAACCCCCACCCCCTAAACCCCCAAAAAGACAACACCCCCCCCCACCCCAAACCGCGAGCGAGTCGCAGACCAGGGAGTCGCACTCCGCCTCCGCGAGCGCTTCTTCCAGCGGGCGGGGCGGCAGCTTGCGAGTGGTGCGCAGCACGCGGCCCAAGGCGCAGCGGCAGAGCAGCCTCGGGCTGCAAAGAACGCGCGGCTCTGTGCTCGCTGGCGAGCGGCTGAACAGAGGGAACAAAAAAAACAGAGGATTGAACAGAACAAAAGAAGAGAGGGAACAGAGAACTGAACAGTGGGAACAAGAGGGAATGGCTTTTGCTAGTGGTGCCGGTGGTGTTGCCGCTATATCCGATTCCTTTGTTTTTGATCCAAGTGGGAGGGGGTTGGAGGGGTGGGGTTGGGTTGGGGTGGGTTGGGGTCAAGGATTGGCTGGGGTCAAGGGTCAAGGGTTGGGTTGAAAAGCACGGGGTCGGTCGACATGGTTGTGCAAAAATAACCCTTGGACACTCAAGGGCAATTTTGCAATCTGCTTTGGAGCATTCGGAATTTGAGTGCTTGAGTGTGCAAAATAGACTCTTCGTCGCCCCTGGCTGGGGCACACACAGGGGCTATTCCAAGAATTTTGCCTATGCAATACAGATGGCCACAAAAAGATTCCTCAAAATGCAGCTCTCACCAACCTCTAAATAAGGAATCCAGTGAGTTTGTTTACCGCTGGGTAAGCTCCTTGGAAATGTTCCGCGGGTGCCTGGCTTGACAAAAACCCGCCCATCAGCAAACAACAGGCTTTCGGTACCTTGACCCGGGCCCAAACTGGAAGACAAGTAACATAACCAACAAACGACTTTCGGCAAGCAGGGGCTCGGCTTGAGGCCTTCAACCTAGCGATGGGTGCATCTTCTCATCTGTGGAAAGGAGTGACCTGGGACCTCTAAACGCATTTAAGGGCCATTAAGAAGAAAACCAACCACTATCACTTCCCCTCACACGGACCAACATCACCTTAAACGTATGGAAGCATGAAATGGTTTCTTGACATTGAGCTCAGGGCCGCTAATGGGCCCAACCAACACAAGGAGTTAATGATGCAAAGAAAATGGGTCCACAAGGGCAAGAAGCATTGCACACGGGGCAGAAGTATACTCGTCAGCCTTGGACGAGCACTCGGCAAAGTAGAGTCCGCCTGGAAACCTCGGGGCAAGGTCAATCCCACCTCCCCCCACGCCTTCCACAAGTGGAGCTTCAAGGAGATTGTTACAATGCTACAAACTTTCATCTTCCAAATTCCCGCTTCAGCACGGCTTGGGATATGCCCCGAAATGCCATTCCCCACTCAGAAAAAGGGAGGAGGCTGTGCTTGCCCCAGCCACGAAAACAGCCTCAGCCACGCTTTTCTCATCGCCGCACGACATCCCCTGAACCGCTGCAGAACCACAGCTTATTCGGTTTCCGAAGGAAAGCGCGGCTATCGAGCATTGTTTTTGTCAGAGGCTGCGGGCTTATAAGCGGACTCAAAACCCAAGGAAGGATTGGCTTTGCGAGAAGGCGGCCTCGCGGACGTGCGAGAGGGAGCGACGACGCATGGCTGAAGTGGCTACACGTGGCTATATCGTGGTTCTGTGGCCTCGGCGACGCCCCTCGTGGCTTCGCTAAGGCTTCGCGAGAACGGCCCATCCGTTGGTCAGGAACGCACAGCTTGAGAAATCTTAGAAAGGGAACCAACACTCTCGGCGCTGCGAAGCTTCCTTCACGCAGAACAAGAGATCCCATCACTAGATTCTCTCAAGGCGACTCCAAACATCAACCTTTTGGCATACCACCATGAAAACCCACAAAACTGGGGCCTCACCTGTGTTAACTTTGCAAAGCTGCGCAAGAAGCTGCACGTGGATTCGAGGCACAAGTTCATTTGCGAACCTGTTGGCAGTTCCCCGCGAAGCTCCCTCGCCTGAGGGAAACAACGCTACTAGCTGGAGAAAAAAAAAACATAGTAGAAGGTAGCTTGGCAATGAATTAATCTGCAAAACCCTGAGATTGTCTCAATATGAGGCGACCCCGCCCACCCCCTCACCCACCCCCACCCAAAAGCTGACAAACAAAAAAAAAAACTTTCAGGCCTGCCATGGCCTGCCAGGCCCAACCGAAGCCCAGGCCCCCCCAAAACAGCCCCCCCCCTGGCAGCCGAGGCACATGGGCTCCCGCGGGCCTCCCGCCCGCGCCCGCGCCCGCGTGGCCGCGCCGAAAAGCGAGGGGCGGAAACCCTCGCGGAGGATGCGCAGGGCATTGGCCCAGGAGGTGCCGTGGAAGAGGTAATCCTCGCCAAGGGGAAGAAAAATCACGGGCGGCTTGGAAGGGAGAACCCAGCAACGAGAACTGCCGACCCGCGAGGGCGGATTTTTGGTTGCATGAGCTAGCTTATATGTGCATCTCTATATATATATATATATGTGTGTATATATATATATATGTGTGTGTGTGTGTCTCTCCCTCCGTTACGCGAAGATTTGGCATTAAAAAAACAAAACTACCCCAACCCTCCGGGGTGAAGTGGGGAACAGCCACGTGGCCATTGATACTTCTAGGGGTTGATTCCCCATTCTTTTCAACCATCGTTCTTTTCTAAAACCAGCTGTTTTCCCAGGGTTGTTGGAGAATTGCTTAATAAAAAAAGAGAAAGAAGAATCCCTGGAAAGAATGGGGAAGCCACCAACAGATCAGACAGCCCAAGCTGCAATGGAAAGTTACTTGCTTCCCTGAAGCACATGAGAAAATGAGTGAGTCCCTTGAAATTTGCCGGGGACATTTAGAGTTCGTACCCTTAGAACAATGCTGACCCAGGATTAATAAACCCGTCCCATTATTCGGGCCGTGTTCCCTCCAAAAGTGGTCTGAATCCCCACCAAAGGGAATTGGACACATCCCCAACAAAATCAACCAGGGGTTCTGCTTAATCCGTGGTTAACATTCTCATGTATCATAGGTGTCCTGCTTGGTTGTTTTGCAGGAAGAATAGATGGCGGTTCCTGGTAAACCCCAGGTTTGATTAATCAGCTACCAGGGAAACCCATCTATTTCCCTAAAAGGGCACCAATGCCACGTATCAAAACCCCGGGGTGTTCCCTTCAAAAGTGGTCTGAAGCCCCACTAAAAGGACTTGGACACCCCCCTATTAATCCACCAGGGGTTTATGAATCCACCAGGGGGTTAACATTACTTCTACAAAGTCCTGTTGATTTGTCTCGCGCCGTCGAGGCACGGCGCGGGCGGCGCCGCTGCTCGGCCCAAAGTGCCGCGTCCGCAGCGCGGGCCGAAGCTGCGGGCCCTCAGCGGCCTCTGCGCCCTTTGGGCGTGGGGGGCTCCTGGACGGGAACCCTGACCAACAACAAAAACCCTCCATTTGCTTGTTCGTCCCCTGGAAAAGAGTAAAAAACGGCTGACCAAAAGTCCAAACTCAGCGTAAAGTCCTCCATTTGCTGAAGTTGCCTGGAAAAAATAATAAGAAAAGATGTCCAGTAGTGAAATCGATTCCCTCTAAAACCAGCAGGGGAAAAAACGAAGAAAACAAATAGTCTGACAACCAAAGGGAAGAAGTGAAAAGACTTGCGGATTTCAGTTGCTTCTCCGGCATCCAAAAGAGAGGTAATGATTGAACAACATCTTCTTGTGTAGGACACACTCTCTCAGATTTAAAGGGGAATGAGGAAACTTCACGCGACATATCGAGACTGATGCAAAATCAACGACGGGCGAGGAAGTTGCTAACGAACAACTGGGCAGCTATCACGAACGCGCACAGAATGAAATTGGAAAGGCAGATTGTCCACATCTGAAATTTCCATGGCCAGCCAAGACAAATGCCGAAAAAAATGCGAAAGGGGGGGGGTGACATCTACAAAAGGCTCAAGTTTAGGGAAGCTCGTCAGCGGCACCGGCACTTCTTGAAATAACTCGGGGCTGATCGGCGACCCTCGCCGAATGAGTCAGATCTCGCAGCCAAATAGGGCCCTGTTACAGCCATGGTCTCACACACGCCTGGCTCGCGATGTTCCTTTGATCCTGACCTGAGAGGGAACAAACCGAGCACACATCCCTTTCCCCCCCCCCCCCCACCGACCTGAGTGGAGACAAACCTTCAGGCGCTTAGTGGATTTGCACCTCAAGGCTGATCAATCTTCTGGTGGTTCCCAGTGACACGATCGTACACTGGTGGAGGTTCGGATGCCAAAAAGGCTGGGAATGACTCGGAAACCAGCCCCTACCACCTTCCAACCTCCCAAAAATAATTCAAAGGCCAAGTCGAGGCTCAAAACTTGTTTGGCAAAAATGGGCCAAACCACAACAAACCAACAGCCCAGCCCAACCACCCAAGAGCAACAGGTCAACACCTTGGCCACAAGACAAACCGACGCCCACCCTGACCTACCTTGGCTGGAACTAGGACCCCAGCAAGAAAAGAATGTTGCCTGGTTGGTGGAAAACAAGGGGGACCCCAAAAAAGCCAAAAAAGGGGGGAACTGATTCCAGCCCAACAACCCAAGAGCAACATGTCTTGGCCCAAAAAAAAAACACGCCGCACCTACGACCTACGACCACCTGTGACCACCTGCCGCCCCTTCAGCCCTCAGCCCCTCCTCGCGGTGCGCAGGGCCTGCCTGAGGCGCAGGCCGCTGGGCATCTTGCCCCGGCGGTCGCAGGACCTGCGGGGCAGCCAGCTGGCGCCCAGCAGCTCCTGGCGAAATGGAGCGGGAGCTTCAGCCGACGCGGCAAGCGGAGCCTTTTCGCTTGGTTGACGTCAGGGGAGCCTAGAAGGGATCAAGGAAGAAGCGATTAGCTCGCCATTCGCCACGTCAAACATCACCCCAAAAGCCAACTCAAGTGAAGTTCGCATGAATGGTGAAGAACCCTATCTCGGTTGCTTTCTGCGGTACAAAGTGACTAACTTTTAGTGGTTTGATACGGGAAACCCAGTAGTTGGCAAAAAAATAAAGTCCTAGCATCCAAGCAAAATGCACCAAAGTTTTGCTCATGGAGAGACAGGGGGCCCTAAAAATGGATTGATTGGATGCGACTGGTGCATAACTTGTCGCGGAATAGACAAATAGGGGACCCAAAATGTGGATTCAGCTTTGGTGGTGTTCCTTTCAGGGTTCCGTTTCGCCTTCAAATCAGGGAACCGGTGCTTTTCACCCCGGCCTGCCCCACATGGCAGCTGGCAGGGACAAAAGGTTTCTAAAGGACAAGTTGATCTTCCAGAACCCTCCCACGATATGAGGAACTATAATTCCAAAAGCTGAATTAAGGAATCCCCGAGGACCTCTAGGATTCATTCAGCCCAGCTTGGAGCAATCACACGTGTGTTTGCGTCTCTGGGGTGCTTGGGCATTTGGGATGTCCTCTGCATGGGTTTATTGATGTGTTTGAACTGAATCTTGAGTGCACCTCGAAGCATGGGGAAAGAAAGTCTCGGATGAGCAAAGCCAACTATAGATTCAAGGGTTACCGGTTTGGGGCCCAAAAGGAAACAACAAACCGTCCAAGTGCGCTGCTCGCACATTTTCACGCTTGAACAGCCACACTGCGGATGCAACGGATGTAAAACCCCAAACTGACCGATCAAATTCTTCACCCCCCTCTGCGTGTTAAAGGGGCCTTTCACAAAGCAGCCAAACAGAAACACAACAGAGGGAGAAGGTCATGGGGAACCGTTGTATACATGCAAACCATGACAGTTGCGCTTTTAGCGCCACTGCCAAGTAGATTGGTAACCGCTGCTGTCATTCCATCCTCCCCAACCGGACCAGTTCTGCCAGCTGCCTTGGCTCCAATGCTCACCCTCGCGGGCGGCGGGAGCACTTTGATCGGCATAGCGAGCGGCATTGCGAGCGAGGTGCTTGGTGCTCTCGTTCTTTGAAAACTCAACTGAGTTTCGGGCATATCGCTCGTTCTGGCTGAATATCCAGTCCATTTCGTGGCGGAGGTCCTCGAGGGAATTGCTTCGCAAATGGATGATGCCATTCCAACATCCAATGCTGCGAGGCTTGTCCTGCTCGGAGACAACATTCACAAAAGCCCGTGGACTGTATGGCATTCCCTGAAACATGATGATCCAACGGGAACTGAGTGCATCCTGCAATTCGCTGGGCAAAAACTCCACCTCCGTCTTTATGTACGCGAGCCTTGCGATTCGCGACTCAGAAGTTGATCCAAGGCCAACTCCAAGAGTGCGCTGGGCTTGCGACTGCTTTGGAGCAGCCAAGACGAGGTTTGCACACAACTCCATGCGGAGTATATCCGCATCCCGACGGCCCACTTCAAGCATACGAACCCTGTATTGAAGGTCGAGTTCATAGCGATCAAGTAGAGAGTGGTAGCCGTTCTTCAGGGCGGACTTGTGCTTCTTCCGGGCCTCCTGAATGACAGCACTGTCCGGGGAGTTCAGGCCACGAAGGATGCTACTCCGATCCTCCTCGCGGAGGTCAAAAGTTCCCACGGATGCCAAAACCTGGGCTGTGACATGGGTGCTGAGGCCCATCTTCTTCAGCAAATTGGAACGCTGCACAAGGTAATTCTTTTGCTGCTCTTTCAACAGGCGAGGATTGAGGGGTGACAACTGCCCACATGATGTGCAGTGGACCTGCCCCTCGAACACACTGTTGTTGCAAACCGGGCACGTGGCGACATTCAGCTCAACGTTCTCCATTGGATTGAAAGTCTTCTGTCTCTTCGCTTCCCCTTGCGGGGCGCGAGGAGACGCCACATTGGTGCGGGTTGTAGCAATGCGCTCCAGTGCTGTGGACCGATCATCAACCACGGCTTGGTCGCGCTTCATCCCCTGGGGTTCATCCTCAGTCGCCTCAGCTGGTGCACCTGCATCCGATTGCTCGGAGCGAGTGTACCATACATCGCCATTTGTAGCGTCCAATACAGAAATAATCGTGTAGTTGGGCACCTTGTCGCGCGTGAGGACGCCATCGCTCTCTGTCTTGAAAAAGCAAAGCCCTGCGCGAATGGCCATCCTGAGGTCGATCTGTATTTCCAAGGGCTTGTTAGCGCGTACACCTGAGATGTAATTTTCGTTCGTGCTCGGAATGTCAGCGAAGAAAACGTGAGGTCTGCCTGTCTCGTGCTGGTCACCTCCTCCTGGAAGCAGTCCGTTTCGCATAATGTTGGCGAAGTTCCGCTTATCGGTGCGATGATAGAGCACCGTAGGAGGGTTGCTGCAGACGTTCCAGCCAGACCAGCGCCCGAGGTCCGTCCCCGGGTTCACGTACCACTCCTTCGCGATGCCGGAGTCGTCAATTTGGAGCCAGTCCTCATGGCCTTGGGAGGCCTTGATCTTGAAAATCCAATGAGAACAGGGGACGTCTCCGCACCGGCTTGCGTCCGGGCAACCAAGCGCAATGAACCTCTGCTTTTTGTCGAGCTTGAAGATGTCCATGATGCTCTGAATATTCCATGGAATGGGATGTCGCAGCTCCTTGCGAAGCGCGAGTCCCAAATCTTCAAGGTCCATGTAGCCGTCCTCATCCATCACGTACCCACATCCTTCTGTCCCTCGACCACGGAGGATCTTCGAGATGCACGTCAGGGAGCTGTGGCACTCATTGCTGATTCTCCTGACGGAAGGGTCGTAATCAAAAGAAGGCTGCTTGATGATCTCAAGTCGCTTGGGGCCCTCACCATAGTCAACATACTTCACGCCGTCATGGATGCTATAAACCCAGCAATCGTAGTGGCCCCCAGTCACGTTCCTCCCGTAGGAGTCGAGTGGTACCGGCCTGCTCGTCGCCTCGTCCCTCTGTGCCACCGCAGCCGCCTTTGCACCGGCTTGCGCCGGGCGAACACTTTCGGAAACATCAGCACCGGAAGGCTCACCTGAAGTTGCAAATTCGGCTGGATCGACAGGGGCGAAATCGAGGGGCTGCCGGAACTCCACTTCTTCACGGGTGAAAGGGAGCCCGATCATCTCTGACAATGAAACGCCGCACTTCGTTAGCGTTTCCTTGCAGTACGCGAGAACCTCAACGTTGACTGTGCAATCCTCTTGGTGGCGCACCTCGAGCACATCGATCGGACGCATTGTGCAATCATGCGAACGTGTCAGCTCGGCTACGCTGCCCATTGCGGGGCGCAAGATGGAAAGCATGTACAACATATGATGGGTTCCGCGCATAAACTGGACGGTCTTCGTGATATTGTCGTCACTGAAGCACATATGATACCTGTCCAGCAAATCGATGGTCTCGACGAAGGGTGTAGCATCAACATACACAAACATATTGTTGGGGTCGCCGATGATGTAATCCCGGACTTCCGTCATGAAACGGTCCCAAATCATAGAGAAGCCGTAGAGGTAGCTCTTCGCGCCGGTCATGACTCCAAGGCATGCGCAGCCCTTGCGGGCCGCGAAATCCCTGGTCCAAGCCAGGTGCCGTCTGGTGTCAGCGAGAAGTTGCTCGGCGTCTCCGATGGGGGTGTCGTAAGGATATGTACCAGTGGGCTCGAGGCCGTCCTTCCCAACGAGCTCGTTGCCATTCCAGTAAATCATCGGAATGATGGTGGCTGCTGGGTAGTCGGTACGCACCTCGTCGATGAGGGCGGCCAACCGCTTGCACAGCTGTTGTAAGCCCTTGCCCCAAAGCATTTCAGACCTCCATGCACCGACACGCGCCGGGCGAGAGGCATCCAAACGCTCCGCAAAGTCGTACTTGCGAAGCTTGCGCTTCTTGCCCGAAACCATGGACAGTCCTGAATCAGCGACAGTCACATAGATAAGGAGGTCGCGGTCTGGTACACGTGGGGCCTGCAAAACTTTCAAGTACGGTTCGCTTATGGTTAACAGGGGTGTAAGCAATTGCAGGTAGTGCGGTTGGTCCTGCACCCATGTATGAATAAGCGACTGTGCAGAGGTCGTCTCGAGGAGGCCCTTGACCGTGGCGGCGAGGTTAGCGTCGTATTTGCCGTTCGTGCATACCGAAGTGGTAGCGACATTCTCCATCCATCTCCTCCATGCCGGATCGCAATCCCTCGCGGGATGCGCCATAGCCGTCGCGCTGCTCATTGCGAAGAAGATGCAGCACAATCACTCGAAAGCAACGGCTGCATGGTGGCATGTTCAGAAAATGCATTGTGAACGGCATCGGTGTAAACATACGTGTATCCCTCGGCTTCCTTCAAATGCGTACCACGGCTTTCATCATGCTCGTGAGAACCATCACACTTGAAGTACTCAACCACGGAAATAGTGGGCATATTACTGGCAACGACCCACTGCTTTTTCATAGGTTTTCCATTTCTCCCTTTAATGCCGATTTTGCAACCATGGAATTCGTACTTGTTCATCTTGTACTTAGTCAAGAAACTCCATAGTTCGGGCCATTTCCAATAACGACACGCCTTGGGAAGTTCGAAGGCAACTCTAACGTCATCAGAATAGACATCATTGAGAATGCGTTTGAACCCTCTCAGCAGTGATCGGAATTGCTTGATGTGACCCTCAATCTTGGCAGCACCTTTGGGAGTTTGCTGGTTGACATAACCCCACGGGCATCCTCCAGTGCAAGGCAATGAAACGTAGAACATTATTGCACCCTTAGGATTCTTGCTCCTAAATTCGGCAATTTCATGGACTAACCACTGCCTGCATGTATCAGAGCACCCGTCTTCGGTTTCAGTTACCCGAATGACACGACATCCCTTTGAAGAGTCTCTTGATTCGCCCAACCGTGA